ATTTATGTATTTATCTATGTATGTATTTATCTATGTATGCATTTATCTATATATATATATTTATTTATTTATCTATGTATTTATCTACTCACCGCAGAGGATCCAATCCGCGTAGGTACTTACTTGTCTGGCTGGCCTACCTTAAAGGCAGGTAAAGGGTTATTTAAACCGTCAGCTGACAATCCGATGACGGTCTCTTTAGAAGACGATTCCAAGAGGTTGGCATAGCTAGTGGATCACCCTAAGCCGATACTTAAAATTGAATAGAATCTAAAAACAAACGATTTAAATCATTTAAATCGTAGCTAAAATAAAACTATTTCAATCGATTGAATCGTTTTTTATAAGAGCTCGTCTTTTCGTGAAAAGATTATTACTAAAATAAGACGGTTTTGATCGATTAAATAGTTGTTTATAAAAGTCGGTCTTTTTATGAAAAGACCGTTTTAAGACCGTCCTGTGGCCGTCCCAAGGCCGTCCCCGAACTTGAAACCGTCCCCGAAAACGTAGATTAGTAAGCAAATAATCTTTATTTTCTTTCAATTGCATAGCAGTGTACCCTCTACTACCACCCTCCCCTTACCCACTTAGCAAGCAATACAGGGCATTATATGCGCGGGTGAACTTTTGCTCAATCGATCGATTCCGATTATAAAAAATTTAAAGCGTTGATATACAAGCCGTGGTAGCGATACCGAGAAATATCTTGGCGTCGAACTTCTTAAATTATTATTAAAACAATTTTATTTACAAGATAATTTTTATCTATAACTATATCTTCTATAAAATGGTCATCGAACTATTTCAATTTTTTAAACGAGCTTATTAATAAGCCTGTTTTAAAAATATAGACGGGGACGGCCATGGGACGGCCGTAAGACGGTCCCAAGCTCGGGGACGATCAAAAAGGTAAACTATTCTTGATTTGTAACTAGTACTGATTTTAAACGGTCCAATAATCGTCTTTTATAAAAGAGGGTCAGAGGACCGCTCAAATGACCCCCTACCTGCCTTTAAGGTAGCCTAGCCCTCTTATCTGCAACAGCCCTATCTAGGTAATCAGTCAGTCAGGCAAGGGAAGGAAGTAAGTACGCACCGGTACGTACCTAGTAGTACGAGCAGTAACTGTACAGGTCCGCGGCAAGAGTCCAGGCCCAGCCAGACCTCCACATCTCAGACAGACATTGCCGAGACAGGAATGCCTGTACGTAGAGCTACCTACCTACCTACCTACCGTACTGTACTGTACAGTACCGCTAGCTGCATACCAGTACGGTACCCACGTCAGTGCAGATCGGAGCCCTCCACGCCGGGAATGGAATGGAACGGAACGGAATGGAAAGGACCCTTGATCTTTCTACCTACTTAGCGCCCGTTCGCCCATCGGAGCTTGAAGTACCTAGGTACCTACCTATTGAACAATGCAATGCTACCTATACCGGTCCCTACGTCTATGATGTAAACTACTACGTACGGTACGTAGTAGGTAGGTAGGTGCCCGCCCGAGCTTAGGATTCACATCATTCCACCTCGACTTCGGCACCGCAGGCCCCCCCTCACATTGATCGGGACCGGGACTTTTTTTTTTTTTTTTTTTTGGACCTGACCTGACCCGCCAACCTGCCTCCAAAGGCAGCGAGCGTGTGGCGTGGCGTCGCTCGCTAATATCATCACGTCCATTCGTCCCATCGCGAGTGCATTCTCACTCTAGCCAGACAGCCTACTGTATATGCAGCTCCTGCTCTGCCCAACTCCCCTCTCACCCCTCCCCCCCCCCCCCCCTACAAGCTCCAAGCCCCCTCCAAAGAATTTAGTTTAAAAAGAACATTTTTTTCTCGACTTCTTTATATACATGTGTTTTTCTTTCTCGACCTTACCTCACCTCACCTCACTCACTTACCTCACTCACCTCACCTACCTCACTCACCTCACCTCACTCACCTACCTCACTCACTTACCTCACTCACCTACCTCACTCACTTACCTCACTCACCTCACTCACCTCACTTACCACGCGCAGCAGGCTTGCAAGCTGGCTAGCATAGCATAGCAAAGCACAAACAAAAAAACAAAGCAGCAGCAGCAGCAGCGACGGCGGTGACATTCAGTTTTTTTCGTCTTTCTTTTTCCGTCTTTCTTTTTCGTCTTTCTTTTTCAGTTTCTTTTTCAGTTTCTTTTTTTTCTTTCTTTTGCACCCCCCCCCCCCTCCTTATCCGCCCACAGCAATACTCCGCAACACAAGGACGGTACCACGGCGTAGGATTCCTACACGGTAGTAATCGTAGTCAGATCCAGGAGGGACCAACGCGGGGCAGGGACATAGAGGCGAGGGGGAGAGAAGCGCTGCTATCCATCTGTAGTTGTGCACCAACGTGCCTAGATTTCATCAAATCGATTCTGCATTGCGTATTGTCATGATAGGAACACAAGACATGGCACCAAGCGCCCGGCACGTGCCAAGTGGGGCAACGAGACGACACCAGAGACTTCACTCACACGAGAATCATCAGATTTTAGAAATTGTTCAATTAGGTTGTATCTGGGCCCATCTACCGAAACCAGAGTTCAATAGATACATAGCAATGCAATCGAATCAAGAAAATCAAACATCTCAATGCTAATGCACGAGTCTATCAAATGCGCCACCCCGATGCATACAAGCCAGTGTGCAAGTTCCGCAGCCCAAAGAGATCCCATGTTTTGCACCGCGCATTATGATTCCTGTAAACTGACAACGAGCTGTCCTCCGAGGCGCCTCTATTACTAACGTTGAAACGATTCATGTGCAAGCTGTGACACCATTTTCGAAACGCAGTCCAGTTTAGTTGAGGGTCAGGAGACCAGCGAAAGCCAGGAAAACAAATGCAAGGGGGGAGGCAAAGCTGCCGGCCGAGTTGTCGTTGGGAGGGGCAATGGCAGGGTTGGTGGAGTCTGTACCGGTTAGCGCGTAGTTCTGGGTTATCAGAAGTTGGAGGAGGACTTACATGGCCCGGGGGTACCCATGGTACCGTTGGGGGAGATGGAAGGGGAAGCCGAGGCCACGGGAGGGGCTACGGGGGTGGTTGCATTGCCTGGCACGGTTGGGGCTGGGTGAGGGGCAGAGGTAGTGTGCGCGGTCGTGTATGGGGGGTGGGTCGCGGGGGCGGACGATTCGACGGAAGCGACGGGGGTTGGGGCAGACGAGACCTTGTACGATGGAACACTTCCGGTGCCTCCGGTGATGGCGAATTGAACAGTGTAGTTAGGGGTGTCGGTCGAGTCCTCGATCTCGATGGCGTAGGTGGTATCCGGTGGCAGGGTGGATGGCGGAGTCCAGGTGTAGCTAGTACCGGTCTGACCAGCTGGACCTTGTCAACGAGGGCTCAAGAAGGGGTTGGTAGAGAAACTCACAGGCAATGTCGAGCACGTCGTCAAGGTCGGTGGACGGGCCGTTCTTCAAGGTCAGAGAGACGGGTCCAGTGGCACCGCTCCAGGTGATCTCGAGGGGCTGTCCAGCGGTGACGCCGGTGAAGGATTCAGCAGTGTTGGTGATGATGACGGCCTGGACCATGGAGAACAGGGTCGCAGCGGAGACGACAGTGGATGAGTATTGCATTTTGAAGAGCGGGTGGTGGTTTGTAGCCTTGGACGACGGTTGAGGGGTTCTATTCTGGAGTAAACACCGATTAGTCGCTGGCGGACAATGACTACCGGGAGAGGGCCACTCGCGTCGAGACGTGGACCGACGGGCGAGAATGGAGACGGACTGTTGTTTACTTACATGGAGAAAGCGAGTCGCGAAAATTGAGGCTATGAAATGACAACGAATGTGGTTTTGGTTTGAGCGAGTGAGGGAGGGAGCTTCTTCAAAAGAGGATGACTGTGCGCGGCGTGAGAAGAGAGAGGGAGAGAGAACAAGAGGAAGAGGGGGAAAAAGCAGGAACTAAGTACTCGGTTGAAAGGTGTTGCGGGCTAGGCTTAATTAGTAGCTGCCGTGGCGCACAATTGGCTGACATCTCTCGGCGGCCCACAATAATTCTTATTTAAGATTATGCCGACCGCACCTGATGGCCGGATCTGGTGTGGCGCCAGGGGAGATGGGGCCAGGGTTCATGGAGGGTTGAGCGCTGACGTTGACGGACGTTGTTGACAGGCGGCGCTAATTAGGGGCTGGAGCTGCACTGATATGAAGGTGGAAATTAGGAGTAGGAGGAGGAGGAGGAGGAGGAGGAGTAGTAGTAGTAGTCGTAGTCGTAGTCGTAGTAGTAGTACTACCTAGTAAATTAAAATCATCTCCGAAATCCAGGGCTCACGGGGTGATCCGGGTCATTCGAGACGGCCACCTATTTCGTGGATGTAGTATCTCCAGTCTCAAATCCCGTGATTTCCAGATGGATATTGTTAGGGAGTGGGAGTGGTAGTGGTAGTGGTAGTGGTAGTGGTACTTGATCTGGCTACTACGTACTAGTAGTACGTACCTACCTACGTACTACTGCTTGAACTCCCCCGTGCCCAGGATACACTGCAGCGGGTCCTCGGAGCTGCGGGAGCCGGGAGTCGGGAGTAGGGAGTACTGCAATGCACTGCACTGCACTGTGGGCAATCCTTCGTTACATCGCGCGTTACACTGCCTCGCTCAGGGCTCTGGGGTGCATGTATGCATGCATGCGTGCGTGCAAGCATAAAGTCTGGAGAAAGGTTCGCTAAATTTGGGGAATTATGCCGCACCACCCATTCTGCATACTACAAGTACAATAATACACCCGATTGTACTTGGAAATAGACAACGCTGACAGCTCTCACCAACCAAACTCCCGTCGGACACCGGTATCGCTCGCATCGACTGCCAACCTCGGTCGGGATCGCGAGCTGACGAAAGTACGTAGTAGTACTACCGATACTACTACTACTACCTACCTACTACCAATACCACGACCTACACCACTACCTACCTATACTACTACCTGCTATTACTGCACCCTCGTGGGCTCAGAACCATCAGAAGTGTATTTCCAATAGTTCCCGCGAATGCCGGCCGGATGAGGGTCACGTTGATGAAAAAAAAAAAAAATGGAAAAAAAAACGTGACGAAAAAAAGGTTACTGGGCCATGCTGGCCGTTCCGGAACTTTCCTTCGGTGGCACGTCGCAGCAGAGGTCGACCCGCAGCAGAGCCCGTCGGAGATGACGCGCTTGGTCGCAATCCATACGTAACACATGGGGGAGGGTTTTTGCCCAATCTCATCTCACTAGGGGTTGCGACCGACCGACCAGCCCCTGTCCCCTCCTCTTACGCTCGGCCTCTCGGTCTCTCGGCCTCTCGGTTTCTCGGTTTCTCGGTCTCTCTCTCTCTGTGTCTCTGTCTGTGTCTCTCTCTCTCTCTCTTGTGCAAGACCTTATCCGCAACTTTATTTCCCATGCCCTCCCCAAACCTTCCGATCGACACATGCCTGCCAATCTTGCACCTCAAATTACTACTCACGTCCGGGAACCTCAGCTAAAAATTTCCTCTTGTCTAAGCCTCAGCCGGCCGGACTGCCAATCGTGCCGATCATGATTGGATTCAAGATCACTCACTGGCCGCTCGTGCAGCCAGCCAGCTATCCGTCAAGATCTTGCAGCCTCCCAAGGCGAGATCACGTCTGGTGCGAAGTTGTAGGTGACAGTACCTTGCAGTAGTAGTGGTAGTAGTAGTAGTATATTCCTTCCCTCCCCCCGCTCCTCCGAAACCGTGCGGATATCCGAGGTTGTACTACTAGAAACGGGAAACAGCGACCCCTGATCAGCCGCCAACTCCCCCCCCCATCGCGCCCACCTCTGTCTTCCTTCGAGGGCACGTCATCCGACTTCACACTGGACACGCACATGCACACGCCTTCTCCAGCTTCGCGGAACCTGCTTGGACACGGAAGCCAGGCCGATGGACGACGCTCCTACAGCCTACTACTACAGTACAGCCAGTGCGGCAACCGACCGAACGGGCTCCAACGCCAGGCTCGGAAATGCGAAAATAGTCAGGCCCAACACCGCTATTTTCGACCTGCTTGCTTGCTATATTTATTTACGCTCCTATTCTGGTTGTGTGAAACCATCGCTCTCGCGGTACCTGGCGGGGTTGCGCGCTAAGCCCCTGAGAAAATAGCTCGGCGCAGAGGTTCGAAAAAGATTCACTATCAGCCCGCTATAATAAGAAAATAGGTCTTCGCAGAAGTTCAAAAAAGATTTGCTTGTCAATTCGCGATGGTGAGAAAATAGCTCGGCGCAGAGATTCAAAAAAGATGTACTTGTCAATTCGTTCCGGTGAGAAGATAGCTTTTTATAGAAGTTCAAAAAAGATTCACTATCAGCCCGCTATAATAAGAAAATAAGTCTTCGCAGAAGTTCGAAAAAGATTTACTTATTAGCTCGCTATGATGAGAAAATAGCTCGGCGCAGAGGTTCAAAAAAAAAAAAGATTTGCCCGTCAACCCGCTCCGATAAAAAAATCCGGCGGCCGATACCCAGCAGCTGCATGCACTCTAGATCCTCGAATCTGAACCGGCCTATTTACCACCGCTCTGGGTAGGTAGGTAGGTACTACGTACCTGGCGCAGAAAAGCCCGAGAGACTCGAAGCTAGGGTCTACACATACGGTACCCGTGCCTATAGGTACATGATCCACTTGAAAGGCCGAGGGGGTCAGAGCAGCTCAAGGTGAGATACCGGTACCGGTAGCAACCAGCGTCGATGAGCTGGCTCGTACGTAGTAGGTGTGCATCCCCTCGGACAGGCTGCTGCTCCCGTGGTACCGGTCATAGGCATCTCTCCCCTGGTTGGGGACAGGTGTGTGTGTTTTACGGCTTGCAAGCAGAATGGATAGAGGCTCCAACCGGATGCTATCATTTGGGAATATAGTAGTATCTTAATCACAACGCCAGCTGGGTAGGTAGCTAGCTAGCTAGCTGCGTTGGTCGAGCCCCTCTTCCTCTGAAGCAGGGTGCGCCTCGGCAATGAGTGATAGATAGTAGTAGGTAGGTCAGATCAGAGCCCGATTTGGGAGCGACGTGTATATAAGCTATCTTGTGGGAGTTGTGCCTGCCTTCAATAAGAGAGCGACTCAAGCCCTGGCGAGTCTGGTCTGATTGAGTAGATAGGAAAGGCCCTTGAACTAAGGTAACCTATACGAACCAAGATTACGTAAGTATGTATCAGGGCCTGTTTGAGGGGAAGCATTACCAGGGTCACTGGAGCTAAGTCACATGAGGTCGTGTTTCGAGCCAAGACCGAAATGGTCGAGCCCCATGGAGTGGCGCTGGGAGCCTCCGAACCACCACGTCTTCACCTCGACAAGAGCTCGACATTTACGACCACAACAAAGCCGATAACACCCTTGCGCAACCCACCATTTGCTTTGCTTATCAACAACATAATGAACACGAGCTTGTATCGCAGCTATGGCAGACATCGCCCGAAAAGACGTCGAGATCTTGGTCCACGCCACCGCGCCGAGCAGAGGGCAGGATGATACGCGATACAGAGCACTGGCACAGGCATACTTGGATTTTCAGCCATGGCAACGGGTAACAATAGTGGAGGAGCTAGCAGACGATGCGACATTGGAAAAAGATACACAGGCGGGCAGCCATCTTCAGCACGAGTTGCCACGATCAACCCAGGAGGATCGGGAATCCCAAAAATCGTTTCGCCCTGGGGATGAGTACAGTAGCGCAGAGGAGGATATCTATGAGTACGATATATTTAGATGCTCCCAACCCATCAACTCTCCAGACCTGTCGTTCAACAGCGTGGAAGATAATGCGGGCTCTCCTGTGTTTCAAGCTCGAGTTAGCTGTCATGTTGACGCGCCGGAAGATGACCAGAATCAGGAACATGGAGAGACGGGCTCGTGGCGCGCTCCGCCGAGCGAAATCGCGGACTCTCAACCCGAGAATATCCAAGCTATGAGTATCTTTTCTTCTCCAACACGGATGCTAGAGTTGTATCTCCAGAACCAGGAGAGCCAAGGATCAAGAACCACATCAGACCTCAACAGTCCTGAGAAGCTTAGGCAATCGAGCAGTCTCGATCTCCCGGCTCATATGAGAGGCGTGCCGTCTCTCTCTCCTGAAAGCAGTCGGAACAAGTCGAGCAGCCTTGAAGTACCAGCGGGGGTGAGAGGACGAGCCTCGTTGTCCCCCGTAGTAAGCCGCAATACTAGCAGTCTCGAGCTCCCGGCTAGGAAGGGAGGAGAATCACACTCGTCGCCGAAGACAAGTGACAAAACTACCAGCAGTCTTGAGCTCCCGGGTCCAGTGAGAAGGGAAGCAAGTCCATTGCCAGAAACCGACTGCAATAAGACTAGCAGTCTCGACCTCCCATCTGGGTTACGAGGCGAACTTGACTCATCATCAGGAAACGCTCCTAGTCAATCTTCACCTTCGCCGGTGAAATGCCCGGTACGACGCTCTGTTCGCCTGGCTCCACCCTCCACGCAGGACCCAGCGCTGGACCTGAAGAGAAAGTGGGCAAATGCAAACTCCGACGACTCGCAATCTTCCACTGCTCCACCGACCTCGGCAGGTCGTACTGCTCAACCCTCAAAGTCGACACAGCATCTGCTCGCCAGGCCTGAAAAACGGCTTCGGATGGAGTCGCCAGGTGCTCATGTGAGCGTGAGCCGTCAGCCGGCGCTTCCGTCAAGTAAGCCCAATCAACCTTCCGTCACGAGCAGCTCCAGCGGCCCGCTCGTCTGGAACGAGAAGCTTGAGATTCGTCCCAGGCCACCAGCCACTTCTACGGGGGATCTGACGGCCGAAATGCTGCTGACTCCTGCCCTGGCCAATCTCGAGAAGAAGATGCCACCGTTGCCAAATCCGGCATTCCAAAGGCGTACATTGAGGGATTTCGAGCGAGGCTACTGGCTTGTGAACTGCGAAGATTGGAGCGAAGGACGCCGAAACCGATGCTGGGAGGAGCTTGGAGACTTTATTGGCAATGACCGTGCTGGGTGGGGAGTGGGATTGGTACGCGAAGCGGATTTTACGTCGTTCAGGATATACTCCTTTGGGTACGTTGCGGGACACATTTACCTGCTGTTATATATGGCTTCCAGGAGCAAGATAGGCAAAGCGGGTATCTGTTGGAAAGGCGGGGATGGAGAGACTATTATCCAAATGCCATCGTGATTCACCCAGCTGCTCCTCCCTACTCTCTCTGCAGCAAAGTGGCAGTCGCCGCCAGTGATTGTTTGATGTTTGGAGATTACGTTTCTCTATCTTCCCTTGTCATCAGAGTCAGCGATCTCTCCCTCACGGTTACTGGTCACAGCAACACCGGTGCCATAGTGGCCATTTATTATTCATGATTCTTCTCTCTACTCTACTCTCCTCTCCTCTCTTCTCTCTTCTCTCTCCTCCCCTCTCTCATCACCCCTCCTCTCTCTCTCCTCTCCCCTCCTCCCCTCCCTTATCCACATCCACATCCACATCCCTCCCCCCTCTCCCATCTCCTCCCCCACATCCACATCCACATCCACCATCCCAACAAAGCCACACAGACAGACAGACAGACAGACAGACAGACAGACAAACGAAGAGCCCCCCACCCTCAGCGTCAACGAGACCCCGGCTGTATTCTGCACCGCTCCTGTACTAGCGGTGTTTGAGGATGTCTATCTATTCTATCTGTAATCGTCGGTTACCTTGAATTTAATTTGTAAAAAATCCCGACCTGGCTGCGCCAGGTCGGCACCACCAAGGCGGGACACCCAGCGAGGCGGGACAGTAACGGTATACTACTTATTAAACAACAAATATTAATATAAATAAAAAAAAATTTATATGCTTAAGAAACTTTGCCTTATAAATATAGATTAAAAATATAAAAATGCATCTATTTTTGATAATATAATACAATAAAATGTAATGGAAATATAGCTAAAAACTGTCCTAAATAATTCGAATTTACTTGTTTATTGCGAATATCTTAACAATTACCACTTTAATTAAAAAAAACGTCACGTAGATCGAAAAGAAAGGATTCAATCTATTATCTTACTAAAGGTAGTAATTATTAAATAAAAGTTGATAATAATGCACGTATTCTTTTGATAGGTTTGAATAAAAGTCCGATTTTCGTGTTCCTCGCTTATTCTAGTATTTACGCGGCAATTTTGATATATAAGGTAGGTACTCATCAATAAAATGGAGAAAAAAAAAAAAAAAAAAAAGTACCATTTTTACTACTTTAACTCAGCACAATAGAAGAATAATAACTTGTAATTAAAATTCAATTAATTGATTAATATCAAACACAATAGGGTGCATCTTTTTATACAAAGATAATTATTATATAATAGTTGGTTGATTTTTATTTATTAAAAAGGAGCAAATTTTACTGTCCCGCCTTGGTGGTGCCGACTTGCTACAGCAAGTCGGTCAATTCTTTCGAATTAAAATTTAAGGAAACCGACGATTAAGCGTACCTCTTGAGGACGACTTGGGTTTTTTTTTTTTTTTAATTTTTAATTTTTTTTATTTTTTATTTTTTTATTATTTTCTGAGATGAGTTTTTTTTGAGGCGTGTTTGAGACGTGTTTTGAAGGGTGTTTTGAAGGGGAAGGGGAGGAAGGGAGGGAGGGAGCGAGAGGGAGGAAGAGAGGGGGGAAGGGAAGGACGAAGAGGAAGGGGAAGAGAGGAATGCAGAGAAGAGCAAGCAGAGCAAAGAGTCCCGCTAGTCTCACTCACTCAGTCTTCGGATACGGCTTTGGGAATCGAAACTACAGATACAGATAAGAATAGGAATAGGAATGGGAATGGGAATAGGAATGGGCATAGGCATAGGCATAGGAAGGTCTCTGAACTCTTTCCAATATGATAGCCAGCTTGCCCCCTCCCCCTCCCCCTCGAAAGGCTTGGAAGAGATGAGGGAGAAGGAGGAGGAGGAGATGAAGGAGGAGAAGGAGGGGGAGAAGAAGAAGCCTAAGACTTATAGAATCCACCCATCTAGACTCGCTGGGAATAGATAGATAGATAGATAGATACAAAAGCAAAAGCGTAAAGGCCACCTACCAACCTACCCCCCTCACCTCTACCCAAAATCCCAACATCCAAAGCAGAGCAAAGCAGAGAAGGAAAAAGAAAAAAAAAGAAAAAAAAAGAAAAAAAAAGAAAAAAAAAAAATCATCTTACGTATATATATATACACACACACACACACACCTCCTCCACCATCGGCCTTCAAATCCTCTTATATCCCCTCTTCTCTCTCCTCTTTTAACTTTACTATGAAGCCTTATAAAGATCTTAAACTTAATTTGGCACTATAAACGAATAAACAAACAAACAAACAAACACAAACAAACAAATAAATAAACAAACAAATAAATAAACAAACAAATAAATAAACAACCCCCCCCCCCCCACAAAAAAAACGAAAAAACGAAAAGACGAAAAGACGAAAAGACGAAAAGACGAAAAGACGAAAAGACGAAAAGACGAAAAGACGAAAAGACGAAAAAATAAGAGAAAAAAAACGAAACGGAAAGGAAATAAAAAGAAGAGGAAATGGGGGAAATGGAGGAAAAGGAAATTTATTTACACATCACCGCTCGCTTTTCCCTTCTCCCTTCCTTCTTTACCCTCTTGCTTTTTATCTCTCTCTCTCTCTCTCTCTCTCCCTTTCTCTCTCCCTTTCTCCCATTCTTTACACACCCACCCCCCTCTTCGTCGTCGTCGTCGTCGTCGTCGTCGTCATCGTCGTCGTTACAGTAAGTGAACTATGAGCAGGCAAAGCAACAAAGCAGCAAAGCAGCTCATACCAGTACTCAGCAGACTTTCCTCCCTCCCCTCCCCTCCTTCTCTCCCTTCCCCGCTAACCCTCCTCGCTTCGTCTTTCGTAAAAATCATCACGGCCGTGATGTAGAGGAAGATGAGAGAGAGAGAGGTAAGTGGAATAAAGCATGGAGTGGAAGGTATGCAGAGAAGATATACAGATAGCGTAGCGTACACGGCGCACAGGTACATTTCTCTATCTATCTATCTATCTATCTATCTATCTATCATTCGAATATATTCCCGTTCGTAAATATATATATCTATATTTTCATTTTCATTTTCATCTTCATCATAAATACTGCTTCGGAAAAACCCGAATCTGTTGATTGATTGATTGATTGATTGATTGATTGATTGACTGACTAGAGAGAGGGGGAGGACGGGGAATCGATCGGTTACCTTGTACCTACTTACCTACCTACCTACCTACCTACTTACCTACCATAATGCGGGGTCGTGGTCGACTCGAGGCGATGTCATCTTCGCTTTGAAATCAAATCCGAAGCCACGGAGACGTTCCAAGGTTGTACACACCTCAGATTGAGACTATGACTGCTAATCATTAGCTGGCCAGGATAACGAGTTCACGCAAGAAGGATGGGAAGATAAAATTGGACAATTATAATTCATCTTCTTTTGAATCTTTCCGTTTGTTTTCGACTGATCGCTCTGCGTCGCCAGCCAGCCCAACCCCGCCCAACTCCCAGCCAACCCGGATTTGAGCAGTCAGAATCGCAAGAAGAAAAACAATCCGTGACAAGAGACAAAAACTTAATTTGATCATTGCGACACGTTCAAGTGCGTGCGCTATCCCACACACTCTCTTTCAAAAGAGCTTCAATGAAACCTCCCCAAATATGCCAGACCATGTACTCCAACAACCGGCCCCTCTTTTCCTCAGAGGTGACTTTCAAATATCAAGTTGAAATATAACAAACAATCCTCAACAGCTGCCACCTATACGTGCAGATGCCGCTGCCAGTGGGAAGAGAAGATGTACGTAACGCCGTGTTTCAATGCTTTGAAATGGACACTCGGAATTGCAGAAAGGTGGGAAGAAATTGGATGGGTGGAATTGAATCGAAGTCGGCCGTGTGAAGTCGTGAAGGATGCCATATCTCCTGGTAGTATGGTCATGTATAGCAGGCGCTCGGCGCGTCATGGAATTGAAATTATGGATCGATGACTACCTCTCAGCTAGCTCCAGTGACGCCAACTGAGCCGTTCGGAGGGGGAACCCACCGTGAGGTGCGGTACTCTCGGCGTTGCCCGTGCTGGCTATCGGGCGTACCGCTGCGTTGTTGGACAAACATGGATGGGTGCTCTAGATCCGGGCCTTGCCATTGTTGGGGTGGAGTGTTCTGATTCGAACTTGAGGCATATGGTGCAGCAGGATCTTGAACGTGTCGGGCGCTGCTTTCCTTCTGGTAAGCGTGAGCCTGGGAAGATTCAGCCTCGACACGGTGCACGACAGGTGCCAATGCCCTTCCACCGCCGTCCTTGGTTGTGCCGAGAGGCGAGGACTGAGTCTCTACAGTGTGCCGTGGTCCACCATTTGCGCCAAGATCTCCATAACGCTTGAGGATTTCCTTCGTAGTGATATCACCGGGATTATTAAACAGAGTCTGGTCACTGAGAATCGACAGCAAATCTTCAGGAACCTGATTAAAGATTAGCAAGAGGCTACAGGCAAGACCAAGGTGTTACGTACTTCACACATTTGCTCGTTGTACTCGATGAGCGTAGTGACGACTTCAATAGCCAGAAAATGATCATCAGCAGGCGTCTTGGCGTTTGTGTAGAGAATGTTAGGGGCGATGACGGTGGCCAGGTTATGGGTGTCCATCTTTGAACCTGACTCTTCATCCACCTGATGGAAAGATGCGGCAAAGTTGAAGAACGCACATAGAACTTCCAGGCAGTCTCTGTGTGCCTTTGGCAACAAGCAGCATGTAAGATGGAGTACTCGTCTACGCCTGTCCTCATCTGTGATCTTCTGAGATGTGATGAAGAGTCGATGCAGCTTGAAGGTGAGCAGCGGATCTGGAAGCTCACGGAGGTATTTCTTGAGCAGGGCCGCAATCTGCACGACGTTCTCCTTCGAGAAGTCGACTGCTTCACAGCCATCTTTGTCGATGATTGCCGAAGTGTCGTTTAGCCGCTTAATATTGCCGTTCTTGCGGAAAACACCTTCCACCGACAGATCCATCTTGCGCATCGTTGTAACGGCATCATCGACTAGAGCAGGAATACGTAGCGCTGTGGCACCGACGCCCTCGGTCGAATCCGCTCCATCTCTGTCGATGATGACATCGAGAGGTACGCCGAACACCCCCTTCTTCTTTGAACCTTTCTTGGCGTCGGTCTTCAGAGCCTTGCCAACCTTGGTCCAGAATGTCGCCTTTCTAGTTTCGATCAGATTCAGGAGCTCTTCCATTGTGAAGTGACCTTCTAGCAAAGGCTGCATCGCGATGACTGCCACATGACGAATAATGAAATACTCCAGGGCAGAAAGCTCCGAGAAATATCTTCTTCTTGGTTGCCCTTGCATGGATGGGTCTCCTGCTGCAGCGAGATCGAGAGGATGGCCAGCGGAAGTACTTCGCTGGTGGGTACTAAGAAGTTTGGGCTCCCCAGTGATCGAAGTCCGGAAAAGCTCATGTCGGGCGTGCTTGTACGCATTCGGGCGCTGCTCCTTAGCCTGCTCAGCAGCAACAATCCTCGGGATGTCATCCAGGGTGATGCCGTTGCTACCGCTGTACATGAGTTCGGTCCGGTTGCTATCGCCATCTCGCTCTTCCATACCTTGGGAGTTTGGATCTCTTCTGCCAGCTCCATCAGTATCGGCCACTGTCCTACCATCCGGACCTTCCATTATGCGAGACGTTCTTGCTTTCTTGATTGTCGTCGAGAGGTGCTTGTCCATCCGTGTACTTCGCAGTCGTCGAACATCATTGAGAGTGTTCTCATACGAAGAAGATGCACGTTTCTCATCCGAAGGGCCCCCGTGGGATCTTGAACGATTTTCCGAACTGAGAAGCGGTATATCCTTGTTACCAGTTGAGCGATGTCCTGCGGAGGAATCGTAGGCGTTCAAATTCGGATCATCGGAGCTGCGAGGTACTGTGCTGCCTGTTCGCAGCTGCTCGAGGAGTCTGGCCAGGGAGACACGCAGGAGGAAAGTAAACTGCTGCAGTCTTGTGACACGCTGGAAACCCACACTGACTGGACCTCTAGCGAGGCTCTGGCAAGGGACGCAGAAAACTCGCTTGTCATGTTCGCACCAAGTGACATCTTCTAGATCGTGGCCCAGGTCTTCTTTGCAATTGGTGCATTTCAGACAACCCAGATGGTACCTCAATTCTCCTAGACGGGCACAATCGTCTTCGACATTCTTCTTGCAAACAGCACACAAGTCGCGAAACGAGCTTGCGAGGTTTGAAGTTCCTGTGGCTGCCTCGAGAGACCGGTCGTCATTTCTGATGGCTTCCATGTCGCCAAGGTCATCGAGGAATTGCTGCAGGCACTCCGAGGCCTCGTGCTCTCGTTCAACTTTCAAAGATCCTTGGAGACATATCCGAATCAGGAGTTTCAGGTAGTGGGCCAGACCAGTGACCAGTGCCAGAAGCTCTTGAGTAACACCAAGTTTCCGGACACCACCTTCTTGGCTGAGCTTGAGGAGGTTGAAGAAGGCCACGATCTTCTTGCAGAGCAGCTTTGCCTCCCGTGAGTAAGACAGACCTGGTTTAGTCAGTAAACGTGAGTTATCAAGGACGATATTCGAATACCTTTGGGCCCGACCTGGGTCATGGTCTCATCTAACTTATCTGCAGAGCGAAACAGGACATCCACATGACATATGAACTTCTTGGCAACCATGACACCGTCCATATACGCGCCATTGCTTACATGCAAGAGCATGTCGGAGATGCAAGCAGCGGAAGATTCTTCGAAGGTCGAGAGGTTGCTCCAAATCTTGTACACTTTCTCTTCCATTTGCTCCTCTTTGTCTCGAACTGCGTTCCGACCTGCTTCATCTGTTGTATCCTCAATCTCCGGTTGAGGCTCTTCCTGTTCCTGATCAGGGTTCTCTTCCATAGAGGGACGCTTCTCCTGAGGAGCGGGCAGTTTATCCTGTGAGGGGGCCAGTCTGACGTTCCAGAATTTGTGGATCATGTAGCACTCAGGGTGCCAATGTTGATTCTGACCATTCCTGAAGATCTCGACGAACTGCTTCAGAATCGCAGTATGGCACCCATTACACCTCTGAGCGAAACGTGTTGAATAATGGTAGTGACAGTATACCTGCCCAGCATGCTCGTAGTAACTGTCTTGGGCTCCGAATATTGTCGTACAAGCTGAACAGGTGAAATGGTCGATATGGTACTTCCTATCAAGAGCCGTGATGTAGGATCCACGGAGAGCGCCGTCACATTTGTAGCATATCAAGTCCAGCCGCCGAAAGTAATCAGTCTCGCATAGGGGGTATTGACTTCCGTTCTGCTCGTCATCAACTGGGAAGAATTTCGACGCTACTATTTCACCACAGTCCTGAAATTGAAATGTTAGCTGCGCTAAATAGACTGGGAATGAAAGACATACCTGGCATCTAAAACAGTCTAAATGGAATGTCCCCTCCAATGCACGAACAAACTGGCCAGTCAAAGCCTCATTACACTTCTTGCAGATTCTGATCTGCCCAGAGCCAGTTCTCCCGTTGGGTTTTGTCCGCGATCTGTTTCGCTCTCCACTTCGCTTTGGCCCGCCTTCTCTGTCTCTCTCTCTTCTATTCGTGCTTCCAGATGGGGATGCAGCTAGCCTATTGTCCGGCTCTAACGTGCCATTTGGTCTCGGGAGTGTCTCCTGAAGGTCTCTCTCAGACTGGTATCGCCCGTTATCCGCTGGATGTAGTTGATGTTCATAGTCTGCGGGAGTCGTGTCTCTATCTGGGTCGTATGCCTTATACTGGCCACCCTGGTGGTGATTGTCCCCCAGGCCTCCCTCCGATTGGGGACTCATCATGCACTTTCAAATCTTGCCCCTTTGATGTCTCTCGCGGTATCGTCGCTTTTCTTTGTCAAAGGAGGGAAGGTGTATGGTAGTCGGTAAGGAGATTCAGTGTGGTCGAATTGTGGTCGCAAAGTGAGCGTATCGAAACCCAGAAAAGACCAAGGTAGGTGAGTAAGCTCCGAAAGACGCCGGAATTCGATCAGGTCAACTCCTCCGGGCCTCGATAACTGGCTCCAATAGTGAGCCGGCGACTCCAATATTCTGCCCGCAGCACCTGAAACAGCAAGTCTTCGTCTAAAGCAATACAAATTTCTATCTGCGCCCCTTCGCTCTAGTGCATTAATACGAGGAGTATGTCCTGGGGAGCGAGAGCAGGATTCGTAGTTGGGTGTGCTGCGACTCAGTCGCGTCGCTATTGATTTTGTTGATGTCGGATGTCAGTGCTGGTGCTGGCTGGTGTGGGTGTCGAGTCTGGGGGTTGGGGGGGGGGGGGGGGGGGGATTTGATTGCGCCCGCTAAGCCTGGATGCTCCTGCGCGCTCCCGAGCAATGTTCGCAAGTGTAGGAATAGATGTGACGGTGCCGGTGGTGAAGGAAGGAGAGGCGGCGCCAGCGACGAGGTGCCAGAGGTTGGAGGATGGAGGTTGGAGGATGGAGGTTGGAAGTCGGGGGGTGGGAAGTCGGGAGGGGGGGTGGAGGGGGAGAGGGAGAGGATGAGGCTGATTGATTGATGTTGGTTGCTGCTCGACGATGTTCACCTTCGACCCTCAACCTTCAACCCTGGTTGGGTAAGGTCCCAAATTCCCCACTAGTGTCTTCTGCCTCAGGCCGCCAGGTTACAGCCACTGCGGATCTTCAGTGATAGAGAGTAGAGAGAGTGTTGCGTTTACGTCGAAGTAGAGAAGGGATGAGCAAGCATTATTTCAATATCAATATGTGGTGCCGGACTGAATCAATTTATGCCTACCTCCATTTCCGAATTTGTGAGTTGCGAGTTCTAGGCTGTGTGTGGTGTGTGTTTAGCTCTGTTCAAGCCCCGTCTCGGCTCCTGATTTACGTTACTCTGTACGTACTGCAGGGGAGTTAGAGGAAAGGCGGTCCAAATAAAAGATATAACGACTTGTACGCAGTAACTGAGAGCGGTCACATCCTTGATGTATCGATGACATCTGCACATTGTCTTGGACACCTAGGTAAACTACCTATGCCCAATGTGGTATCTCCTTGTTCGCTTCGTTTCTGGTTTCTATAGTAGCAGTGCTGCCAACTCAGACCTCTAGATCTACCGGTAGCAGATCTAGATACTAGATAATACTCTATTATAGGATGAGGATAAACTACCGGTACCTAGCTACGCGAAGCCTCTATGCCGCAAGTACCTAGCTAGAGATGTTTGACACCGGACAACCAACCATTGAAGCATTCCCTCCTCTCTTTCCCCATGCCTTCCTTGCCTACCTACCTGTCCGTACCTGTACCTGTTCCTGTACCTGTACCTGGACGTGTATGCAGTAGTCAAGGTACCTACTTAACTTACCTTTCAGCCTCCCAAGCGAAGCGCCTTGGTTGCACCATTAAAGAGGACGACAACCGTTCCGCTTTTGCAGTAGATCAGAACAACTCCCCCCTACCGACCCTGTTTATTGAACCCGCCTTGAAACTTCACCACTTCCACCACCACCGTCACCACCAACTCCAACACTAACACCACCCACCACCCACCACCCACCACCATCACAACTGCTACCAACACCCTCTTCCTTACCCCCACCACCACATGAGCTTGCGTAGGGAGGAAGAGATAATACCTCGACCTTTCCGACTCTTCAGCGCACTTGTGATCGTCAAACATGTCGAACCATTCCATCATCCGTATTACCAGGGTTTGTTACTTATGCTCACCTGTTGGCGCATAGTGGGGTAGATCGCAAGGCTGACGCCCAGATCATAGGAGCTGGCCGAACTCCAGAAGACCACAGACCTGTGTATGTATCCTGCTACCTCCATCCATAATGCATCTATCCATCCATCACATCTATCCATTCATCCATCCATCTATCTATCTATCTGGGCCTGACTCTTCGGCTTAGCCCTGGCCGTCGCATGTCGAGATGTTGATGTTCGCAACGTGAAGGCTATCATCATCGGTCCTCCCGAAACACCGTATGAGTTCGGCTTCTTCGAGGTTTGTCACACGCCCTGGGACATGGTAGGCAGGCAGACGCTGACTTTTTTCTCAGTTTGCAGTGAAGTTTGGCAGAGGTTCGATGCTCCTCCGGGCCATGAGTTGACAAACAAGAGACTGAGACGATTCTAGACTACCCAGGAAAGGCTCCCTCGGTCATCGCCACCACTACAAACGCAGGCAGATGTCGCTTCAACCCTAACATCTATGCGCAAGGAAAGGTGTGCTTGTAAGTAGCTTCGCAGATGCCGGCACTGGCTGTACTCTGGCTGACCATACCTTCTAGGTCTATTTTAGGGTAGGGCACACACGTAACGTAAGAGGATCTGATGGCTGATATCATGGCACAGGACATGGCGGGGTGAGCGAGGAGAGGAATGGTCGTCCGCACAAGGGCTCGAATCTATTTTGATCTCGATACAAAGCCTCATGTCCTCGAACCCTTACGAAAATGAGCCTGGCTTCGAAACTGCCAATGAGGAGGTGGACAAGAAGAACCAGAAAGACTATGTAGCGAAGGTAGGATGCTCCTTGTGTCCAAGGGCGCAGTGCGGCTTACATTGAAAGTAGATTCGCCATGAGTCTCTCCGAATCTCCGTCATTCAACGCCTCGAAGATTATTTGGGTATCTCGCCGTCGGGAACCGTGGAGGAGCACTTCTCCATTGCTAGTTTCTACAGTGACGGTGAAGATGATATGGATCGGGACATCGAGGAGACGTCAGAAGACTTTGATCCATTCAAAGATCTTTGCAAACGCCGTTTCCTTTGGTACTACGACTCCTATCTCCTGGCTATCAGCAAAGCGAAAGCTGAAGTCACTGATGGGCAACCCTTCGTACGCATGCCCTTTGAGTGTACTGGAAATGGTATGGAAGGGAAGTTTGATTACACAGAGCTGGAGAGACGCTTACGGCTCATCCGCAAGACTATGGATGCTGAGACGGTCAGATGGGCTGAGGAGGGCTTGCACTCAAAGAAGAAGGAGAGTGGTGTTGCCGCGAATCTCCAACGTCAGTACGAGCAAGTTGTCGAGTCCTACAAGCGAAATAAGAATGTTACTCTCGACATTGAGCTCGTCGAAAAGAACCCGTTTGTCTGGTCAATCACCTACTTTGGACGCCCAATGACGAACCTTGACGGTGGTCTGTTCCGTATCAAGCTCCTCTTCAGCCCTCGTTTCCCCGAAGAGCACCCTAGAGCAAGATTCGAAACCCAGATGTTCCACCACCGAATCGCTTCTGACGGTACCCCATGCTACACTTCGCGGAGACCAGAGGACGTCAAGGCACATATCGAGGCTATTATCGAGGCTCTGGAAGAGGAGTCTCCACCGTACGATCCCAGGACTATGGTCAACCCCGAGGCTGCGAAGCTGTATTGGGGCTCAGCGGAAGACAAGAAGATGTACAACCGCAAGCTCCGTAGAGCGGTTCAGCGAAGCATGGAGTAAGTCGATTGTATCCTAACAGCCTCTCGTCCCTAACACACCTAACAGGGAGTGAACGAAATTGACGATGCGAGGGCGGTAACGGCAGGGCAAATACCAGCAGATGCTGCTTAAGTTTTTGCGGACCAGCTCTGCTATGTTCTGGCATGCTTTTCTCGCCAAAGATTCCCCATTTGACTAAGCTTTCTTTCTCACGGCACATCACAGTACCTCGCACTTTCAAGCATCTGTAAAGTGGAGTAGGTAGTTCTACATTCCAGCGCTCTCAATTTTCGGGTTCACGGAGTCTCAAATGGGTTTATTTTGGTTGCAGGGCCGGTACTAGGGCTACTAAAATGTTCAACGAGGGCTTGGTTGGGATGGGATAGGGGCGTTTAGCGAAGCGAATCGATGCCATTCAATGCAATACAGCAGCATTAGGTAGCTAGGAGACAGACAGAAAATATGAGTGCTCTGTGATTGAATCTGATGCTCGGCCTCCGAACTGCTTCCGGAAAGGAGATTTGCGTAAGATCTTGCTGACTTTGTTCATGATGAAGCTTCATCGGTATCATTACATTATATTAGCTTACGTGCCTGGTGTGAACAGTCCCCTCCCCTGCTCGCATCGGAAATTTCCTACCACCCAGAGACGCCCACTTCTCCTACCACCTTTATTGCCCCTTCTTCTCGCCCTCCCTAGCCTTCTCATCTACGAAATATCTAACGCTCCTCGCAATCCCGTCCTGCAAACCGACCAACGGCTTATAGCCCAACCGCCTCTTCGCCTTCCCACAGTCATAATACCGCGTCATGCAACTGTACCTAACCTGCCTCCGCGTCAGCTTGGGCGTCCGACCAACCACCCACATCCCCCACTCCAGCAAGGCACCTATCGCCATCCCGACATCGCGCCCAATGACCCAGACATGTTCGGTCCCCTTGTCGCTGCCGGCGGCCTTCCACACGGCGCGCGCAAAGTCCCAGAAGTAGCACGGCTCGTCGTTGGTGACGAAGAAGGACTCGCCGTCGACGCGCTCGTAGTCCAGCGGGGCCGTGGCCAGCTTGGCCGTCTGCACGAGCGCGAAGGCGGCCAGGAGGTGCGCGTGCGCCACGTTCAGCACGTAGGTGAAGTCGAAGAGGTTCTCGTTCGCGCCGAGCTGGAAGCCCGTCTTGGAGGTCGTGTGCACGTTGATTATGGGCGGGAGCACCTGTACGTCGCCTTCGCCAAAGATGCCGGCGGGGCGGAGGGAGCAGGTTAGGAGCGAGGGGTGGGTGGGGGAGCGGTTTGCGGCGAGGACGAGGGCTTCGGCTTGGGCCTGGAAAGTGAGGTAGGGAATCTTAGCTATTGGATGAACTGTGGGAATTTGAAGTCTACAGAGACTGAAGAGTGGAGGAGGAGGGAAACATGGAGATAGGCGAGTGAGAGAGAGCGGAGTGTACCTTTGTTGTAGAATAATACTCCGCTTGCGCACTCGCTGGGACGACAGGCCACCGCTCATCCGCATTCACCAAATCGTGTATCGTGTCCGAAATCACACTCGCAGAACTGGTGTAGACCAATGCCTTCACGCCCGTCTTCTGACACGCCTCGATTACGCACTTTGTCCCTTCCACATTGACCTTGTAGTACAAGTCGTTGCTGGCGCCCATCAAGTTCGGCGACGCAGTGTGGATCACCACATCTGGTTTCGCCTTCTCGAATATAGGTACCAGAGATTCGAGAGAAGTGATGTTGCCTTCGTAGTAGGCGACCCCATCGGGATCGGGACGGCGGTTGCGGGTTGTGGTGAGGTCGAGCACGGAGACCTTGGCTGTGTAAGAGGTGAGGAGCAGGTTGACGATGTGATGGCCCAGGAAGCCACAGCCACCGATCACGAGGACGTTTCCTAGGCGCTTTTTGGGGGGTTCGGGGATTGGCGTCATGATTGTTGTGTTCAGGTAAGTTCAGATTGACAGAGTTTCGGGTGAGGCTCAGTGAGGTTGAAAAATGGAGATATCTCGGATAAATTTACCATAAGTGAAAAAAATCCGGGGTCCTTTGGCGCTACTGTGCGGTAAACCAGAACCCCTGCCGCTGTCAAAATCAACCTCATGTCATCTTCTATCGGATTACGATACCGTTAGACATCTGATGGTACTTTTCTTGTTATATTTCCTCGCTCTGCCAGACCATCAAATCTTTTCCAGAACTACCCTAACAGTTCTCAATCCCATCTGATACTTTGATTGTTGTCTCGTTGTCTCCAATTCCCGGTAGCGGCTTGAAAACACGGGCTTAGAGACGTTCTGGAATGCTTCCATGCCTCGTGTCTGCTCATCCCCACCTTTTCTCTCTGGTGGAGCGACCGTTAGCTCTTCTTGTCTGTGTATCCTTACGGTGATGGTTGCAAGAGCGGTCGATTCCGGTCTCAGCAAGCTGGAGAGACCGAGGACCACTAGCCCGAGACTCCTTGCTGAAACTCCTGCTTACGTTCCTGAGAAGATACTCCTATGGATTCGGAAATAATGAACATGGTCACATCTCGGCTTCTGCGTCGTCTAGGTCGCATTGCTCAGTTTACCGAAGGGCTTCATGAATCATGATGCCTGGCACGTGATAGAGGACCCCAAGCCATACGTCTATCAAGCCTTCTTGGTTAAGCTTAATTGGTCGATAGCTTTCTGGGCTGAATTCTGCTTCTCTGAATATCAATCGGATCGTCAGCTTTCTCTGTCTGTTTTAATTCGCTTGGCACCGTGTGCTCCAAATGTCAAGCGAGGCATTTTCTTCTTCTGAGAGCTTCATTGGTCGTCAAACAGGATACCGTCTAAGCGATTTGTGAGAGCCTCGAAAGGCTGTGAGAGATTAACGGATCGCTGGGCCGAGTACGGGTGGCACTCATGCCCTCTTCGTTACGGAGTGACGAGCCTGGCTGTGGATATTCTTATCTCTAGGGAATTTTGAACGCAAATGCAAATTTGTACAAAGCCGAGATAGCGCCCTCAAATTCTCTTTTTCTCGCGCTTAATCCTCCCTCTTACTTTGCTATTTCACTTTCTCTACTCACTATTTCCCCTGCTTGATTTCCTCGTCTCTTTACAGTCTTCGAATAAATAACCAACCAACAATCAGGTTGGCAACCTCTTCCAACCAGCCCAAACCCACAAAACTTCCCCCAGTACATCAGAATGCAGCCCTTCGCCATCTTTGCCATCTTTGCCATCTTCGCAGCTTCTGCTCTCGTCGTCTACATTGACGGATCTCCCCTCGATTCTAGTAGCCCCTGTGGCAGCGAGCGCACCATCTGCCAGTGGGCTCTAATCTCTTATTTCCCAACTAACCGGCATCATCACAGCCTCGGCATGCCTTGCTCAATGTGCTATAAACACCTCGTGTCTCTCGTTCGTATTCGGCATGGTCGATGGAGTTATTGAGTGCATGCTCCACCCGACCCGTATAGCGAGCCTGATAGGATTGTTAGACCTTGCGTAGATAGTCGTGTTTCAGAATTACATGCGTTCGTCGAAGGTCTTGTTTAGTAGAGATGACCTTTCACCATATATATTCATTTCCATATTCATTTCCACATCAGACTACCAGCCTGTCGAGAATTGTTCCGTGAGCCGTACCCCAACCGCTTGTAGACTACTATCGATATCTCCATCGTCACTGCTTGGATCATCATCAATTTCCTCATCCGAGTCATCAATACCAATTCATGAGTGAGCATACATCTCCTTCTCACCCTTGCGCCAGCCTGAATCCCGCAGCCAGCCAACGATACTACGAGTTGCAAGGACAGATAGGAATCCGAGAATGCCCCTCAGCGTCGGTAAGAAAAAGCAAACGGCACTCATCCGAACGAGGAAGTTCCCGATCCTCCTCCTCCTCGAGCCCGGGTCGATCGTCAGGTACGAGACTAATGAATGAATTCGTGGTACCAGTCCACGCAGCGGCGTCAAACTCTATTGCTGCTAGCCCTAAATTGACACATCGCAAGAAGTAGTCTGCCACTCCGCTTATGGCGGCCCTCATCCATAACGCTGCGAGCTTAGGTTGCCGTCTCCCATAATGACGGCAATGATGGGAGACGGCAACGCTTTCAAAATCCCCGGTTTTGACCAAACGGGTTGATGATTTCCAGGATTGGTTGGAGCCAGGGACCGACAAGGTTGCAGGGGGCTTGAGGGTCGAAGAAAGAGCCGCAGAGAAGGACATGCATCCCGCGCGTGTTACGACTCAAGGTCATGTCGTAACAAAGTAGCTTGCTCTCTTCCCAAACTATCGCTTGCTTCTCGTGACTATCGGTAAGGGACGAGTGCAGCGAGCCGGTGGCAGAATGCTTTGCGATGTCGTATTTGGCAATGGGAGCTTTGCACTTCTATCGCCGAGGAACGGAAACGTCAAAGCCGCAGCCAGAGCCGCGGGGCACTGGTTGTCGATATAGTGATGCATAACAGAGTCAGCGAGATCTCTCAAGGCAGCTTCTGAGGATGGCGGAACAAATGGGTGTCTGAAAGATACATATCGACCACGGAGATCGGTAAATAGTGGCATTTCGTGTGATCTCTGCTCGCCAACCTTCGCCTGGGGCTAAGATCGCGGCTCACCAACGCGCTGCAGCATCGTCGACATTTCCGAGATCGATGTGAAGTCCGTCTGGGGACTTTTCAGCACGCTCAGGCATCTAATTAACTTTGGCAGCAAAAATAGAAAATACGGCCTTCTTGTTATACACAATCTGCCGCAGCTTCGGAATGTTGCATCTCTAGCCAGCGGGCTGATAGAATATACGCCCAAGCAAAAGCTAGAATAGCAAGAAAGTTGCCGCTCACGGCAACCCCGCCATCACAAAGGCCCGGCCAATCTTTGAAACGTGAATCGTTCGTGAAAGAACACGGCGTCGATTTTTGGATGCCCAGAAGTAGCTAATAAGGAATGATATTATCCTTGGGACCGCAAAACCTCTCTGCTGTCCGCCAGGTTGAGTATCCGCTCACATAACTTTCTGTCTGATTCCGAGCTCGTTGTTCCAGCTTTAGCCGCGGTGGTCCGCCGTGGTCAAATCAAATCGCTGGCCACATATGCTGGAACCCATCCAAGCACATTTCGGAGCTGGAGGTGGTACGGTTGAAGGCCGTCTTGAAGATTTGTATCTCTGGAGTAAAATGACCACATCTTATAGCTTCTTGCAAGCATGCGCTGATTACCCACTTGGCTAGCTCGAACAGCATCTTCCAGCTCACTCATCTGCATTGCAATATTATGTTTAGGAAGATTTATAACATAAGAACCTGAGTAGAGGACGTACACTTGAAGCGGAAAATGAATGCTGAAGCAGCGCTAAAGGAAGGGATGTTAAGATGCAGCAAAACTTGAAAAGGCTTCAAGCAAGTAACACAGCATGGAATGGTTGGGGCTAGGTGGGTCTTCATCAGATATGGTTGTAGCTAGAAGGTTTCGATGCGTAAAAGAGAGGCTGGAGGATTAACATACTCCCCACCAGCAGACAGCAGCTGTCGCTAACCAGAAGCAGCTTCGCTTATGTCACTGAAGGGGAAGCTTCGGAGGCGAGGACAAGAAGGCTGGTGATGCGTGAATCCAAGGCCTCAAGGCTATAATAAATAGAGTGGATGGGAATAAATGTTCCTTTCTCGTGCTTGAGCCTGCCTGTTTCTGTAATAAGAAGGGGACAGGCTGATAGTGCAAGGAGGCATGGGTAGGTGTGAGCCATGAGTGAGCTATGAATGACTGACTATATGCCTGGCTGTATACTAAGCGACTAGACGGCAGCGAGCCAAATCCGTTCCGTAGCGACGAGACATTCCCGTACCTACCTACCCACCTACTTACCACCTATTGCACTATTAATTTCTTACTATCAACAGCGTCAGCACCAGCATCAGCACATCGAAAAACCAAATGCCTATAATCGAAACCGCTGTTCCTGCATTCGGGAACGACGCTTTTCCATACCTACACCAGCATAAACCTAAAATGCGCCCGCCCATATGAGCAGCGTGCATATATTACCCACTTAACACCACCACCCTATCAATACAGCCCCTCATCATCTCCTGTATCGTGAAACCCCATATCAACAGTCTTCTCCTTTCCTTTCCCCTTCGCGCCAATCCCATTTACCTCATCATTATAGAAATCCGCGTCCTCGTCGCTCTCACCATCACTCCAGCTCCCCACGGACTTCTCCTTCCCCTTTCCCTTCCGATCAACAGACTTCTCCTTTCCCTTGCCTTTTCCGCTGTTCCTCGGGCTGACTTCGTGATCATTGCTCTTCTGCCACTCCGGGATGCCTTGTCCAGCATAATCCTTGCCCTTGCCTTTGCCCTTGACATCGTTTTCTGACTTCGATTCCTCCTTGTCATCAACTTTCTCAAACTGCGCTCTGACCGTTTGGTAATGCTCCAACTCTTTTGCGCTAACACTAGGAACTAATTCTCTCTCAGCGTTGATGAAATCCTCTTCCATGACCATAACAGCCACATCTTCCTTGGTAGCGTAGTGGTCGAAGAAGTACGCGGTTGATATCTTAGGTTTACCAGACGAGGCGTTGATGCCAGCGATTTTGGAGTCGACGAGGGAGGCTTGCCGCGTGACAGCTTTCAGCATGGCATCTGAACATAGCGCGTAGAAATCCGCACCGGTGTAGGTGAAGGGGAGGCGATCGGCGATACGAGGGAGAGAGAGGGTAGGGTGGAGAGTAAACCTATTGTTGTCAGTGTCATGTAAATTTTGGTGAAGAGATTAGGGTATGTGTACTTTCGCGTCAGAGCTTCCATGATAGTCAACTGCTTCTCATGCGTATCGCTGACTCCAAGATACAGCATCTTGTCGAATCTTCCTGGCCGCAGGAGGGCGGCATCAAGCAAATCAGGACGATTAGTAGCACCGATGACAAAGACACCACCGCCTCCGTCCTCGCCATCCGACATACCGTCCAGCTCGGCGAGAAGTTGAGAGACGATTCGGTCCATGACTCCACCACTGTCACCTTGATTGCCCCTCTTTGGCGCCACGGAGTCCAATTCGTCGAAAAACACAACACAAGGTCTTGCGTCTCTCGCACGCTGGAAAACTCGACGTACATTCGCCTCTGATTCTCCAATGTACATGTTAAGCAATTCAGGCCCCTTGACACTGAAGAAGTTGAGACTGAATTCCGTTGCAATAGCCTTTGCAAGAAGCGTTTTTCCAGTACCAGGAGGGCCATAGAACAGAATACCAGATCTTTTCTTCATACCCTTTGCAAAAAGCTCAGGGCGTTCGAGCGGGAGCTGGATAGTCTCCATGACTGCGTCCTTGACATTTGTCAAACCACCAACGTCGTCCCAGCCTACGTTCGGGATCTTGGGCGCGCCAATGGCATCGGCGAAGTTCTTCCGAGCAGCGTCAACAGCCAGGTCAAAATCTGCTTTAGTCAGAAATCTTCCCGCGGGGCCTCCAGCGACCACGATATCGCGAACGGTGACGGCCGTCTCTAAATCTGACGCGGCAGACGCAAGTGCTTCGATGCGAAAATTTCGTGCTACGAGAGCACGGTCGACAACATCGACGAGATCACCTGCCACCAGGGCCGCTGTCTTGACAGCGACACCACTGAGGTCGACTTCCGGGGCGAGTGCAACAGGCTGGTCATCGATGATGCTTCTGAGAATTCCTTCTCGTTCCCACTCATCGGGTGCATTCATCTCAAGCTCATGAGTGAACAGGCCTCGGACACCGTCTGGGATCTTGTCAACCTCAGTCGTGGTCGCTATAATGACCCTTGCACCGGCCAGTATCTCTTTCAAAGCAGATATCATTCTGTCCGCCGTGAGCGCCTCGATATGCCGTATCAAAAGAGCACAAAACTCGGGGCCACAAGTCATTGCACGTTCAGCACGGGCTTCCAGAAGTCCGGCAGATTTAACGTCGCTGCCGGCACTTCCTTCACTTACAATGTCATAAGCATCGATTGTGAAGGTGTGGAGGCCAATGTCAGCACATGCGAGGCGTGACATTGTCGCTTTGCCGATGTTTCTCTGGGTTGAGACCAGAAGTATGGCCAAAGGCGGTAGCTTGAGATGTATAGCCCGAGGACTTGTAGCAGCAGCAATCAGCTCCCGCAACCGTCTTCGGAGAGCCGATACGTGGTGCCGTCTGGGCTCTGGGATTGAAGATAAGTGAGGTTCCGACTTTGGAACTGATTTCAATCCAAGGTAGTGCTCCCAAGAGCTCTCCATTGTCGCTGGAAGTCGACTGTTTTCGCTCCCCGACTGCGTCATATGTGCTGTGGAAACATCAATTGATGCAAAGCCGCCCCAGATATCATCGTCCTCGCCCACCTCGGCATTGTCTTTGAAAGCACCGATGTAGCCAATACGAAACCAACCCACACCGGTAGGTTTCGATGCCTTCATGGGCCTGAGATCACCGAGAACAGTATTTGATAACAAATCATCGACCTCTAGATCATCATTAGCGGCTGGCTGGTATAAGGTTCGCCCAAGATCTTCGTCGATTGGAATTGCCAACAGGTCCCCCTTCTGGACGACTCTGATGCGACTGGAGAAGTGGCGCTTCAGACCGGAGAAAAGAGCATTCTGTAAAGCACGCTCTGTTGAGAATGGTGTTGAGATCTTTAGGAGCGTAAGCTCCCGAGCAAATGGTGGCCGAGATGCGCCGGTGATCTTTGTTAACGATGCCCTCATGGGAACAGGGACTCGCTTCAGCGCAGAGAGTCTACAATATGGAGTATTGCCCATGTTGGCAAGCAGGATCGGGGAGAGGTATACAGTTGGGCTAGATGGCTTTTGAACTTGGGACTCGAAGAAAGACATCCGCCTCTCTTCCCGCTTACTGGTTGGGATCTTCGTCACTGGACGCTGAGCATAACTTTCAGGCAAGCCGAAGACCTTGACTGGTCGCCACATGGGTTCTTCTTCAGGGGCACAGAAACTGCCCAGCCCCCACAGACCGGCGCCTTGCGGAGGAGGCTCAGCTGCGGCTTCTAATCGCACCCAGTCTCCCGAAAAACAGCCAATCTTTGTCAACGAGATGATGTCAACGTATACTCTGGCTTCATCGTCATCTTCAGCACTGGGCTTCGGATGCAAGGTCTCTTCTGGAAGTGGTTTGACCAGCCCTTGGGCTTTAAATAGACGTCCTCGCTGGCCACCAGCGCGTGCTGTGGTCGCAGTGAACGAAGAGAAAACGGACCCGGGTGTGCTTATTCCGTTTGTCTTTCCACTTCGGCCCACAGTCATGGGAGTACCAGCTTGCATGGTAGATATCCCACTGGCATTGTGGGTTGGAAGGGTCGGTGCTTGTAGTGAGATCAGATCGTCCATTGAATCATCCGAAAGATCATCATTCTCCATGTCTGACAGGTCTGTTTCGGTATCAGTCTCTGTATCCTCGTCCTCTATGGCAGCATCAGTCTTGTAACGATCCTCAGCCGCGGAGTAGAACTGTTCGTTCGAGGTATCCTCGTCATCCTCGGCCAATCCATCCAGGGCTCGGTTGACGGATAAATTCTGCGAGTTTCTGATAATTTTCGCGTGGTGCCCGGTTTGTGTGATGATAATTTTGGTTTGAGCTGAGAGAACACCCTGGCCGACTGGCTCGGTGAGGGTAACTTTCGCAGGTGCAGGCTGAACATGAGTGACCGGATGCGGCGGTAGAGGCAGGGAGAAGATATCGCCAGTGTGAACTACCTTCAATGCGCCCAGAGACTCTCGAATTGCAGCCGCCAGCCGATCCTCTGGTATTTTGGAGATCGTCTTCCCACTCGATAACCCATTCATTCTAGCAGATTCTCCATGAAACGTCCCTTCGCCATTCTCCAGTCGTCTTGCCAGTTCTCCTTCAATTGCCACAAATACTGTTTCCAGCGGAAGTGGTACGACGTCCAAGATCCGAATCTCAATACCACTCCGGCTATGACTGGATAGTTTTGAGGGAGCAACTTTCTGGAGAGCTTCGGCGAAGCTTTGCAGAGCCAAGGAAGAAGGCGAAAATTGAACAGTGGAATGCGCAAGTGCGCTGGATGGTCTAACTGGCAGTACTGTCCACGTAAAGTCTTCGACAGATGTTGAAGGTCCCCAAGGAGATATCGCGACATGGTGGAACTCGGGTGCGTTCGAAGCACCATTACTGGTTTCCAGGGCTATGGAATCAGCTGTTAGTTATATGCGGTGAGTCATAATCTCGAGTATCTAACCATGAGCCAAACCAGGAAACAAGTCTGCGAATAGATCCTCTGAGAGAATGCCGACATCGCCCTTCACATGGTCATCCAGCACCAGCCTGGCAGATATGGCCGACTTGTCCTGCCTCCTCCTCTTGCGCTTCCGACTCTGTGATATTGGTATTTGGTCTACCATGATTATGGAGGCGAAGGTTTGCTGGCGGGCTGGAATCGCGTTGAGGTTGCGCTTCACGCCTCGAGGGGCTTCGGATTCATGCTATGAGCATGCTTCGGAGTCGAGATTGTAAGGACACGGGTGGATCATAAGCCAGCCGGAATGGCCGCAGAGCGCAGAGCCGATTGCTTTGCGTGAATGTGACGTGAAGATGTTTGGGTTGCGACGCCGGCGAGTACATCACTTTTCTCTCGACACATAGCTGAGCGTCAATAACAACTGCCAATGGCCCGAGGCTCGAGACCGAGCCAAGACAAGGTGTGGCGTAGTGGCTTGACGAACAGATCATGTGACTACAAAGAGAGCTTCAAGCAGTAGGGAGAGCAAGCTCGAGAGTAGTTAGGCTTGATGCCTTTTTTTTTTTTTATCCCCACTCAAACGGTATCATCTGTACGCGAACCATGGACAAAGCGATGTGTCGTTGCAGTTTCCAACCGGGCGGGGATAGATTTTCGCTTGCCTGTTGACTTTGACCTCGCTTCGGTCTAGGCAGGTAACTCAGAGCCTTACTCCAACCGGCCCAGGCTTTCACTACGGATTATTGACTTCGGCTTTGGAGATACTCGGAAGCTTTATCTTCCTTATTTGGTTGAAACTTCTATTGCGCGGCACATGGCGGCATATGATTATTTTTTTTNTTTTTTTTTTTTTTTTTGGACTTTTGGACTTCCTCGCCACCTGTGGCTCGTGGAACAAAAGCTTATGTTGATTTCAAAGTCTTATAAGTAAATTCAAATTCGACGTTCTCTGGGAGCCACAAATTTCTGCGAGCATTTCTAAGAAATGTTGCGCGGCTCAAATATCTGTCAGCCGGCTGAGTACCTACCGGTATCAGCCTCCTCCTGGACATGATGTCATTACGGGGGCTCTTCTGCATCGGACCCCAGCCGCTGTCTGAGTTCCGATCAGGGCACTTCCCTACGGAGATACTATCTAGGTAGGCAGGTACTTGTATTTTTCTCATGACGTACTGTCTCGTGTCCCTGCTGCCGATGTTTCTTCCTATCAAATGAGCGCTGGCTTGCTCTTGAATATGTCTCAGTACGAAATGCCCTATCCGGATTGAGGAATAAAAAGATATGCTGCTCGGCGTCAACGGGTCTGTTGAAGTTAATGTTGAGGTTGATGTTGATTCTGATGTTGATGTTAATGTTGATGTTAATGTTGATGTTAATGTTGACGTTAATGTTGATGTTAATGCCAACGTTAATGTTGATCTTGATCCGTGAAAAGTGGTCTTCACATGCCAGTCGCCATTGGTTCTCATCAACAGCTGCAGACCGGCTTCTCTTCTCCCTACAGTCAACAAAGCAAGCAGTATAGTCAAACATACAGCAGTCAATTGACTCTCGGTCATCTCACGATCCTCCCTGCCCTGCCCACTCACCTCTATCTATACACAACACTGTCGATAAGTCCTCGACTGGACTGGACTGACTATATTCAACCATGCGCGACAAGATGCCCGCGACCGCGACGGGTGGCACAGGCACAAAAACAGTGTCTGCGGAAATCAAATACGCACACCAAGTCGAGAAACTATCGCTGGCACCGCCACCACCAGGCGACGACAGCGCCAGCGATAGCGATAGAGCCGGCGTCGCTGTTCAAGCTCATCTTGTAACGCCACAAGATGCCATTGTTGTCACAGGCGATGGCGGGCGATTACCCGCCATACCTCTCGCAGAAGCGGCGAAGCTCAATCGACTGAAAGCCGTAGTAGATGGCGACCCGGCAGGAATCGCACAAGCAGGACTATTATCAGAAAGATCAGAATCAGATAATGGGCGGTCGGATTCGCACAACAGGGAGACAATCCAGAGGACTGGCGAGGGTTCTCTGCGGGAGGCTATGCCCCCTTCCAGGACGAATCCTTTATTCCCGCCTCTACCTCTCTATGGCCCGTCGTCGATGAAAAGGGATTTGCAATGCATGGTATTCCGAATCTCATCGTTCTTTCTATCGGGGGCCTTTCTCGGAGCCATTGTCTTGGGGGCCGCGGTGACGAGTCTGAAGCCTATGCTCATTCATATCTGGCTGCGTCTTACGTTGCGGGATCCGGACGCCAGACGACCGTTCCATCTAGAGGAAAAGAAATTGAAGGAGCTGAGGAAGGATGAGGATAATGCTTGGAAGAAGAAGAAGAAGAAGAAGAAGCTGCGAGCGCGGAAAACTGTTACAGCAAAACTGGACGACGACGACAACGACGATGGGGAGGACGAAGCTGGATCCGAAGAGTTTATCCCTACAGAAGGTGGTCCAGATCCTCTAGTATGTGATGTTGGATACTACGCGCGTCGAGTTGGGCTAGATATGGAAACATTTAAAGTCCAGACGGAGGATGGCTTCATCATCGACCTTTGGCATATCTACAACCCTCTCGAGTTCACCCCAAAGTCACCAAGCGAGCGCGCAGCACGAGGCCCTGACATCTTCACCAAAGCTGATTCTTCCCGTCCAGCAAGCTCTCGAAAACCCAAATTTCCCATCTTGATGATCCACGGGCTCCTCCAGTCTTCGGGAGCATACTGTACCAATGACGACCGCTCTCTGGCCTTCTACCTCTGCAAATCCGGCTACGACGTCTGGCTTGGTAATAACCGCTGCGGATTTAACCCCAATCACACCCTTCTCACCTACAGCGATCCACGCATGTGGGCGTGGAACATCAGACAGATGGGCGTCATGGACCTCCCAGCCTTAACCTCCCGCGTCCTTTCGGAAACGGGTTTCCAGAAGCTAGGCCTGATCGCCCACTCCCAGGGCACAACGCAGACGCTCGTCGCCCTCGCCAAAGAACAGCGCCCTGAGCTCGGCGACAAACTCACCGTCTTCTGCGCGCTCGCTCCAGCAGCATACGCCGGCCCACTGATCGGAAAAGCGTACTTCAAGTTCATGCGTAAGATCTCGCCCGCTTTCTTCCGCCTCATATTCGGCATCCACGCCTTCATCCCGCTGATGATGATAATGCACACGCTCATCCCCGGGAAACTGTACGGCGCCATGGGATACGTGGTCTTCCACTTCCTGTTCAACTGGTCTGATACCCGCTGGGACCGCGGGCTGCGGAACCGCCTATTCCAGTTTGCGCCCGTGTATGTGAGCGCGGAAAGTATGCGTTGGTGGCTTGGGCGTGAGTGCTTCGCGAGACAGAAGTGCATTCTTGCTACGCGCGAGGAAATTCATGCGGAAGACTCCGAGGACGAGATGGAGGACTACTACAAGAGGTCTGAACAGCAAGATAAATCGAACGGCCTATACGTCCGGGAATCGCATTTCCACCGAATCGCCGAGGTCAAGAAGAAGCACGAACGGAAACCTAAGGGAAGCACGGCGTGGTATAACGAGCAAGTGCCGCCCTTCGCGTTATGGGTTACTGGCTCGGACGATTTAGTCGATGGTAGACGCCTATTGAAACGATTCGAGAGGGGGCGAGAGCCACATGTGCGAATCGTGCATTCGCATATCATCGAGGAGTACGAGCACCTAGACGTCATCTGGGCGATGGACTGCATTGAGAAAGTCGGCTGCGAACTCAAAGAGGTGTTGTGGAAAACGTGCGACGTGAGGGATCAAGTGCGTATCCCGATGGGGTGCGAAAATATCGCGGCATGGAAAGATCCGAAGCTTGATGGAACGGTCGCCGAGCGCATGGGGGGTGCTGATGGGGCGAGTGAGGGGAAAGAAAAGGAGGGAGAGGGAGAGGAGGAGGGTCAGAGTAGTAGCGAAAGTTTCTCGAGTGCAGAGTTATAGGGAGATAGAGACAGACGTAGTAAATCATGATTTGATAGATAAGATGGCGCATTATTAAGCGGATTGGATTTGGTCGGCATAGGCGTTTGCTTTGAAAAAAAAAAAAAATAGGATACACGCATCCGTAAGCAAACAGATGTATGAGAGCTTAAGAAGGCGATACGTAACTCTATGTAAGTAGCGAATCTGCTATTATCTTCCGTTCTGCTGTCAAAGTGATCCCCTATCTTGGGCCTTGATCAAAGTATTCTTTACTACCAGCAGTGACGAACGACGAAAGGAGCACTGCACTCTACAATCTCAACTCTCGAACTAGTATTGCCATGTTAAAAAAAACGATATTCCCGAAGAATCATAAGTTTTGGAAAGAGAATGGCGGTTTCCCTACGAGTGAAATGTCTGTGTTAAGAAGGCTTATCCATACCCCTTTACTTGACAGCATCGGTGGATGGTTTTGAATACAGACCGACATACTTCTTGCTCTACCATCGTCTATTCTAGAAAGAAAAATCCAATTCCTGCTTGATAGCTTCTGAATGCTTGTTCACTCACCATGTCCTCTAGACTTTCGCATGCATGATAATAAAAGCTGATGAAAGATCAACCAATCTGCTAATACTACCGACGAACTATCCTACTTCTGAGGAGAAAGAGCCTGTGGACGAGACTCACCCAAATTTGGCATCCCAGGGCTACCTTTGTTCCCCCTCCCTGACTCTCGGACTTTTCTGTGGTTGTCCAGAGGGCGTTAGGCGTGGAATAATACCTATTCAGATTCATGTCCGGACTACCGGTTGTGTTTCTCTTCCAAAGAGAGTTTGGAAGAGGAGATTTCTTTTGCTGCCTTTTGAAGACGTGGTTATTCGCGAGGGTATTGGCATGCGCTGGTATGGGGATATAGGATAAGGGGTTAAATTCATTGAGAGGGAGTATTAAAAAAGTAGATTCTGTTGCTGTCATTTAGGGAGGTGTGGCTATCGGACTTTTGGAATTTTTGGTGGTGTGGTGTGATCAGGCTTGATAGCTGTATATCAGTTGATAAGATCTACAGCGTTGAATATGAAAGGGTGGAAGGAGGATATGATAGGAAATGCAGTTGTTCCTTCAGGTTAAAAGATTGTTGCCTTGCATTCTCATATGCTGAGATAGATAAGTCACGATAAGCTGTTTCGAATCTATATACGGAAGGAGCGTACGCCAAGGCTCAGAGAGAGAACTTTTGTATTTCCTTCTCTCCTTTTAAATAATAATATGAATTACTGTTCCTCCTCTAATTCAGATTGATTCCATCTATTCGCCTGCCCCCTTCCGGGCGCGCGTTGGAGTCGGCTTTCTGAGATTGTGAAGAGATTACCTGCGAGAAAAACTGCGGGCCGACGATGCCAGAAAGTTCGTGGAGGGAAGCATCCACATTGATTACGTTATGGGTTCCTAGTGGCACTAAGAAGTATATACGTAGACTTGCCTCGCCTCTTAGACTAATGATCATCCTCCTCTTCTCCCACTTCTGAGTGGGCCTATTTTCTATGACGACGAGGATGAGGATGAAGACGATCGTTATCTGCGAAAAAAAAAAGGAAAAAAAAAGGAGAAGGAGAGGGAGAGAGAGATATGAAACAGTGATAGCGAAAAGGAAAGCTTGGCAATAGCAGTGGCAGTGGCAATAGCTACAGCAAAAACCATAGCAATAGCAATAGTAATAGCAATAGTAATTCATGCAAATTATCAGCTAATCACCAAACCTCATCAACTAAAAAATACTATTCAACAAAAAGCAAGATGAGCAAAGAGAAAAGATATGCTCTGAGATTTCATAGATAAGCAAGTAAAGTATATTAAAACACTGAAACACGATAACATCCCACGACAGCTATCGCATCTCTGTTTTCTTTTGCGCGATAACCAGTACTTGTTTGCGAACGAACGGGCTGGGGATTATATACTTTGCTGGTCAAGTAGGCGTGCGTTTTAATAGATCTAAGTCAGACTGGTGAGTTAGGCTCGGATTTAGTTGTAATCGTCAGCTCGCTTAAGTGAATCTCCATTCATTGTTTTAAGATTGAAATGATAAATGGAGGGCCACTTAAGCGAGCCGACGAATCCGTAAGCATTGAATATTTATTTTAAGGTAGAGAGTTTTTGCTTGAGCAGATAGACTTTCTTATCCTACGTAATAGACTTTCCCATCATCTGGTATGCCAAGGTCGGATACGGATGATCCGCAGCAAGGAATATTTTTCAAAGGTTATTTCAACGGCTCAGATCAAAGAGAAGAGAAAGTCATGTCCGATAATAGAAGATTAAATAATAAGCTTCGCGTCCCCGCCAGCACCACCAGTCTCCTCCAACTTTTCCGCGCTGCCAGTCGTCTTGGCTATCGCTAAAGCCTCAAAGGACTGCGTGAAATCGGCAATAATGTCGTCGATGTGCTCCGTACCGACTGAGATACGGATGAGATCCTGTTTAGCTGTTAATAACTATCTTCTGTGACTTGGTGTTAGGCGGGATCCAAAAGACCATACCTCCGTGACACCACTCGCGCCTTTTTCTTCATCGCTCAACTGCTCGTGGGTCGTGCTCCACGGATGAATAGCCAGCGTCTTCGAATCGCCCACGTTCGCCAGATTCGAGATGAGCTTGAAGCCGTCCACCACTTGGCTACCTGCCGCTCCCCCGCCCTTGACACCAAAGCTCAAGACGCCACCGAAGCCTCTCGCGAGGTACTTCTGTGCCAGCTGATGAGATGGATGGGATGTCAGGCCCGGGTACGACACCCAGGCAACATGCGGGCAAGCTTCCAACCACTTCGCCAACGCCAACGAGTTCTGGCCGTGGCGCTCCACACGCAGACTGAGAGTCTCGATACCCTGGATGAGCTGGAACGCGGCAAAGGGATTCAGCGCGCTGCCCACGTCCCGCAGAATCTCGACGCGCACCCGGACCGCGAAGGCGATCGGTCCGAACGTCTCCCAGAACTTCAGGCCGTGGTACCCCGGGCTCGGCTCGACCATCGCCGGGAAGCGCTTGGCGTGCCTGCCCCAGTCGAAGTTGCCCGAGTCGACGACGACACCGCCAATTGTGGTCCCGTGGCCGCCGATCCATTTAGTAGCCGAGTGCACGACGATGTCGGCGCCGTGCTTAATGGGCTGCACGAAATATCCTCCCGCCCCGAAGGTGTTATCCACCACCAGGGGCACACCATGCTCGTGTGCTACTTTTGCAATGGCTTCGAAGTCGGGGACGTTATACTTGGGGTTCCCAATGCTTTCAATGTAGACGGCTTTGGTGTTCTCGTCGATGGCGGTGGCGAAGTCCTCTGCCTTGTCGCCCTTAATGAACTTAGTGTTGATGCCGAGACGGGGGAGGAAGACTTTCAGTTGGTTGTAGGTGCCGCCGTAAAGGTTCGTTGTGCTGACGATGTTGTCGCCGGCGTGGGCGAGGGCTGCAATGGCAATGAACTGGGCGGCTTGGCCGGAGGATGCAGCTACTGCAGCAACGCCACCTTCGAGGGCTGCCATTCGTTTCTCGAAGGCATCGACGGTTGGCTGGGAGGATTCAGCTTACCGATTTGAAGCATAATGGGTCAAAGGAGGCGTACGTTCATCATCCGACTGTAAATATTGCCCCATGCCTCCGAGTCAAACAGTCTCGCGCCATGAGCCGATCCATTAAACGTGAAGCTCTGCATACAGCCAGCACCCCATTAGCTTCGGGATGCAGCGCACGGCTGATTTGAAGCTGTACATACGGTTGTCGCATAGATAGGAATTGCCCGCGCATTGGTTGTCGGATCTGGTTCTTGGCCTTTGCAATTGTGAGCCTGTCTAAGTATGTAGGTAGGTAGCAAAGGAAGGGGTACTTAAATACCTGCGTGCAGTTGGAGAGTGTCGAAGTGAGTAGGAGGAGGTGACATGGTCCCGGTTGGAGGTTAGAAGTTGGATGTTGGATGTCGGGTGTCGGGTGTCGGGTGCTGGATGTGAATGTATTCACTTGTGTAGATGTGATGGAAAGGGGGGAAGGATGGAAAGCATTCGACTCGAGCTCATTTTCGGCGCCTCTGATTTCAGCGATCATTACCTGGGAATCGAGCGACTTGAGCACGCCGTAATACCACTTCAACAGCCGCAATCACTTTCACCTACCGTCACGTGGCCGCACCGAAGCCTGCGGGCCGGCTGACTGCAGGAGAATTGTATATATATATATTTATATATACAGATTTATATTTGTATTTATATTTATAAATATATGTAAACATATACGGCCAGGCACAGCTGTTTACTTATAGGATTTACTTATAGGACGCTACGTCCAGGTACACTCCGTACGCCCTATCTCTCCATTAATCACGTGCGCGCCTCGCTTCCCTTACTTTCTATACACATACACCACTATTACACCCACATACACCCATACATACATCGGTACGAATTCCGTCTCACGGAGCATTGTATGCATTGATTGAGACCTGACACTGACCTCAAATTCAACCTCAACCTCGACCTCGACCTCGACCTCAAGCTCGGCACATCCAAACAAAACACTGCCAACATGAAGAAGTTTGCTGTGAAACTGTCGCGGCTCGACCTTTGGTTCAGAGCGACGAGATCAGATCGTCCAGATATTTTGAGTGTTTCTGGTTCTGGTGCTGTGCATGCGCCTCGAGATCAGATTGGTTCAGGCTTGTTTTGATTCTCTGGTCGTGTTTTTACTTTTGTTCTCGTCTTTGTCTTTGTCCTTGTCTTTATCCATGTTTCTGTTTCCTATGCCCTTGCGTACGGTTCGGTGCTTCTATTGCAGACTGCAGTCCGGGTTTCCTGGTTGAAATCATTGGCAGTGGCTACCGCGTCTCGCCAAGCGCACAGTCGGCCTCGACCCGTTTCATAATGATACAGAAGGGGATCAATGCAGCCGCTTTCCATCCATCGAAAGCTTAAGACGCCAGCGTGCCTCCGGTTGTATGCCTCACATCTCTCACTTCCCAAGACTTGATCGTTTCTCCCTTGTTTGCCTTTTCATAAGTGGGCGATCTGCGATCTCCACGGCTCTTCTTATATATATCTATCTATATATTCTTGCTCCCCACATTTATTTCCCTTGCACAAAGATCTATCCATTTTGAAGTTTAAACTTCGATCAAGAAAAGATTCATATCCGTATACTGCTTGAGCACGCACGAGTTGCAGTCGCCGAGTTTGCATTCCAGTTCTAGCCGTCGACAAGTCGGAGACGATCGACCTCAGATAACCCCTTCTTCACCTCTTTAAAACCAACACAGCCATCAAAATGGGTCTTGGACTTCTTCTCCCCATCCGGATCGCCCAGGCCGTATTCGCCATCATCACAATGTCCCTTTCGGCATTCGGTACGTACCTTTACCCCGTTCTTGCAAAGCCCACATCAAGAATATATTCCGAGAGCTCAATAGACTGATATGATCAAATAGTGGCACACTGGTACAACAACGATACGCTCACAGCCTCTCCCTCTCAAGTAAACTTCCTCATCTTCGTCTCCCTCTGGTCCTTTATCTCAATCGCCTACTTGGAGCTCACTCCTCGCTTCATGCCCAAAATCGCGACGCCCATCATCCACCTGGCCGTCAACCTGCTCCCTACAATCTTCTTCTTCTCGGGCTTCGTTGCGCTCACCGTATTCCTCGTACGTCTCTCAAATTCAACAACATCCCTCCCCAACTCTTTTCCAGCTGCTGTCCTATTCCTTTCTTCTCCCTCGTAGAGTATCATGGTGCACTCGCTAACGCTCAATCAAGGGCAAACTTCTCTTCTGCCGCGGCTCCGTCTGCGGAGCTGCCCGCGCAGACGCGGCCTTCGCCTTCTTCTCCTGGCTCCTGTGGACCGGGTCATCAGCGCTCGTCGGCCTACAAATGTTCAATGGCAGGTTTGCTGACATGAAAACCGACAACCAGGCCAAGAGCGCGATGAAGGAGGCGCCCGTAGGCCTTGGCGCGTGAAACTCACTGTTGGGAGATCAGGAGGGATGGAGCATGAATGAGAAGGGGAGCAGCTGGTGGGGGGGTAAGAACTTGAGGAGCAATAGGGTGTGGCCGGGGAAGAGGGATGGGGTGGAGGAGACGTACGAGCAGTTTGTTTGAAGTGTTTTGAAGGCGGAAACGGGAGGGAAGGGAGTCTTGATGGCCTCCCTTTTTTCTTTTCTTCGGAGGCGGTGGTGGTGCTTTGCGGTGTTCTTGGATTGTTTTGGGTAGCATTGGGTTAGGCTCTCTGTACGAGTATCGGTAGGGAAGGAATATAGGAACGGCTTAAAGTGGCTGCTCCGGTCCTGTAATCATCCGAACATTTCATAATAGAATATATAATAGTCAGTTCGCTACCTTATAACCTGCGGGCTCTCGGTTACATATAAAAGAACTTTATTTAAAAATCCTCCTATCCTCCTATCCATACCCTACTGCTTCGGTAAGGAGAATGGGGTACGCCCCGCCTTACAAAAGCTGTAAAGGCTTGTCAGAGAAGCCGCATGACGGAACTAAGACTTTGGGACAACGTGGTGCGCTCCCGAGGGAACTTTTTCTCACACTACTATATAATATTGGGTTTTCTTTTAGAGTCTAAGCATTCTGTATTAGACTTTTCTTTTCACTTGTTTTCGGCTGACTCCGGTCCGACCTCGACTCTCGTCGCTACGCGACTTGCACAACTACGCTATAAGCTGGCTATAGCAGTCTATACCAGCTTGACTTTCTTTTATGGTTTTCCTTTAACGAGAGATTTTATTTCATTGTGATCTATCTTATCTACAAAAAAAAAGCGCATATAACAATAGCTCTCGCTATAGCACTTTGAATTGCTTTTTAATGCCTTTTTATATGTAATTCCTTAGCTTAGCACGTCGCCGTACCCTATAAAAGGTCCCAGGGCGGCAGGCTTCGCCTGCTACCCGCCCGACGTAAATAAATACAATAACAATAATAACATACCCTACCGAGCATCCATTAATCAATCCGTATTCCTAGGAATCTACTCTGTCCCGTTCCGATTTCACAGGTATTTCGCGCTTTGGAATAACTTCTCGATCATCAACCCAGTAAGTTACCTAGTAAGTTCACTTATTCCAAACATTTAACATACATCCGAGGCCAAACTGGTTACGTATGCATCTAACAAACATCTTACACACCGCAAGTTTCAATCTCCCTTCCCGTCCCGTTCCGTCCCCTCTTTATGCTTTATCCACTAGTGACCATCCCCAAACCCATAGCGCAGCAAATATGCGCCCTCCCCGCCGCGGGTAAGTACTCATGACTCTCCGTATTTACTTTACTTTCCTTTACTGCACAGTGCGCACACCTATCCACCGACCGACCGACTTAGGTTGTTAGTAAGTCAATAAGTAAATAAGTAAATAAATATATGTAAGTGAACGAACTTTATTCCAAGAAGACTATGCGAAGCGGGAGTTAAAAAGAAAGGCCGAATCAAGGTCGTAAGATTATGAAAGCGTTATGAATGTAATAGGAAAGGAAAGCAGGAAGGAATGTTATTATTGTTGTATTTATTAACGTCGGGCGGATAGCAGGCGAAGCTTGCCGCCCTAGAACCTCCTTTAAGGTACGGCGACGTGCTAAGCTACAGAGTTATATACAAAAAAGCCTTAAAAAGCGATTCAAAGTGCTGCAGCGAAAGCTATTATCGTTTGCGCTTTTCTTTTACGAATAAAATGGATCATAGTAAAAGGAAATCTCTCGCTAAAAGAAAATTATCAAAAGAAGTCAAGCAAGTATAGATTGCAATAGCCAGCTTATAACGTAATTGTGCGAGTCGCAAACCGGTTAATATTAAGGCCGGATTGGGGCTAGCCGTAGGTTCATATTAGCAGTGCGAAAAGAAAATGAAACCCAAAACAAAAAAACTAAAATTTAACAGAAAATTTAATAATATGGTATAATAATGTTGAAAGAATATTCCCTAGGAAAGCACCACGTTGCCTTAAAGTTTAGTCTTTATTTCGTCGTGCATCTGACAGGCTTTTACAATCTTTATAGGGCGGGGCGTACCTCGTCCTCATTACAAAAGCAGTATCAGTTAGCTAGAGAGGCACTCTTATCGAGTGCAATGCTTGAAGCAGAACTCCGTAGTGGTCAAGAAGGTTGAAAGTCGGCCGGTTTGCTAAGTAGAGCCTTGAGGAAGTCGTAAGCTTCCGGGATCGTGCTTGGTGAAGGAAGGAAGGAAGGAAGGTACGAGGAGCTTGAATAGACGAGATATTGCGGGAATATGTAAGGAAGATGTCTTTTTTTTTCCTTCTGAGGTTTATAAGTAAGGATTGAGGAGTTTACATATTATGTATATATATAATTTTTTATCTTTAAAGATCGTATGATCAGCAGCCTAGCGGCAGCGCAACTTGCTATGTCTGCTAAGATATATACAAAAGTGGAGGGGGGCGGAGAAATTCATTCCGAGTAACTTATGCGAAGCGGAAATCTAAAAAAGAAGGCTCAATCTGTTTAATAAGCCATGAAAGCCGGTATAAGCTTGATAAAAATAAAATAAATGGATAGGAAAAAGGAGCTTAAATAAGCGAGATATTGCCAAGTGAGCTTATTTAGAAAACATCGCTAGTAATTATGAAATTTCAAGAGATTTGATTATAGGAATGCATAATTAAGGCATGTATATGTGTATATATATATATTCTACGTGATGTTTATTTGAGGGGCTTGGAGAGTTTATATTATATATATATATTAATTGAACGTTTTAAGAGGAAGATACGAAAGCAGAGAGCAAGCAGATGGGATCGCAAGGTATACATATATTTGTCTTCGGAATGAGGAAGGATTATCGGATTTTGTGTCAATGTTATTGGAAAATTCATGCGCTAAATTCGGGTTTGAAATGAGAGTTTTGAAAATTGAGAAATCTGGAATACGAAAGGGGGATGGGGGGCTCTAAATAACTTTCCTGGCGCAGAGGGACGTCTGAAGGTCATATTTTAGTTGCAATATATTTGAAATCCATGTTTTTATTCCGATTGCCGCCGCTGTGCTAATAGATACTATGCGCCCAAGCACCTGATGTCGATGTGTGTGCGCCTCTTGATGATTTTAGGTCCTGGAAGTCCCAAGAGAGCCTGTGCCTGAAGATAGCCATTCGTAATTCGTCTTCGGCCTTCATTTGCGACCGGCCTGCCCTCAATTCAACTGTATCACGTCGCGTCCATTCCTCCTCTCCACTGCCCTCTTCCACGCCGGCCTCTCCTGCACTCTCTTCCTCCAAGCAAACAATGTTGGATACTCCCTTTCCAAATCCACATCTCTGCTAGCAGCAACAGTCTCCATCGGCCAAATCATCACAAAGTCACTCTGGCCTACCCTTTCCCCATTAAACCACTCCCTTTCCCCCAATTCACTCTCCATAAACAGCAGATACTTCTTGAACTGCACATGAGAAAAGAGATCTTCATGCGAGTCCTCAGGTATTTGCTCACTTTGAACAAGACCGAGCAATTGTTGCTTTCTTATAGGCAAGAGTGACGTGCAAGCAAATTTACAGAGCCTGTCGTTGCGAACCCCATCTGCGGATACAAATTTGTGAGAGGTATCGTAAGTTCCAAGGATATAGGACGTCTCTTCAAAGAGTCCTCCCCAATAGGGACAAATGGGATCGCCACCTGCCCCCAAAATTTTCGGAGAGCAGCCTTGAGGGTTAGATTCGACGAACTCAGTAGAGTCTTCCTCGTATTTGGGATGGCGCATATGGAGAAAGGCGATGTATCCGAGGTTATAGGAGTCGGCGAGTTCTTCGAAGAGCCAGAGAATGCATTGAGATTGAGGGTTCTGAGAGGGGTCAGCGGGGTTGTGGAGAGCTGCAGGTGTGGACGAACATTTTGATAATAAAGTATCACGCCGCCCATCTTGGTGGGGGCAGACTCCCTCAAGATTCCCAGCAAAAAATCCTCCACACTTTCCTCCCAACAACACTCGAATTCCAGTAGATTTTGGCTTGTCATCGTGAGGAGCTCTGTACCCCATTTCTCGCTACGGAGAATATCGGTTTCTCTGTTTTTCTTGGAGAGTTCGAAATCAATGACCCTGACCTCCTTCGTGTCCGGTTGATACATAAGATTTCGCGCTGCTACATCTCCATGACAAATACCAGCTTCACCTATAGACTCTAATGCGTCTATAAATCCCTGGTGTATCGACTTATCCAAGGTGAATCTTTCGGCTAGCGTGTAGTAGCCTGCCAAGTATTCGAGTAACATGGCTTGATGTGTGGTTGTTTCATCCGGATCCGTATAATCCTTCCAACTCGTTTCTCCGAAGAATTTTGGAATACACTTGTCTTGTAATTCTCGCAATTGAAGGTACACTTCGCATTCATCGCGTTGGCCATCTTCAAATTCTTTCAGGACGAATGTACAGGGAACACGATCCCATTCCGGCGTACACATACCTTCTGCCAGAGGATTGGCCAGATCGAGTTCTACAAACGGTTCGTGTATATCGTAGTGCTTGCCCCAAAGCTCGGCAGGTACATCGTGGTCGTTCTTTTCATATTCACCAGATGCGGTGGTATTAAGTTCCTTGCTGTTCGGCAACTTCTTCCGGCATATCCACATCCGATTGTTTCCCCGTATGTTCAGAGGTGTCGCAAAGACGGTAAAGGGGCCCATAACGCCACAAATATCTAGAGACAAAAGTCAGTTTATGATTCTCAAGCACTTGCTATAGCTTCGTGATAGTTCTGCTTACCAGTGGTAACCAATAGAAGGTAAAGTAACGGAGGTGTCTGTAATAAAGGATATTTGGTGATATCGTATGAACAATATACCACGGCATTCTTGTGTACTTATATAGCAGGCAGAGAGGGAAACTAATTGCGACGATCCGGGATAGTTGTGAATAATATCAATATTTGTGTAACGGCAAAGGTGCAAACCAGAAGGTGCATGAGTCCTACCAGTGACTATTCAGCGTCACGAGACCACGTGTTCAGCTGCACAACCGCGTACCTAGTAGAAACAGTGGTCGGAGGGGGCTTGGGCCTCGGGCAGTCGCAGAACAGAGGGATGGCCTCGCATACGGAGCACTTGGTGATGTCCAACTTATCAGCGGTCTCGATCTGCTCGGATACTGTGAAGGCACCTCCCTGCATCAAAATAGATAGGAGCTCCGTATCGCCTAGCCTGGCGGTACGCCCCTCTGTTCCTCCCCTTCTTAACGGTAAAGGATCGGACTGCAGATGACTGGTAGTGCTGCTTCAACACGGGCATAGGCTTAAGGTGCATGATATTCATAATACCGTAGCTGCACATCAACGCTTCTGGTGTTTATCCTCGTCTACGAATGTGAAATTCTCGCCGTTGATTAATATGTAGGCGGATCTGGTCTCCGGTGTCTAGGCGATCTGGTCCTCGTACGACACGATGGTCTCGGTCTTGAGGTTTTTCATCGACCTAAATTCGGATATCGTATCGAAAAAAGCTGTCTGATACGACATCTCCCTGCACAACGCACCCAGCCTCCTATTGAGGTTCTTCGTGGATATAGTAATGTCCGGCCTGAACACGTACGTCGCCGGTGGTCTCGTCCATCAGCTCCAATATATCCCGCAATATCCTCCTCGGCCAAGGCCTTAAACCGCACGATTAAGAAGAAATTCCCATCGAAGAGAAGTGCTTGCGGAGACTTGTACTGAACCGCATACCTATTAGCATGCTTTCATACAGACAGATGCACTGAGAGTTCGACTTACATCCTTATTTGCAATCGCAAATTCTCAGTACTCTTCGTTATGTTTACTACCTCCTTTCGAATCCATTCATCCTTCTTCATAACCGCCGGTTTTTCAGCTTTCCTATGGCTGCGCAGAGTTCTCGTCCGCCTATACCGAAGCTCCAGTACGTATCAACTGTCCCGGTAGTACTGCAAGGACCTGGTGGCCCAGTCTCCCTCCAGTTCACCAGAACTGGAGATCAGGATAGCTTCGGTAGACTAGATAACTCGTAACGGCGAAAATATGGCTGACGTCTCCCCCATTGCCTATTCGGCGACGGGATGTCGGATTAAGGGGCAAGATTGGTCGACTGTACCGAGGATCATCGTCGTTTCGAGTTTGAAACATCAAATGTCGTCTGTGAGGGGCAGAGAAGTTTTCTTTGAATTCCAAAGATTAAAATCCACTGAACCTTTCTTTGTGGCCACCGTAATATTTAGGGTCTAAGGTTAGGGGAGGTATGTTTATGCCGATGGGCGAAAGAGACTCCCAAATAGTTATGGTCATTTTTGGAAAGGTTGAAAAAATGCCTCAATGTTAGAATATGAAAAGGAGAGAGAGCCTTTAGGAAAATTCAAACTTGTAACGAGGGCTCTTCCGCGCTCATATAAATATTTTACTGCTGCGTATCACCGTGGCGGCGACAATGCTTCGCCCCTGTAGTGGTTGAAAGGAAACACGTTGTTGGAGGCAGGATGCTACCTACCCCGCAGTGAAACGTGATATGATCGTGATACGAGCTGCATGAGTTGGGCTGGGACGGGAAGAGGGACCAGCTGAGAACTGAGACTATCTACTGCGATGATGAACTTTGTGTTGTTTATATACAGAACTTCAAGTTATACAGCCCCTTCCTATTCAATAATCACAAAAGACTCTAAGAGGGCAGGAAAGGGAAACCTGGTCGGAAACAAAAACCGCGGCGATAGAATCTGATGAGCTGAAAGCAGAAACGGAGGCATAAGCAGAGATATCACATGCTGCGAATGAGTTTTGTGGTACAATAAACCGTAACTCATGAGCATAGAAGTGCTGTATCTCGATTCGTTGATCACAGACTAGTAAACCTTGCCAGGACTTGCACTTTTTTCGGCCGTTTTCTTTCGTGTAAGTTATTTCCGTGCTATTGCAAGGGTCGGCAGCAACCTTCTGGTCTTTATAGGTTTAGTAGGGTTTTGCTGGCTTTTACAAAATATAATATGGCCGCCGATCCTAGGCTCGGCTAGGCTTGAGAGTGACAGAGTCATCAAGAGTAGATGGCTGGCCGGGCCGGTCTCGAGAGCTGCATCTCGAGATGCATGCTTGGCGCTTCGAAGCTGCCCATCCATAACTTCGGTTTCTCTTCATGTAGTCCCAGCAATCCACAATATCGCTTCCGTCGGTGCCGTGAGCCTATCCCAATAGACAGCAAGGCCTTATCACCCAGTCCCGTAGAGATTGGTACCCACGGGACCAAGTAGTCTTCGTCAACATGTGCAATCCACATTCATGCTCTCTTACCAGTTGTTGTCATAGCATACATGTGAGTCTCCCGGGCATCAATCAGGTATTTGAGGTGGGCTTGGAAGCCTAGGTTTTCCAATTCGTGGATTTCTGTTTGGCTTTCCTTCCTTTCTTCGCCTCGAAGATGCATACCCTGCGTAACATCGACCCTGTCCAATGATCCACCGTAAGCTCGACCCTTCTAAGATTTCCGGGTTTACTGATAGGCGGTTGATGTGAAGCCACCACCCAGTTAACTCCAGGCCTGGATTCAGCCTAATTAAAATGCTCTCACAATCTGTTTGAAGCCCAATGATCATTCTTTTATGCCTCGGACCATAGGTCACACTGGAGAGGGGTATGGATAATGGACGGCATATTTCCGGGATAATATCGTGAAAGCAGGCGGCTTGAATGTGTGAATGCTAATAAAGACTTGGAAGTTAGAACATTGATAAAGGCTATTGTTCATATCACAGGTACCGAATGAGAAGTACGAATATAGGGGTGGTACCACTTGTATTCGTGAAGTCTGAAGAGGCTCAGCTATTCTAGCTGAGGGAGCTATAAGGGTGCCAAGGCCAGCTACCTAGTATAGCCACGTGACCTTGGACGCCTACGCCCTATATTCCCACACTAGCAACTCTTTACATTTCTGTTCCATTCTAGTCGCAAAATCCATGTCCAAGCAAGGCCTGAATACATCACTCTTGTATTCAAATACAATACTAGCCTTATGCGTTGCCTATCCATCGAGCGTTTCACTATTCTCTATCATCGTACTTCTCGTCGTAGCTATCATCGTAGCTATCGTTATCGCCGTAATCGTTATCGTCGTTATCGCAATCCTCGTCCGGCTGATCTTCGGAATTGCTTTCTAACTCCTTTCGTAACTCTTCGATTTGTTCGGCGAATTCATCTTTTTGCGTTTGGCTGTTATCGTACTAAAGTTGTGCAGCTGGCTGGGAATGAGTTGGGGAAAATCGAAGAATAGAAGTTCGAGGTAGGAAAAGCTAATCCTCATTATCGTCAGGTTCGTAAGTGTATTGAGGCTGAATTAGGAAGGTGCGCGGAGCTTGCGATTGCTGGATTGATGGCTGGATTAATTGCTGAATTGATAGCTGGATTACTTGTGATGGCTGAATTAGCTGAAAAGGTGTTAGCTGAATTATCTATAAGCGCACATCTCGAGAATTTGGTAGAAACGGGTAGGTGCGCTAGAGCAATTCTCGATGGTCCGTAAATCGGTCCGATGGTCAAAGAGCCTGGTTGAATAAGTGATTGAAAAGGTGGCTGAACAATCGAAAATTAAGGAACTAATGGTTATTAGAGCTGTTGCTTTGCAATCAGCTCGGGGCCTTTGGAGTCAAACGTGAAGTGTTGTTTCTTCGAGGCAAGCTTGCAGCACAGCTGAACGACTCGTACTGAAGGTGAGAAGGATGTTGTATTGTCTAGAAGATAGAAACCATCAGGGAAAGGAGATGACTCCCCCATTACCTGGTCCGTGCTCTAATACTATCACGTGGCCTGGTCCCACGACAAGCACGTAGCTATACGAGGTCCCTTTCCTTTGAACCGGTTGTATCCAAACCTTTCGAAGTACTAGCCATTCGCAGAGGTCTCGAGTTACTCGGCGATTTCCGAGCTTCCAAATTGCCTTTTTAAATCCTTCAAAGGCTTTTCCAAAGTTCTCTTACGTGTATTTGCATTTATGCGTCCCTCTTCGGTAGCGTAAGAGAGTAAAGAGAATGTGGCCATTAACAATAAGAGTTGTAAGGTGAACCGAATTCGCGATATCAAAAGGCTCGTTTCATCTCTCTACTTTGTATAGGACCGCTAGCATTTCCATCGTATTCGGATTGAAGAGCGTAGAGCTCGGGATTGAATGTATTAAGGCCGAATCGGGAAGGTCCGCGGTGCTTATGGCCGAAAAAGAAAAAGATTCGAGGTGAGGGTGTTTTCTAAAGCTAGCAGAGATGTGTAAGATTCGAGTAGTTCAGCGAAGAGGTCGAAAATTGGCTTGGCGTAAGGGGGGAAGTTCGCGCTGAGGTGAAGGGGGGACGTATATGTGTATTGCGTAATAGACGCAAGTTGTTTTCTAACAAAACAAGCTCGAAGGTCGAAGACTGTACTCAGTTTGATATTAAGCTTGCACCTATATAAAAGGAGCGAAGGCTGTGCTCAGGTAGTCGTTTATCGATATTCATTAGCATCTTTCTGCAAAATGAAAACTATACTTAGTTTGTTTGCGTGTCGATCTCTTTTATAAAAACCCAATTATTTTACAATCAACTGTGAGGTTAACCATTGATCAATGTCAGTATCATAAGTACCGAATGAGAAGTACGAAAATATAAAGGTGATACTAATTATATTCGTAAAGTCTGAAGAGGCTCAACTATTCTAGCTCAGGGAGCTAGATGCTGGTGCCAAGGACAGCCCACGTGACCCTGGATGCGTACGCCCTATATTCTTACAGCTGTCGATGGTTTAGCACCTACTTAATAGTAGTTCAGTATTAAAGGATGATGGAGGCCCGCATAAGCGAGCCGACGATTAATAACGTGAAAGCAATAGTTGTGAATCTACTAATGCTAATAAAGACTTTGAACTCGGAATATTGATAAAAGCTGTCGATTCTTCAGCACTCAATTATTAATACTTCCAGAGTGATACCGTGAGAGTAAAAGGTGTGAATGTATGAATGTTATGAAAGACTTTGAACTCTGTATATTGATGAAAGCTATCTCATTCAGGAAGGAACCTTCTATCTTTTAAGTAACTATAGAATATTTTTTTGCCTCTTATTAAAGCCCTTCTACATTCATTTTTATTCCTTTTATTTTCTGTTCCATTTCATTTCTATTCCACCTAATTTTCAATATGATACGCCTTTAACCCTACACCGATAACCCTCTCACGCCACTATATACCGTCGGGTTGTAATTAGTATAATTAAATGGACAATCATTAATCATAAATACATCTCGTTAAGTTGGTGTGGCACGATTCAAGAAATGTACTGAGATGAAATGGTTTGTAGTTGCATATAAAGTAACACAATATGCGCACCATCCATATGAATGAAATGTCACGGCTCGTAGCTGCACATAGAGTAACACCAGAAACGCCCCTTTCATGTGATAAGATGTAATGAAGATAAAAGTGACGGTTCGCTGCATATGAAGTAGCATAACATATGCACCCTTATGAAACGGAATGAGGTATAATGAAATGAAATTCAATCAAATACAAATGCATGCACGGTTAATTAGATATGAAAAGTGACCACCTTGCGCATCAGCCTTTGGCTCTAAATGCGGAGTTTATAATGGAGTACTGTGCCAGATACCTGGGTCGTCGAGATACCCGCTGTAGCATTCTAGGTGGAATTTCTCTTGTCTTAACAAAACCACCCATGTAGCTAATATTATCGACATCTCTGCTGGTATTCCACTCCTTCAACTACCGGATGAATAGCAACGTACGGAGACATATAGAAACACCTAACCACAGCCAGAATATCGCGAGCTAGCGAGGCAGCGAAGATTCAGAATGAGCACTAAGTAGGCGATAGTGATACAGACAATTCTTACATCACGGCCGCGTTTATCATGCCCTGGCCCAGGGGTGGAACCAGATTCTTTGTGACCTTACCCGTGCCCAATGACTGGAAAGTACATAATGGAAAGAGGTAGCCTGTTGAATAAATTTCCAATTCATTGTTCCACAGAGCTGTTTCCTGCTAGGACCTGCTTGATAGCTCGGGTGTGCAGGTACCTTCTTATTCTAAAGAGAAACTTCGCTGGCCGCTTACTGCCTTCTCGAAAGATGAAATGTGTCAAAGGATGCTGTCTGGATATATAAATGTTACCTGAGAGTGCTTAAGTCTCGACTTTTCTGCAAAACATTTGCCTCGCCCCCTTGCTTCGCTTCAATGGCCGAATTTCCAATCCTCGGCATCGTTTACTTAGCGATTCCCATCTTTCTACTTGTCTTGACATTGAAAATCGCCTTTCGTCAATGCAAGGCTCAAGGGGCTCACGATCTCCCTCAGAAGGACAGTCCTATCTTATCAGAGCCGCCCGAAACTGTTCTTCAACAACAGAGCTACCAGATCAAACCCCAAGCTCTGCACTCAGAAAACAGTCGTTGCCCACACGCACTAAAGCACGAGATGCTCTATATCCGCAAGCAAACCCGCATAATTGAGCGCAAAGACGGTGATGGAAAGAATCTCAGCAGACGACATGAAGCCCGGATTGTGCCAAATCAACGTCTGAAGCTGGCTTTTGGGCTTGATAACATCTTCACTACTCAAAAGGAGGTGGATGGCTATAAGTTCAAACAGCAGGCTATCTCAGTAATGAAGGAAGCTATGAACTTGTCGAACACGGAAAAGCGAGAAGATTGGTCAGAGCTGGTCAAGCACATGAGATCGACACTTCAGAAAGAAGATAGCAGAATCGAAGGATCGATAAATCTGGCGAGTCTTGTGCAATACGTCACCTTGAGTATCTCGCTAAAATACCTCTTCAACATCTCGGACGCGACTCTGGCAGACAATGTAACTGGAGTGAAATTCATTGCTAAGAGAATCAACGAGTTATGGGTACTCTCAAAGCAACAACCAGCGCCGAAATGGGAGGACGAGATGGAGATGCACTATCACCTATTGGTAGTTACCGGTCGCGACTCACTGAACTCGTTCGATAACCCCATGAACCTGATCCTCCCGGCGTACGACACCATGTGGCGTGCTGTCTTCCGAGGCATTCTCGAGATCTATTTCAGAGACCAGAGTGGCCACAACCCTATCCTTTGGCAGTCGATCTTGGCAACCTATCTCTCGGATCAGAGGCAAAGAAACTGGAAATGGGATGATGATGTCTTTCAGCTCTCTTGCCTCGATATCATTAAAGAAGTTCTGCGCCTCTATCCACCCACGCGTCGAATTTACCGCCAATATCCAGGCCAGAATAAGATAAGCGCCGATATTGAGCATATGCAGCGGACTTTCACGCTGGCTGGAGACGATCCCGAGAGCTTTCGTCCACATCGCTGGGTACAGCTCAAGGAAATTTTGGGACCGGGGAAGCTGAAAGACGTCGAGGAATCGATGGGATTCATGCCATTTGCCTTGGTGTGTCCGGCTGGCGGCAGAGAGACAAAGGGTTTCGGCTGGAAGATGATCGCGCTATTGATTGCTGTATTTATGGAGAAATTGAGGGAGCTTGAGGGTAATTGGCGCTTGAGATCAGAGAAAGAAGATGATAATATCCCTGAGCTCGGGAAGGCAATGCGGTCAGGTCGGGACGATTATCTCAGCCTAGTGTATGAGAAGACTGAGTCGGTGTTGGAGGCCGACGAGTAGCCTTGTTTTCGAGCGCACTACTTCATAGATTAGAATTAGACAATTCACCGATAATAGAAAATTAATAAGATAATGATGAGTCAGATAATTTCTTGGTTTATAAGCAGGTTGTTGGAGAGAGAGCACCCAACCAGATCCCAAATTTTCTTATCCACGGGGCATTATAATGAATGTTGCATTGAAATGATGGACAGAGACACATATTCATCATAGTTACGCACTAAAGAACTCGGATTTCCAAAAAGCAGCCGTTTTTGCTGCCACACCGCCAAAAGGAGCTACTCTAGCCGCCAGACTGAAGACGGTGTGGATCGGGAGCCCACACACATTTCTGCCAGACATGTACGGGAAGAAAGCGTCTACAGTATGAAATTTGAATAATCTAGCGAGTTATGGCAGACTAATATTATGGGTTGAACCTGTTGTTACAGTAAAGCTATTCATCTGCAATCCTTAACAGCTTCGCGATAACAGGGAGATCTATGGGCAGTACGAGACTATCTACTAGCCGCTGTCCTCTGTCAGACCAATGTCTCTCTAAGCCTTCCCGCTGCTGACGACACGGATGGCATGCTGGTATCCGCATAAGCCTTTGGTGTGAGCTTGAAACTAGGCCCATATCAATCTATAAGGAGGTCGAGGATGGAAGTGTAGAATGAAATACAGAGAATATGACGAGAGGATTTGCGAAGGAGGAGGTGAGGAGAAATTGAGGTAGACGTATTTTGCTTTTCACTCGCCCCCCTTCTTGACGCGAGCGTATCCCTATATATACTATGTAGACACGATGGTAAACTTACTCTCTACCGTTTGAGTCCACGGATCAGCGGGGTACACTAGTAGGCGGCAAATTATGTAAACTAGAGAAAGCTTGCTAGCGTCTTTGATTGCGAGGACGAGTGGGATTACTGATCTCCAAAATGAATCTCCTAGACACGACTCTCGATTTTGATACCTTGTATAAATAGTGATCAGAAACACTAACTTTTCGGATCCAAGTCCACTCACTTCCCAGGCGATAGCCATCAACGTACGCGAGTAACGTGTCTACTAGTAAAGGCTTTTATCTCTCTATACTTCATATAATCGGATTCTTAACTCACTAGCTAGGAATCATGCAATCAAGATTATTGCTGTCAATTTTGAAGCCACTGTCGAGACAACCTGAGGGTTGCAAAGCGGCTAGTTAGAACTTATTGAACACTCTTCACCCACAGGTTCTTGTTATCCACTGCTTTGAACGTGACATGCATGTATGCTTCCGAGGGCCTAGAAGATATCCCTCGCTTCCAATAGACATCGCATGTCCGAAGGTTTATCTCGTACTCCCAGAGCTCCAATCCTAGTCTATCTAAGATTTCGATTCTGTCCTCAATCGATAACGGGCTCATACAAACACTTCTAGCCTTTATAAGGCCCAGAGAGCAGTCCTTATCGGGGAAGAATTGTAAAATCAAACTATGGCATCTATTCCCGTCTACAAGCGCATTTAGGTGACCAACCCGGGAAAGAACCATTACTGCATTGGTATTCGTGCAGCATCCGGGGCTGAAGCTTTCTACTATTTGAATCGAGAATTTCTAAGCGTGATTTTGCAATAGCAGGAGCTGCACTGTGAACTGGGCCTACAACTATGGTTGAGATTACGTACCGGTACTTAGTACCCGTATATTGCGACAGTTACTCGCAGGATTTATCTGCGTTGAATTGCGGCCAAAGTACCATTACCTAGATTTGACTCCAAGGCAATTTATGAAGACAAAGTGAAGAAGAGATGAGATTGACAACATTACACAAAGACACAGCAGAAGAAGCGAGAAAATATATTCGCCTTGGAAAATGGGGGCGGGTAGAGATAGGAGGGTACTTGATACCGACAGTACTGGAAGCGGATGTCGGCCGAATCTTGTATACGACGACTGAGATTTCCGACAACCCTACAACGCACAGCGGGTTTTAAGCACATCTTTGCTCTCAGGAAGGGAAGCGAGGCGTAATTCACGGCCACTCATACACCTCGCCATTCAAGTCAAACATCCGCTTGGGAATAGAGGGAGCTGTAGGAAACATGTAGTCTATGAGGTGAATGCTTCTCGCGAGTATGCTCTATGTATAATTGGTTGTCTGGACTGACTTTGAGGGCATAAACAATGCAGGAGGTAGAGAGATATTTCTCTGACAGTCCAAGAAGAATGTAAAAAAATGATGACATGGCGGTGAGACGCTCTCACGCTCGCAAAACCGATTTACACCGTAGTCCGGCAAACAGAAGCTCCTCGAACCTGGTCTTTCCGGGCCGAAATTTATTCAGAAATGATTAAGCTGCATGTTACTAAGATAAATGAACAATTCATAAACGCTATAAGTTGACAGCAAGGTTGGAAATGACAAGAATCATCAAGTCTCCCGACAGATTACAATAAAAGCTTACCGATATACCAAAGAACAGCGAAGATGAAAAATGTAAGAGACGAAAGATAGTAGTTAAATCTCCATCATTCGAAATATCTCATCGTATCAACGCAACTGATGTTGAGGGCCCACATACCATTAATGCCCTCGGATGAGATCGGTACTTCCTGCGATGCGCTCGTTCCGTGGAAATAGAAGTATGTATTCGAAGGCGAGCCGAAATGAGGTTCACAAAATGCTACTCGTTCCTTCCGTAAGATCCAAAGTATCTGAAGGCAAGCGGAGATGAAATTCACAAAACTACGATGATATATTTTGGCAAGGCGTCCTCTGTACCGCGGCAGCTCGCTGCCACGTATTGGATTTGGCGGTCTGAGAAGGATTTAAAAGGCCATTCGGTGTCGTCTTTGCCAGGCTAAGGTAACAATGTCGACTATCATCTTCAAGGTAAGTGTGAGTTCACTGTTGCGTACTACCTCTCATATGGGTATTGGATGGGGCTGTTTCGAATAATCGATATAGAATGCAACTCCTGGAACAGAAGATAAGCTATCCTGGCTTCCGATGCGGGTGCTTCAACAATTTTTCGGAAGCCTCAGCTTTCGTGCTTGTACAGGAAATGGCAATATTTTCGAGGATGAGAGCAACCAGAGAATCGACAGGAAAAGGATCATCGGCAGATTGACAGAAGAAATTGACAGATTGAGCATTGAAGAACAATTGGATGCAGAAGTTAGACTACCGATGTTGGGCACTGGGGACGATCAGAAGCCTATCGTAATTTATTGCCTTGATCGTTCAGCTTATTTGCTTCGTTGATGATATCTAGGACATGATTCTCCGAGCTGAGAAGATATATACAGGAAGGAAACACGGTCTATCATGAGTCGCCTAGAGTAAGACAAAACCAGAAGCTTATTTATTGCCGATCGCGAATTAACCTGCGTCTTTAACAGAGATCATCGATTGATAAATACGAGTTTATATTGGCAGGAAATACATTTGGTGATTACAATGATGGTCGATAAAATCTGTTCAAATACTAGAGCGGACAGAGCGCAAGAACACATCCAATATTAGCCGACCAAATAATCTTTGAAGAGGAAGACTGAAAACTAAAACACTAAGGCGAACGTAAAAGTATGCAGACGGTATAGATTATGAACCCATATGACAGTTGAAAACAAATTGACAGCAAAAAGGAGCTATCCAGCTAGCTAGATTTGGGGATGTGAAGCAAAAGCAGAGCAAAAGGGCGTCGAAGTACATGACTCAATCCTAAAATATAGAGCTTACCAATGCCCTCATAGTTTCTATTGAAACAAGAGTCTTCCCTCACCGGAAAATAGCGACTGGCGATCTCTTCTTGCATGTGTAGTTGCTCTGGTAGAGATGGATATATAGTAAAGGAAAAAAACCCCGGGGACAGTTTAGCTGGAATGTCTGGCTGAAATTGGTGAATGCGTTAAATCATAGGTAATACAATCAATGAATGAATGCTCTGGTGAAAATTCAAAGGGAAATATCCCAAGTGTAATAAAATGCTGGACTAAACTTGATAGCGCCGCCAAGCTTAAAGGGACAAAAATCCGCAATGTAGCAGTTATGGCAAAGATTACAGATAAGCTTTGGAAATCTTCCTAAGCTGGATAAGAAAGAGCTGTAGTTCTTCAGGATATGATGATGTTCTATTATTAGGCTTTCGAAACCGTCCTTGAAATCAAGCTTAAAGAGACAACAACCCGACCGAGGACTAGCGCCACCTCGGCACAACCTCGCCTAAACCTGTCACTCATACGTCGCTATATCAATTGACCAAACCTCACTGCAAGCTCCTACAAGCTCCCTCCTCAAGTTCCAAGCTCGCAACCCTCCACAACCATAACGAAAATGCACACCTCTCTCCCCCTCCTATCTGGGCTCCTCGCCCTTCCCCTTACCCTGTGTACCCACCTCCGCCTCACAATCCCCTCCTCGCCAGCGCTCCAACACCCCTCGACCCTCCCGCCCTCGACCCATGCAACTCTCACGACACTCTCGCACAGCTACTCCGCACCTCTAACAACCTACAACGCCTTTGACTTCCGCAACGTCTCGTCTGGCAGCTACCTGCTCGATGTGCATTGCCACACGCACGCGTTTGCGCCGCTGCGCGTCGACGTCTCGGATTCCGGGGCCGTGGGAGATGTGAAGGACGAAGTGCAGGTCTGGGGGACGTTCAGGGGGAACGAGTGGAACAATAAGGGGGAGAAGGTGGAAGTTAAGGGGGTGGAGGATAGAGTTGGCGTGTGGGGGTTGGAAGCGAAGGTGCTGGGGAGGAAGGAGTATCTTGTTGAGAGGGTTGGCTGTGAGTTGCGGTTATGTTTTACACCCATTCATTCCCCTTTCTTACCGTCCCCCCCCCCCCCCCCCCTTTCCATGTTGGTTGAAAGTAGGCGGATACATAGACTGACTTCTGGGATAGTCTCGCCCGTTTCCATCTTGAAGAACCCGATGATTCTCATTGCGGGCGCGAGCATGCTCCTGGTGTTCGGCATGCCGTATCTTATGGATAACAGTATGTTTGCTCTCTGATCCTGACGGGTGGTGGTACTAATGAGAAACAGTGGACGACGAGTTGAAGGCCGAGCTGGAAGCGAGACAGAAGGGACCTGCCGCCTCGGCTGCGCCGAACCCGCTCCAGAACTTCGATGCTGCGGCTTGGCTAGCTGGGTCGAGCACGCCGATGAAGACAGAGACGCCTGTTGAGAAGGGGATTACGAGATGAAGGAGCTCTGTGCTGCGGGTGTGAAGGGGAGCGGGAGATGGTGTACCTATGTTACAAGATGATTGCAAGCGCCATAGAAAGCGATTTCGGCAACCACTGGCTGTAATGGGTCGGCATGAAGGTGTACACCGACAACAGGCTTATCTGGATCCCGAGAGCTACTGCGATGTCAAATTCTGACGACCTGGGCAATAGAGTCCAGACTAAGTGCTTCACCGTAACCCCAATTTCTCGCCTCGCCTCGCCTATCTCTACCTTACCGAGACCCCCCTTTCTGGCTCACACCACTCGTGCATCCATCTCACAGCTACATGACCCTCAACGAACTTCCCTTCCTTCCTTCCTTCCTTCCTTCCTTCCCTACATCTTCAAATTTTACAACCAAACGCGAAATCCCCTCACATGATATCACATCACATCATCTTCTTCATCTTCACCTTCTTCGAGAAACAAAAAACCGCTACACCATCCCAATCCCAATCTCAATCCCAATCCCAATCCCCAAACACTCAGCTCCCCTTCTCCATCTCCAGAATACCTAATTCTAATTCTATAATTACCCCCCTTTTCAGCTTCAGCAGATGGACTGTGGTTGTGCTGTTTTGAAATCAGAGTATTTGATCATTGATGATTGATATTTGGCATAATCAGCGAAATGTAAAGAGGTTGAGCCATGGCGCCCCTAGCCAGCAAAGAAGCAGAGAACCTCTCCATCCGTTCATCCAAGCGTGTAAAGAAAGCATCGCACGTCGTCTCAGTCGTCACTCCTCTCTCTCCACGTTACCAGGCTCATTACTTAGAAGTCTCCACCACCATCGTCTCCTCCACCATAATCATCCCCGTCATTCCCGTCATTGTACCCCGCCTGGTAAGCCTCATCCTCGCGGTCATCAATCGCATCCGCAATTAACATGCCGCCGATCAACCCACCACCCACACCCAAGGCCGCCGCACCACCAGCTCCCATTCCGCCGCTCTTCTTGGGAGGGTGGCCGTACCCACCTCCATATCCCCCACCATAGCCCTGCTGCGGATAACCATGCTGTCCGTAGCCTTGCTGGCCATAGCCTGAGTGGCCATAGCTTTGTTGCGGATAGCCGCCTCCAAACTGCTGCGGAGGTTTACTACTCGACGCCCCACTCGCCTTGCTCAACAACTTCCCCAGGAACCCACCCGCACCGCTCTTCTTCTGATCCCGAGCCGGCAACTCCTGTCCGTAGCCGCCCTGTTGCTGCCCATAGTTCTGCTGCGGTTGCCCGTACGCAGGCGCTTGCGATTGCCCCGGCATAGGCGTATTCATGTAGTCCTGCTGGGCGCCCCTACTTCCCGCAGCGCTGCGCGCTCGCTGATCCTCCTCGGCTTGCAGGCGCGCAGCGAGGGCGGCATCGGATTCGGTCGACGGGTTGGAGTTCATGCTCGAGGCATAGGGGTTCTGCTTGGTGTCCGTGTTTTGGGGATAACTGCCTCCGGAGTAGCCTGGGGGAGGGCCAGCGGGGGCGCCGTCGGTGGGAGGAGCGTAGACTGGTTCGGTGGGCTTCTCCCATTGGGATTTCTTGGTGTAGATGTTGACGTAGAACCTGTCTCTTTGTCAGATGTCTTGAAGGAAGTGAAGTGAAATGAAGAGAAGGAGACAGAACGAAGGGAGGGCGAAATACCATTCGCTGTATTGCTCGTTCCACTGCGCTTTCCAGCCTTCCGGGACTTTGGGAGGAGGAGGTCCGCTAGGAGGGGTAAAGTCGCTCATTTTGATTTGTGTTTTGTTTGTGCTGCACAAAAAAGAGGTCTAAAGTTGACGTCCTCTTTCTTGTTTGAAGTTGGAGTAGGAGGTCCAGATCCGTGAAGAAAGGTGCCGGGATGGCGACTTTATCAAAGCTTCCCCTCATGGTGAATTGGGTTGCCCCTCATGCGTAATCGAAGGCTGAGCCACCACGCGTGGTTAAGCTTTCGCTAGGATCGCCCTTGTCGATTCTTAGCCACGGAATGTATCACCACCGAGCTCCGACCTGGAATGCAGCTCGGGGTGTAAGAGGTGAAAGGTTCCAGCTGGTGTTTGGAGGCTGTGACTGTGCCTGCGATTTGTCACTTTGGATATCACGAAAGCGACCGGCAGAGAAATCAGGAAGCAGAAGAAAGGAGACAAAAACGTCTAAATACGTGATACGACCAACTCATCATGTTAGGCGGGCCTCTATAGCCTTCTGGCAAGCATGAGAAGCCGAGAAAAAGGATTGATACTGTACAATACCTGATGATCGGTATAAAAAGTGAGTCGGCCGTAGGCGAAAGAAGAGCAGTTGTCACAGATGAAAAATGGGCAGTCGTCGCTTAGCATGTTTTGTTCCGCAACTTTAGAATCGCAACATCCAGCCAGTCCTGATACTGCTCGCGAGGGCATCGCTTCGTGTTCCTTCTAGCGAAATATTCACGTTATGCTGACAATGACAAGAATCAGGCTGGAAGCGGAAGACGGAGCAAGCCAATGGCGCAAGCCCAGATGAATTACATGAAAAGCATTCTACATAACATTCCGAAAATATTCTGGCAGCTCGCAAGAGGGGATGGCATGGCAATGCCGAATGATCCAACTGAAATCCTATATCCAAAGTAGACCAAGCTGCTCAGACGTGAATACCCGAGAACTTCAAGCGAAAGAGACTCCCGGAAGCAAAGCACCAAGCACTAAGAAACAGATCTTAGCAGCCAGTGCATTAGCAGCGATCCAACTTCTATCGCTTCTCGCCAGAGGAAACTATCTATCTATAATAAGTAGCAAAAATTGGTAAAGCAAAAGCAATAGTAAGACATTAGATAAGCACATTCTAAGGTGACGTTTTTTGGCCGCTGGAAAAGCACGGGTCAATTGCACACAGAGTATTCTAGATTGAATAGATAGATACCCAGGTACACAAGCCTACCTACTTACACCTTCAAGTAGTAGATAGCCGCAGTAAACAAAAATAACCAAGAAGCCCATCAAATCAAATAACTATTAAAAACGACTCGGAAAAAAAACTGGTATCAAGACAAGAAAGATTTGCGCAAGAAGAAAAAACGACAAAACATAACTAGAAGCTCACGAGGGGGTTCCAGTCTGCAAACCTAACTGAATGGGTTTTTTTCGCTGGTAATACATAAAAATACAGCCACGTCGGACCTCTGACACGGGAAGCTGGTGATCAGTTCTCAGCGACTTGAGGAGGTAAGCCACGGAGCCATCGGCTCTTATTCCACCCCAGGCGAAATGATTTCACGGAGTTGGCTTGTATCAAGCAGATATGTGTTTTTTTGGCAAGAAAAAAGATATAGACAGACCTATGAAATATAAGAAACATATCATGAATTACAATGCTTCGGATGAGAACCCCTTTAGAAACTTACAAGGGACTGGTAGGGGGAAAAAAAACTCGCCGTCATATTCCCACGACAGCTCCATCCAGCCTTGGTGTATCTACCGAGCTCCCAAACGCCGTAATGCAAAATATTTACACAAGGCCTTAGTTCGTCCTCCTATTAACAACACCCATACGCCGCGCCTTTAACCGGCGTCTTCCCCAGCTTCACACCGCCCCTAACGCTCCCCCCCGCCGGTGGCCCTTTGACACCACTTCTCCTATCATTCAAATCGTATTTCCCTGCCTCGACATTCATGTAAATCCTTTCCGCGACCCTACCAAACGCATTCTCGACCCCCTCGCCACTCTTTGCAGAGGTTTCCACGTATTCTAGTACGCCATTCTTCCGCGCCCATTCCCGAGCCTCCTCAACGGTCACCTCCCTCTTGCTCTCCTCCTCCGTCGCAAGATCGCTCTTATTCCCCACTAGCACGACCACAATATCCGGCTCCGCTATCTGCCGCAGATCGTTCAGCCAGTCCGTGACATGTGTGAATGTCGGTCTTCTCGAGATGTCGAAGACCAGCAGCGCGCCAGACGCGCCGCGGAAGTACGAGCGCGTGACCGACTTGTAGGTCTCCTGCCCGGCGGTATCCCACAGGGAGAGCTTCATGTGCTTTTGCTCTATTTTGGGCTCGGCGCGCCGCGGCTCGGGCAGCCCTTCGCTGAGGTCCGGGGGGCGGACTGTAGTCGGTTTGGAAGATGGGAGGGGCGTGTTGGGCGGGCCGACGGGGACAATGCGGGAGCCTGTATGAGTTGGTGTTCTGTTAAGTCTCTCTGCTCCTCTCGGATTGGATTGTTTCAAGGGTGTATAGGTAATAAGGGGATGGGGATATACCGAACTCGACACCTATCGTCACGTCATGGTGTTGGGTGAAGCGGCCTTCGCAGAGACGGATTGTGAGGGAGGATTTGCCGGTCCCCGAGTCGCCGATGCAGACGATCTTTGCAATGTAATCATACGACGACGACATTGGAGTGGTGATGTGAGTGTGGAAGGGTGTTGCTGGGAGCGTGGAGGAAGGTCTCGTTTACTCGTGGCACGCGATCACGACTCGCAGGGTAACAGCGGTGGATTGAATGCTGGGGCTGGGGGGCGAGGATAGAGGTGATGTGCGATTGATTCTGGCGTACATCAGGCTGTTGATGTTGATACCCTGGTTTTTGGTGTTTGGTGTCGTGTTTATTGGTTTAGTGGTTGGGAAGTGATGATAAAGACAAGCTTCCCTCATTTTTGTAGACTAATCTTAGCGTACCGACGAGATAGCTATACTTTTTTCATCACGCCGGTACTTGCTTGGTGACTTGATGACAAGCTCTCGGTACTCCAGGATCAGCAGTCCGACTCCGACGTCCTGTGATTATTCTGCCACCGCCCACCGCCCTTCACCTAGCATGACTGACTCTCGCCCAAACAATACAAATCATACGGATTTAATACCATACCATACTATAATCTCCGGATATCAGCATTAATTTATTCACCTTGCTTCTGCTCTACCTGCTTTCATCCGTTCATCGCTTCCAGCCAGCCAGCAGCACGCGAGTGGTACGGAGTGGGGAATTCAATAAAGGACGCCCTCGGCGAAAACGACTTCTACCGTTTCAAGGCGGTGACGACCTTATCGCCGCTCCTACACCGCGACCAGTTGATACACCATCACCATCACCGACAGTCGACAGTCGAAGGTCAAAGATGTTCTCAGAATGTGCGTATACTCTCTGGGTAGGATATCACCCTCGGCAGAATGCGCCTCCTAACACAATAAATACCTCCAGATGCTTCCAAGTTTCTCGCCCAGTCCCAGTCGCGAATTTCGAACTTCGTCCAGCCCGATAACGCTGACCCTCCACCCCGAAACCCCAACGACCGATACCGACGAGCAAGCCAGCCTCTCCGGGCCCAGTCTCGCGGATACTCCTCACGGCTGGGCAACCCATACCTGGCGGCCTCGAACTTCAACTTCCCCCGTTACGCCGCGGCTCCGCCAGACGCGCCTTTGTTTCATAGCGCCTTGGACGAGTTCCGCGAAGAGGACGACGAGGAGGAGCGGGAGAGGGAGACTGCGGATTTCTTTGCTCTGCAAAAATCCAGAAGAACTTTTGCTCCTATAGCACGGCTCGAAGAGAGCCGCGAGACAGATCCCGAGGCCAGTCATGAGTCGGTAGAGACGGCGAAGGACGATCACGGAAGATCTACCGAAGACCGTGGGAGAGGAGGAGGAGGGATAAAGAGCAGCTGGAATGGCGGTGGCCGGAGTATGAGAGGAAGAGGGCGAACGCCGGGAATGATCGGGGAAGAAGGCAGCGACAAGGATGGGGAGAGCACACGGCGGAGTAGCAAGGCCAGCAGTAGAGGAAGGGGAAGAATGGAGGATATTGGGCTCGAGTCGACGATAGAGGATGATGATCCGCCGTATGATCTGGCTGTAGAGATGGACAGCGATGATAGCCCGCCTGCCTTCCAGAACTTCCGATCAGAACCTCGAGATGGACCGATCAGATCGCCTACGAATTCCAAGAGTGGGCACGACAGATGGGCCGATGCACGCCATGCTGCTGGGGCTGGGATATCACGACCTCCGAGCTCAGTTGCGACGGTTCCCGAGGTCCTGGCTCAGACCACTGCAGAAGCGCCGAGACACGATATATTCTGGGGGTCCCTCTATATGATATGCCTCGGGGCGCTCTTTTCGACTTTCTTCCTCGTCTTTCTCCATACAGAAACACCTGACAGAAATATCGGCGATACGATCTACACCACCCTCCATGCCTCGTTTCACCTCTTCGCTGTAGATACAGTGGTGTCAGTCTTCGTGTCGCTCATCTGGTTGGCCCTGCTGCGGTCATTCGTGAAGCAACTGGTACATTTGATTCTGCTCGCAGTCCCGGTCATCTTGATCTCCTTCTCGCTGTACCCTTTCATCGCTAGCTACAAAGGGTCGAGCCACGGCAACAGTCTTCAGGATAAGGCGATGAGATGGCTATCTTTCATCCCTGGACTATTTTCACTGATATGGCTGTATACGATATACAGAGGTCGCAAGTCTGTGAGAAAGGCAGTTGACATATTACAGTTTGCCTCGAAGATATTAGGTGACAACCCTGCTCTTCTTGGGATGGGATTCGCGACGTTGGGCGCCGTGGTGGCATGGACTTGGTTGTGGCTTGGAATGTTCACCAGAGTGTTCCTTGGGGGCCATCTATCGACTTCCGTCACCAGATTTATTATCGATGCGACAAGTTGGTGGCTAGCAATCTTTTTTGTCCTGATGTACATCTGGACGCTGTCCTTGCTCAGCGGTATTCAAAGAGCAACTACTGGAGCGGTTGTATCCCAATGGTACTTCCATCGCGGCGTCATCCCAGCTCCAGCATCTCGAGAAGTAGTCATTGCAGCACTCACCCACGCAACAACTACAATTTTTGGTACTATCTCCCTGTCAACCCTATTGGCCCTCCTCATTCGCTTACCGCTCTTGGTCCTTCCGCGCCGCCTTATCAGTGTTGTGACAATCTTCGCTTACTCCTTCATCCCAACGCCCATCACTGCACTCACTAACCCTCTTACCCTCACATATGCGGCCATACATTCTCAAGCCCTTCACGACTCTGCTCGTGGCCTCAGTCAGATGACATTCTTGAGTCCGCAGGCACCAACCACAACCCTCACACCGCGATCTTTCAACGCGCGAAACCGGCAAATAACTCCCCTTCTTCCTTACCGCCTAGCCAAGCTCATTTTGCACGCTACCCGGTTCATCATGGCCATGGCTCTCGGTTTCGGCGGGTGGGTAGCTACAGCGCGCCAGCTGCAGATTTCCATGCCAGAAGGCGCTGGTATCAGAGGAAGTGCATACGCCTATGTGGTGGGTCTGGTAGCCAGTTTTATCGGCTGGGGTGTTCTTGGGGCAATGGAGGGCGTGCTGAGCGGGATCGTAGACGCGAGTGTGGTGTGCTGGGGCAGTGAGAGAGGGATGGCAGGGAACAAACAGTATTGTCCCGAAGCAGCGGAGCTGTTCAGTGAGAGGCCTACGAGGGGGATGCCGTGAAGTACTCGGGGAAGAGCGAAGGGAAGAGCGAACACAGATACGTGCTGGGAAGTCTAAGGCGCACAGAATGATAAATGGGCGGGCACGAAGGATTATTCTTATCTGAGCCACCCGGGTATGCGTGCCTAATAAGCGCGTTATATCGGCGCGTATAATTTTGTTTTTCAATAGGAACATGACAGGGCAGGACAGGATAGGACAGGACAGGATTACCTTTTTTCAATCCACGCCTTTCTCCTCCACCTCTGGAACTTCATGATGCCGAGACCTTATTACATACGTGATTTGTTTTTCAAGTTGAGTCCGACAAGTGCTAGTAGCAGGCGAGAAAGAGCGTTCCCTTACTGTTAGTTACATACCCCGAAATGCCTGTCCTAGACGCAATATAAAACTCTTCATGAATTTTCTCGCTAAGTTTTTTTTGTCTCATTTCATTCCAGTGTTTTTTATGAGAGCTTTAGGAATTAGTCGGGGTTGGGAGGGTGGGGACGGGCAAAACATTACAAATATATATGTATACATACCTATGTACCTTGTGTGTATATATGTGTATATGTATATATATCTAAACACGACAAGAAGGAGAATACATATCACGAAGGGGGAGACGCGGGAGGGTTTGGCGAATCCGTAGAACTTGATAGCGACGTCGATTCGGATATATATATACGGATACACATACATACATTCATTCACCCGCCTTCGATCAGATTTTCCTTTCCGCTGGATGGCTGCTGCCTGGCGAAGCGCGCATGGTGTCGTCTAGGTATAACACTGCTCAGGGCGAGGAGGACAGTACGTACTTGAGAATTAAAGGCAGAGAGAGGAGGATGAGGAGGAGGAGGAGGAGGAGGGGAAATAAAGGGAGATGGGCTTGGGCTTGGGCTTGGGCGTGGCGTAAAGTGCGGTTGTGATGAGGTTTTCTGTACGTTGCATTGTGTGTGTGTGTGTGTGTGTGTGTATTGAACGGTCGGCTCGGCGGCGGGTCTTGCAGGATGTATATAGAGAGGGGGGATGAAAGGCGTGGTGGAGATGGATACGAGGGGGTGGATATGTGTTGAGTGCGATGGCTTGCTCTAAGTATGACATTTGCAGAGCGGAGCGGAGAGGACGGGGTTGGTGGGGTTGACAGCGGCGATGAGATTTGGAGATTGAAAGCGGGGAGATGGCTTTGCTGGTGGGTTGATGATGCCTGTTTGAAAAAAAAAAAAAAAAAAAAACCAAATTTGGATTTAAAATAATAATAAAAATATTGCAAAGGTTTTCTTGATATTTACAGAGTACAGTCCTGGCTGGGCGGCGTTCAGTAGCGAGGATTCTGTGAATACTCAGGCGCCGAGCGGCCGCGAACGGGGAAATGCAGATGACACGAGAGTAGCGAATTGAAAGCGATAGTGATGTTTATATACCGTGTTCTGTGATCTGCAATTGGACCTCTCGGGGGGGATTACTGGACACGTAAGTATGTAAGAAAAAGGTAGGTAGGTAGTTTTGCTTCGAGGATGGAGAAGCTAGCTGCGTCTCTCCGGGTGCGGGCTGACCTACCTGTCAAGCTCCGCGAGTGAATCTTCTGGGTCGATACCGGTAATTGATCGCAACCTTTTAGCGAGCTAAACGGCGCACTTCTTTTGTACGTTATGGATTCGACGTGTCTGCTTCACTCTGGTGGTGGCTCCCTACTTCGTACATGCATTGCTTTCAAGTTATTCCCAGACCTTCTGCTCACGGGTCCATCAGATCGACAGCCGAGGCCCAAGAATCCGAAGCCTGAAACATGGGGCCCCGTGGGGGGGGGGGGGGGGTGGCACTTGAACCCCTCCGCTTAAGAGTTTCCTTAGCAGGGAAGGGGGGAAAACCCCTCATGTGCGTAACATGCGTGACTTCTCTGCATACCTTATTAGCTACAGAGCAATGTCGAGTATATCCGTTGGTCCAGCTGAATTACTTCAGTTCCCATTATGGCGTGTTCGCATATGTATATAGACTTACTTCAATTGAGTAAAGAGCCTATCTTTAACAGAATATACATCGATGTCCTTCACCCTGTGGTGGACCCTCCTCCCCTGGGGAATGTACTCTGTAAAAGTTTGATAATGGGAGGATCCCATGGCGCGCGGCCTAGCTTTGCCTTGCTTTGACAATAATACAGTTCGACAGAGCTCGGGGTGATGGAAATCGACCTCCATATGAATTGCACTGTATAAATCCTAGGCCAACTGCAGTATACTCGTCGACCTTGCCAGTTCGTCCGCGGGCCCGCCGATCTCTGCCATTAGAGTTGACGGCCACGCATTTCCTTCGTCCTCAGCTCGCTTAACGTAAACAAAACACATCACGAGGGGCCTCCCTGGTGCCCCACGGGGGACTGCCCAATACAGCATGACCCTAGAAGTCAGGTCAGTGACCACACGCACATCTTGTGATGAAGGCGAATAGGGAAAGATTGGAGAGAGAAAAAAATTGACTTTGTGATGACGCAGACCACGTGCTGGGGCCCTTGATGCCAATGCCAATGCACCTTGCGGGCGAGTGGGGGCTTGTTAGCGCAGGTACAATAGGTACCTACAACATTCCTCTTCATCCTTTTTTCCTCACTCTTCTTTTCTACTCCGTATACATCGCGATTGAGGCTTTGTATTCCAAAGATCTACAAATTATTTCATCATGGGTGGCGGTCCGGAACTCCCGCCCGTCGCGGGCCTGTCTGGAGCAGCAGCCGATTCGCAAGACAAGGGTGGTGACAAGAATCTCCGAGGCATCGTGGATATGGGCAGGTTAGTGCTACCCTTTCATTCCCCCAATAATTTAATATACTAGTTATAGCTACTGATACATACCCCGAATGTACAGCAATGGCATCAGATTCTCGGTATCGAGTCTCGCACCGCCAACGTCCCGGATACTGCCGACCCTGGTCTCGTACCGCTTGGACATCAGCCTGTACTCGGCCCAGTACGACGACGAGACGGGCGAACGCGTCCCCATCCCGGACGACATTATCGCGCAGATAATTGCCGCCTTGATGCGTTTCAAGGTCATCTGTAGAGATCTCAAGGTTCCCGAGAACCGCATCCGGATCGTTGCCACGGAAGCAACACGGACGGCAGTCAATGCCGTTGAGTACTGTAAAGCGATCAAGAAGGCTACCGGCTTGAAAGTGGAGATGTTGGGCAAGGAGGAGGAAGGTTACGTCGGTGCGTTGGGAGTTGCAAGCGGCTTTTCGACCGTGTCCGGTATCGTGATGGATCTTGGCGGGGGCAGCACCCAGATTACGTGGATGCGGTCGATTGATGGGAAGGTAGAAGTCAGTCCGAGGGGCTCTGTCAGCTTCCCGTATGGAGCTGCTGCCCTGACAAGACAGCTGGAAGCTCTCCGCAAAGGCAAAAGCAAAGAAGACGGTGACGCAGCCGTGGCGAGACTGCGCGAGGAAATGGAGGCCAACTTCAGACAAGCCTACGATGATTTGAAGATACCAGCAGACATGGTGGAAAAAGCCCAGAGCGAAGGTGGATTCCCGCTCTATCTCTCTGGGGGAGGCTTCAGGGGCTGGGGCTACCTTCTGCTCTACATGGGACAGATTCATGGCCGCCACTACCCAATCTCGATGATCAACGGGTTCAGGGCAAGCAAGCAGAAATTTCAAGACATCGAGACGTTGAAGAAAGTTGCACGAGAGTCAAAAAAGATCTTCCGGGTTTCCGACCGACGCAGAGCCCAAGTGCCCGCCGTTGCATTCCTGGTGAATGTGCTCACCAGATCCCTACCCCACGGCATCAAAGAGGCCCATTTCTGCCAAGGTGGCGTTCGAGAAGGTCTGTTGTTCAGAGAGCTGCCGCAGGACATCAGAGACGACGATCCCCTCGAGGTAGCGACAGAGAACTACGGTCGCAAAGCCGCCGATACCTTGAGTAATCTCTTGATCAACTCGATTCCGGACTCTTGCAAGAAAGGCGGCCGGTCCTTCCCCGAGTCTATTAGCAAGCACGTGGTGCACTCGCTTGCCAACGTTCTCTACGTCCACGCGCCCATGGCGAAGGAGATTGCATCCACAGCAGCTCTGTACTGCACCAGCTCAGGCTTCATGGCCTCGACGCACGGAGTATCCCACTCGGACCGTGCGCTGCTGGGGCTGATGCTGGAAGAGAGATACGAGGGAGAGCTACCTCCTCGTGAAGCAGACTTCAAGCTCAGTCTCCAGTCGATCCTCACGCCCGAGGAGGTCTGGTGGACGAGATATCTAGGTGCTGTGGGGCTCATGATCAGCAAAATCTACCCCGGCGGTAACTTCGACGGAGACGCGCCTCGCCTCAAGATCCGTTCGGAGTGGGCAAGTGGCTTCGGGAAGAACAATGACAAGGAGGGCCTGAGACTGATTCTCTCGATCAAGAAGATCAAGAAAGACCCGTTGATGTTGAAAGAGGCTCTGTCTGACCATGTTTCGTATATCCAGAAGGTTGGGAAGAGCAAGAATTGGATTGGAGGCAGAGATGGATGGGGCATGTCGATTGATATCAAGATCAAGGAAGTGGAGAAAATGGACTAGAGGTTTACGGGGTAGTTTCGCCCTGCCTGGGCAACGAGTTTTATCGTTTGAAGGATAGAATATTCATCAATCTAGGATTTGAACTCAAGGACATATAATTTTCGCAGTAGCGAAGTGGCAGATATCAAGATACCTCGTTTCGGATATTACCAGCCCACGGCTCGGTCATGTCTGAATTGTTTGATGATCTTTTGTATCTAGATCAAATTTTGTACGAAAAGGGTCTGCCGGCTACAGCTCGAAAGTCTTAAAATCGTGACTGTTCAGCAGTTCCGAGATTCCTATTTTAATAAAACGAAAGCCACGGTTTTTCTGAAACTGTTTCGAGAAGCCTGGGCATGGGAATTTTTATCGTTCCTGCTGTCACAATATCACAGCAAGGGGGAAACTCAGTGTAGAGAACAGCTTTCTATATTGCTAGAGACGGTGGATGGGTTCGCAAAAATCTCTATTGTAGAGTTGATGATTTGAGGAGGTGAAACAGACGAGGTTCGCACCTAATATTGCTGGCAATACCAACGGTTGCCGAGGTGGTCGACATCTCCGTAGTGGCGCTTGTAGGTACGATCCTTGTCGAAATCTTTCGTGTAGCCTTGGAATGGGCAGGCGTAGCGGGTAGCAGTCTGTGTAACGGTTAGCTTTATGAGTGTAAAGGCAATCGATAGAGAAAGCAGGGGAACTTACAAAGTTAGCGTCTGGGATGGGAGCGCCGGGTTGTGGTGGGTGGGGTGGTAGAAAAGAGGGAGAATCAAGAGGGGGGACAAGAGGATGATTATTATCTATGGAAGGAGGGAAGGCTATATAGTTCAGAGATACGAGCTAGTGGTCCTGATGACGTAACATATCCTTTGCTCTTTCTCCCATTTACTGTGGCGGTTGTAGTAGGGGCCGCGCTGGTTCGGCCGCTCGGAAGAGGCGTGCGCGCCGGTTTTCCGTCCGGGTGCTGTGCAGAAGACTGTATATATCAGTAAGTTGAGGTATAATCGTGGCTAGGAGTGCGAGCTCTCACGTGGGTTGTGGCAGCTGGTGCAGCTTTCGAGACTGTGGTATCCTGTTGAAACAGTAAGTATTATGGAAGCTTCAATTGAAATTGTAACCGGGGTGCGAGGAACTTACGGCTGCGATAGCAACCAAGGCGATGGTAGCTATGGCCATCGAAGCCAGGGGCACAGTAGCCTGTTTATATAGTTAGATCGAAGCTACCAATATGGATAAGTGACTTACTGGGACTGCTGGAATTGCTGAGGCGGCTGCAACAGGAGCCACAGGAGCGATAGCTCGGCTCCTATCGAGGCGCTGGGGCGAAATTTATTGAGCTATATACATCGTCAGTAAAAGCGCATCTCAAAATGATATGTGCTACCCGCTGTCGTAGGGGGGAGGGGGGAGGGGGGAGGGGGAGAGGAGGGGATCTCTGCTCTGCTCTTTTATCTTACATCAGCAGAACGACAGTCACGTAAATCGATCCTGAGATCGTCTATCATCGGCCATGATGTTGTGCGTTCGCGGTCAGGAGAGCCGACGATCTGGTGTTGAGTTGTTGTAGATGAGATCGAAATCGAAAGTGAGGAGGTTAAAGAGAGAGTCGAAAGATTAGCGTAGTATTTGTGGGACCTTAGTTGCACGTGCCGGCGGGCCTAGCGCGGAACGTGGGCTCACGTGGAAATCAAAATCGAACAGAATAGGAAGGGGCCCCTAAACGGGAGCCAAGAACAGGCGGGCATGGAAGCACGGAAAGGTCTTTTACGACGAAACAAGCATCCCATTGATCTGGTCTGGTGCTTACTAGATAAAGCTTCAAATTCTCTTTATTTACAACATCACATCATCACTCAGCATTGTGCGCACCAAATAGCTAATGTCACGGCCTTTTGAACAAAGAAAGCATGGCGGGGCAAAGATAATACCAATCTATATAGAGACTAACCATACTGAGCTACACGGGAATTATATGGTTCAAAGGCAGGTAGGATCGCCATACAGCAGGCGCTATTCCGCCGCTCTTACTCTTATTAGCAGCTATGGCAAGATCCAGCTTTACTAGTATTGGAGTCGATGATGATTCAAGGAGCAGAGAGCGTCGTGCTCATTCTCACTTCATCACTTTAGCAAAAATGTCGCTTCCGTTTGCATGATAGTAAATTGGAATGTAAGACGTTGTTTAGTTCGGCGATCAGACGGGCAGCATTCAGCTTGGCTATCTTCTTCCAAACACCCATGATGGCTCGAGTTCCGTCATTTTTAGAGCCCCAACGCCACTTTCTAGGAATATCCATGCACCTTCAGCCACTCCAGGATAACCTTCGCGTCTCTCTCCTTGTACGTAGCTCGTCCCAGGATTGTATCGCTGACCACATTCAGCGTACGGTCATAGCCACGGTTATCTCTACCCTCAAAGAATTTTGCAATATCTTTCTCGGTCTCGCGATCATTGAATTTGTTCAAACTCAATCTCAAGAACCGATCGAGCACTACCATGTTTTTACTCAGCTTCTCCTTGATCGCGTCAAAATTCTCCTGAATGTACTTCCACAGCCCTGGGCGGGTGTGCGAGTTTGCGGCAATAGCCATGGCGCCAGTGTGCATATCTTGTGTAGCGACGTCCTTGAAGAGGAGGGAGAGATACTCGGGGAGGAGAGTGGGGTCTTGGATACGGCCGAGGGCTCGGAGGGTCATTTCGCGGCCGTCGACAGAAGTGGTTGAGTGCCATTCCGCCTTGATGGACTCGAACTCGGATCTACCTCCGTGGAAGATGGCGAGGTTGTAGACTGCGGCGCGGAGGTTGGGGTGAATGGCGGATTTGTCACCTGATTTGTAGAGGTCGAATCGCTTCTTAGCCTCAGCGGTCACCCTGGGCAATGTTAGCAGCCCGTCATAAGATCTACTGAGAGCGTATTGTTACTTCTCGTGGCCGTTCAAGCCTGCTGTGAGGATAAGGAGAGCACGGAGCTGGCTGGTGAGTAGATCCTCGCCAGAGGCGGTTTCCCACCCAATATTCTCAACAGCGGGAGAGATCAATTTGAGAGTGAACTTCTTCAAGCCTTCTGAAATTGCCTCATCCTCTGCAAAGATAGCCTTGACAGTAGAGATTGAGCTCAGGATTTGTGACCAGACGAGGTAGTTATTTTCAGCTTGGAAGCCTTCGACGAAAGCCAGAAGTCCGGGGGTACTTCCTTCTCCAGAATACGCCAGAGCGCCAGCGTCACCAACCAGCCCTGAAAAACAATCAAAAATCAGTCAGGTTCCACGAAGATGGGAAAATGTAGGTTACCAATTTTGTCAGAGAGACTGAGACGCTCGATTTGGGTTCCAAGTGTGGCAAGCCGGCTTGGAGGGTAGTTCGTGCGGTAGAACCCAGTAGTATCCTTGTTGAGCTTGTAGAACGAGTCATCAATATCACGAACGGTGTCTTCCTTCTTCGAGAATCCGATGGGTTGAACCTCCTTTCTACCAACCTTGCCTTCGAGTCCAAGAGGAACCCACCAGGTGGTGCCGTCATCCTCTGCCTTGACATCCCCAGTAGAAAGATAGCGAGTCTGCCTGACGCTGATTTGTCCTGGCTCTTCTGCGACAGTAAGAACCGGGAATCCGATCTTACGAATCCAAGGGTCAATCAAGCCAGGAATATCCTGACCGGAAGCCTTGCTGAGAGCAGACCACAGGTCGTTCGTCTTCGCATTTCCGTAAGCATGGGCTCTCAGGTAGTCTCCCACGCCCTTTAAGAAGACATCTTGTCCGAGGTGGGCGGCCAACATGCGAATGACAGAGCTGCCCTTGAGATAACTGATGGCGTCGAAGATTTGGTCAACATCTAGAGCATCCTTGACGGGAACTTCGATGGGGTGAGAGCTACGGAGTGAGTCCAAAGTAAATGCAGTTTGCATGCTTTCAGAGACAAACTGAGGCCACACGTGCCAGTCTGGATGGATGCGATCTGTTGCCAACCAGCCGACCCAGGTGGCGAAACCTTCGTTGAGCCATAACTCGTTCCACCAATCCATAGTGACAAGGTTCCCGAACCATTGGTGAGCAAGTTCATGGGCAACAACGTAAGCGATTCTGTTCCTGTACTTCTCGTCTGAAGTCTTCTCGTCGAATAGGACAGCCGTAGTTCTATAGGTTATCAATCCCCAGTTCTCCATCCTGCCATTAAGTCAGCAGAGAATACACGATTGATTAGCACAAGAGAAAGAGAGATCGGTCGGCAGGAACTTACGCTCCGTGAGACTAGAGAAAGCAACGGTTAGCAGATGTCTGAATCAAGACTCGAGGAGGACTTATTATAGCCTGACGAGTCAGCTTAGGGAGCAGGGCCGGTGAGAGGGGGATTTTGTTCTCCGATTCTTACAAATTCATGGACAGCGAGCAAATCACACTTTGGTAGTGGATACTCGATTCCAAATATGTCCGAGTAGTAGTCAATGATCTGGGGAGTGTGGTCCAAGGCGTACTGAGCTTGACTCTTCAATCCCCTGGTAGTGTACACACGAACAGGAAGGTTCTTCCCATTGTACTTGCGCTTCGTGAAGTCTTCGATATACTCAAAGTCTCCGGCTGCCCATGCCAATAAGTATGTGCTCATGATCGGAGTCTTCTCAAACGATACAACCTTGAAGCCGTCTCTGGACTTCTTGGTGCTCTTCTCCGGCATATTCGAGAGGGCAACTTGGTCCTCGGGCAGCTCAATCTCAAAATCAAAGGTTGCCTTCAGATTTGGCTCATCAAAGCAAGGGAAAGCTCTTCGGGCATCACAGCTCTCGAATTGGGTCGAGAACATCACGTGGCTGTCTCCGTCCTTGGGAACCGATGGCACAGGCTCCACCGCAGGCTTGTACTTGGATCGGTAGAAACCAGCCATGTCATTGTTGACAGTTCCTTCGAACTTGATGAAAATAGTGGCCTTCTCTGTCGTTGGGAGGTTCTCTGCAAACGAGATGGTGGCACGCTGTCTAGGAGCATCGTACGAGATGGCCGTTGAATTGAACGTTTGCTGGGTCTTGGTATCTTCGAGTGATACTGACACTTCGGCGCTCTGGATCTTGAGAAGATGGCTATTCAGCGTGATCTCCTTGGTGCTCTTGACGATCCGGCCGAGGATGCTGACGGTGCCCTTGTAGGAGAAGGCACCTCCAAGTTCGATATCGTAGAGCGAGATGTCATAGTTGATGGGCTTGATGTTGTCTGGGAGGATATCCCGATCGATGGCGATAGCTGGAGCCATTGTCATAGAGGGGGGAGGATAGAGGGAGGAGGGAAGAGGTCAAGAAGGTTTGGGCGGATATGAGGATGGGAGGATGGAAAGTCGCTAAGTACGCGGAAGCTCTAGCCGACCGAGGTGGGATGTTGATCAATATTTTACTAGTGCGAATCTGAGAGGCGGTGATAGTTGGTCAGTTGAAGGAAACTTATTTCTGGAATATCGAGCGAGATCAGGTTGGATGTTCGCAGCATATGTGAGGGAAAATGAGAAGGGATGGGAGGGAGAATGAGTTGGACTTGGAGTTGCCGTTTGGTTCAACGCCATTTTGTACCTCGGCGTTTGGTGCAGACCAAACTCGACTGTACACGACCTCGACAGTGGGCCAACACAACACAACACAACACCACACAACACAACCCAACCGGACGCTCAAGGCAACACAGAATCCAATCCAACACAGCGGAAACCCGCTATACTACCGGACACATCCCCCATCGCCATGGCAGCCTGTCAGAAACTCTATCCTCGGGCGACGGTCAAGAAGATCGTCAAAGCCCACTCGAAGCGCAATGTGACCAAGAACGTGGATGTGTTGGTGGGTAGATATTTCCACGAATCTCCTAGAACCCCAATCGCTGACTTCTTTCCCAGATATTTCTTGACTACGAGCTCTTTCTGCAAACGTACGCGATCCCTTCCCCTATTCCGTCCCGCTATTACAACAAGACGCCTCGATTTTTGATGAAAGCTGTGCAGCCAACGCTGATGCTGATGCTGACATGGTCTAGGCTGATGAAGGAGGCTACTATCAATGCGAGAGCGGCGGGAGAACGGGGAATCAGTGCGAAGAGTGTCAAGAAGGTAACGGAGGTATGTTGGTTCCATGGGATTGGAAATGTCGGTGGTGAATGCTGGATCTCTGGCTAACGAATGTCCCGCACCGCAGGCATCCTTAGCGAAATTCAAAGGTTGAAGCTGTTACTATGGCAGGATAAGGATGAACAAGCACATCTCTACATCAAGGGAAGATATGGCTGGCCACCGTGAACCTCAGCTAATTGGGCTTGGTTGGAGAGGCTGAGAGGACTGGAAATGCTGAACAGAACCGATATCCTCACTATATCCGGGGCTGTTTGGACTTTGGACCACCCTGGCGCACGGGAGGACGGAGTAAAAGTAAGGCTACGGACGAGGCTGTAGCCTGTGGATTGGGGGTCTGGCCATGGCTGGGAATTTCACTCGGAAGTGTAGCCCTGATGGATGTTCCCTCTGTAGGTAGAGAAAGAAAATGAATCGAAGCAGTGCATAGATTTATCCCATTGCCATTATTTATCAAAGCCAAATCCACGCTTGTTGCCTATCTAGATGCGAAGTGAAAGACAGCAGCTTCTTGTAAATAGTTGTAGTTAATTGCATGCTGCCCTGCCCTGCTTCTCTGATATTCTGCTCACATCTGTCCGTCCGTGCCAAACAAGAGCGCGCTACGCGACGGAAGTTTAGCCGGGGTGTTCCCGCTCAATTCAACACAGCTTCCATCTCCCAGTTCTTACATCACTTCCGACCCTGATCAACCACCCAACTCTAACATCCTCCATATCTCTCCGACTCCGTCCTACAATCCTTGAGTATCCTACTACTCTCTTTCTCGAACATACCTACACACTCCTATCCAAACACGCACACGCACACGCACACTCACACCACATCCGCAGCGACACGCTCACAGCCAAACAAACGCTCCTTCTTCTCGGAATCCAACGCTACTCCTAGCTCACAATGGCAGCCGCCGTCACCGCCAACCCCGTCGTGAAGAACGAGTCGAAGTCTGCGAAGAAGAAGAAGGCGGCCAAGGCGGCTGCTGGTGAGGAGGTAGCGGCTCCAGCCGCAGCTGAGGTTGCGCCTCCCAATGGGGCGACCGTAAGTACTGAGGAAGCTTCCTATGTTTCTTTCAGCTATCTGTAGCGCCTTCTCAGGGCTGATATAGGTTTGTGAGGCAATGGTTAACGAAAGTCATCCTGTAGGAGAGCGCGAATGGTGATGGTTCTTACGAAAGCCCGTACATTAAGGAGCTCTATAAGTACGTATCCCTGGGATCGCCTGGAGTCCTATGTGCTCTGAATATCTAGGCAGTTTTGCTCTGCCCGCTGGCACGGCGTCCCTGCCAAACAGCTTCACTGACTTCTCAACAGAAGCATCCGTGGTGTCAACAAAAAGATTGTGAGTGAGCTCCTCCGCCTTTGCAATTTCTATGCAAGCTGGGCACTTGGCTCCGACTATTCTAACCACTGCGCAGACCAATGCCTCAAAAGTCGACAGCATCGTAGCTGAGAACCCCGACAAGTCTCTCGACGAGCTGGTAGCTTCGCGCAAGATCAACGCCGACCAGAAGGCCCAACTTCTGAAGAAGCCCGCCCTCCAGGCATCCCTCACCCAACTGGAAGATCAAATCGCACAGTACAAGAAGTTCGACCAGGAGTACAAGTCAAAGTTGCAGTCTGAGAAGGCCGACTTGGAGAAGACCTTCGCAGAGCGCCACAGCAAGGAGTTGGAGGAGGCTGTCAGCTCTGCCAAGTCCGAGGCCGCAGCATCTGCAATCCAGGAGCAGCAGGACAACCTTCTTCTGCTCTCGCAGTTCCTGAAATTGGCTGCAATCCGCAGAGGCGAGGATGAGCTGGCCGAGCAAGAGGAGAGCAAGGCTTTGGAGGGTCTATTGGCCCAGGTTTATGCGGGCGACGCCAGCGCAGTGGCTGCCATGCTGAGTCTCATTCAAGGCTCTTCGGAGACTATCATGTCTGTCAACCAAGAGGCCCTCTCTGTTACCTGTAGGTGTCCCTCCCTACCCCCGGGCCCCGGTTGAATCTAGTGATGTCTACAATCTGCCCTGGGCACCTTCGTACGGCGAACTTTGTCTCGACCACTTCTAATACATAATATAGACGCCGATCTCAAGGCTGCTTCCCTCGCTCAGATGCCTGTCGCCCTCCCAGAGGAGAGTGAAGCCGTTGAGACTGCCAAATACCCGGTAGAAAGCGACCCAACTATTCTCAATGCAGGTCTTACCGAGGTAGGTAGCGGAAAAGACCATCCCATGGTACTGGGATGATTTGTCATCCGGTCGGGAAACTAGACATTCGCTGACTGTTCCACAGCTCGACGCCCCTGCTGCTACCCAATTGACCAACGGTCATGCTGAGGCCGCCTACGACCAAGGTGTTCCCCAAAACTCTACCTTTGGTGATGGAGCTGCCAACGCTGCTGCAGAGGCCAATTGGGATAACAGCAACGATCTCTCAATGTCAACCAGTCGTACGTTTTTTTCTTCCCCTTCGTTAGCCCCAGAATCAGGTGACATGACAACTGCTGACTACCCCGTTCTTCAGAGGAGTGGGTTGAGGTTCCTCGTAATGCTGCCGAGACCGATACTGGTATTACTGCCACACCCGCTGCTCCTTCGAACGTCCAGAGCTGGGCTGACGACCACCCTGAGAGTCCGCCTGAGGTGAGCACTTCTTCCTCACTCACACGTGAACTTCATTTAACATCTCCCCAGCCAACCTCGACCCCACCAGTCAACGACGGTTTCCAAGAGATCCAACGCACTAGAGGCGGACGAGGTGGCCCGCGCGGTGGACGTGGTGACGGATACAGAGGCAGAGGTCGAGGCCAATACCGTGGCGATGGCTACCGCGGACGAGGCCGTGGCGGCGGTGGCGCTTCCCGTGGTGCCCGTCGCCCTGATGAGTCCTAAACAGCATACCCTTCACATCAATTCCACACGTGTAATATCTCTTCCTGCTTGTTTTGCGGCATCTTTGGCGAACAGGTTATGGTCTGGCATTGCATTGTTGTGTCCCTACATCTGGTTCGTTTATTTTTCCTGCCCCTCTCTCATGAATAGGCTGGATAGCCGGGCACATGGGAGCTCTCTTGTTTGCATGATCGGGTCATGTCATGGCATGGCATGGGACGGGATGGATGGTGGAGCAAAAATGAAGACGAACGACTAATGGTCTGCGGGGCAATTGATGATGGACAGGATTGGGCAGCAATTGCTCCTTTTGCGTTTTGAGACTTTGACACCCACTGCTCTTTGCGTTTAGCGGGCTGCACGGTATAGGTTACCTAGTTGAGAATTGCCATCGGGGCCTGAGAGGAGTGCGTCGTCTATAGCGGTCTCAGTGGTAGTAGTCGCCTTGCCTGCTGCTGCTGATGCTAGACAATGGATAAATAATTGCTCTCTCCACCTCTACCTTTTGTCATGCATCCTTGGCATTCTTCAGTGATTTGTGAAATTATATGTAGTAAAGTACTCTTTCTATGATGAGTTCGATTAAAGAAAGAGATTACAAAATTAACAAGAATCTCCTAAGCGATCATGGCTAGGTATCAAGAGTCTTTTCCCAATGTATCAAGCAGCAGAGTAGATGGTAAAAGCTGGCTATAAATGGGTGTTTCTCGCGGTCCGTATCTTCCTCGGTCCGCTTTTGCTTTGGCTGACAAGCTCAGACGTGTTGGTGGAGGAGAGGGGTGTATTCACTTTTCGTGGTGAAATGGCAAGCGTGAGTGAGCCTATGAATGCGATGGTTTTTTTTTTTTCGGCCCCTAATCTGTTTGTAGATATAGCAGAAATGTGCTGCTGCTGCTGCTGCTCTAGGGATGCAGCTCCAAGTCGTCCCGGCCGGCCGCCTGTACGTTACGTTACGTTTCACGATCTGCAATGTTGATCATAGAAAGAGTAGAGCAGAGCGATACGGCATTCATCTACTGAGAACTTGGACTGTTTATACGCTCTGATGGTGGGCGAAGCTGTTTCGCGGCGGGTAAAGAAAGAAAGAGTGAATGAATATGTGGAGAGGTCTGGGGGGGGAGGGGAATACAATGTTTACTGTTTGCTCTATTCCTGGTTTATGCTGTAAAGAAGAGAGAATTCTTTATTTTCAACGATGAATCCAAGCATCGTACTCGCTTGCTCACTCCTTTCACCTTGTTATCGCTAGGCCTCTTTCTACCTTAGAGATATCCGCTTTGGGCGTGGAAAGTTAGGAGCGTGGACACTTTTCTTTACGTTCAACGGTTCCTTATCATGGATGCTTCGGCTAAGCGAGGTATATATAAACAACGCTTCTCAAATGGAAGACTAAACATTGTGTCTTCCGGAATCCAATATTCAATACTCATTATGGTAGTCAGGATGTAGAGATTATTTGTCTGAGTCTATATAAGAGCTCATATCACAGCAAGAAGAAGGGAGTCTGTATATGGAGCAGAAGAGCTACAAAGAGCAAAAGCTTCTTCTGATTTTTCTCTTTCTTTTTCTTTTTCTTGCGCGTATCGTATCGTATCGCAAATCCTCTCCTGAATGTTTTTGCTTCGCCTGGTATCACTCTCTGATGAATCCTCGATGAGCTGCTCTTTCGAAAGCGGATCGGAAGAGCCCGATGGAGGAGGCGGAAGATGTCGACGCGTGCGTGAGCTGCGAAGATTCTAAAGAAGAAGAAAGGATTGTGGATTTTTACCTGGCCTAGGGAAGGAAAGTTGCAGGCTTGATTACGGGGTTGAACTAACCCCCCCTAAAAATGTCTTCAAGTATAGACTCTTGGCTGCAAGTTAGCACAGGTGACGTTGCCTTTTGCTGCCATTTCTTGTGGCTGCTGTCAACATCGCATCATGTGTTGTCACGACCTTCCCGGGCTGGTTGCACGATTTCCCTTACCCTTACCCCTCAAAAGTTAGAACCCAGAGGGTAACCAGATCACTAAAATCTTCCACGATACAGCATCAAACTTCCAGGCGCTGTCAGTATTACATGAGAAAATCCGATTAGACGCAATAACATTTGCTTGGTTGCAATGTGTCATTTTTGCCCGGCGTTAATAAATACAACAATAACAGCAGCAGCACTCAGATGACCAGTTTCTTGTAGCAGTGGGTAATAAAGTAAAGATGCGGAATTCGAAAATGGATAGTTGTGAATGTTATACATAATTATTATTATACCTCACACGAAAACGCCCGTCTGTACTGATAACAGTGAAAAACAATACGTACATGGAAGCCGGGAGTGCCTGGAGCATCATTATCTGCCCCATTCCGTGTGCTGAACTCCGGCGAATTTTTAGATATATCGATTTAGAAGGCTTCAGAAGTTGTTCGCGTCGTTGACCTCACTGTCCTCCGTCTCAACCTTGCCACGCCCCCAGGTATCACTATCCGTAGCCGCCAACCCGTTCCCATCTTTCCCACCTGGGAGTTCATGCCGCACGCTCCGTTTCGGTCGCAGCGGCGCCGGGCTATACCATCTTTCATCACCATTAGCCTCATCACACCACACAACACCAGAAATCTCAATTTGGCCAGCAAGGAAGAGGGAGACGTACTTCGCCCCGGAACCACCCATCTCGTACACTCTGTTCTTCTCCATCCCTTGATACCCCTGATACCCCGGCGGGAAACCCCCCATCCTCACCTCCCCGCTACGGCCCCCTCCACCAAGCACAGCCGGACTCAGACTCTTGTACGCGTCCGCACCGGCCCCCCAGAAACTATCACTCTCGGGACTCTTCCTCAGGCTGGCGTACTGTGCTTCCGACAGGCCGCCCATGTTAGGCTGGTACGAAGCCCGTCCTTGGCCCTCGTCTTCCTTGGGCTGTTTGTGCTGGCGTAGAAGGTCGCCGATACCGCGCTGCCGGCCGCACATGTACAGCAGCGCGGAAGCGAACAGCACGATTGTGACGGCACCGATGACGATGCCTGCGATGGCCCCACCGCTGAGGCGGGATGAAGGGGATTTTCCTGGGACGGCTGTCGATGTCGAGGTGGCTGTTGGTGTCGACGTAGCACCCGTCGCAGTGGTCGTCCTGCTGATCTTACTCTCGACTGGGAAATACTCGCCGGGGCTGAATTCCAAGGTGGCGTTTTGACTGTAAGCAAATTGGTTTGCGTACGAGTGCGTGGCGTTAGGATTCACGACTCCAATCATACCTTCGAGGCAGGCCCCTGGCGCGGAGCAGTAAAAGAAGAGTGGATTAGTGTCGTTTATTTTCAGGCGGAAGATGGGTGGCTATGCAGGTCAGCTCAGTACGTATTGCATAAAGATGGTTTAAGGTAGGCAGGCCTGAGACCTACGTTATTTGTGACAAGTACCGTAGGTCGGAAACCGCTATAGAATCCAATGCGACCAGGACCAGTGAGCTCGTATGGGATACATGGTTCATTGCCAAAGGCTGCGCGGGCTACAGAATGGTTTTGAGGATAGAAGCGGTATTCTGTTTTTGCTCGTCAGCTTGTGGTGTAGATTTGCTGCGCCTGGGCGAAGAGGTGGCGGCAGTAGAGAGAGAGTATTAGCGAGATATGTACCGATAATATCACCCTTCTTAGCGACGAGTTCGTTAGGAGAGAAATTGAAGCCATCCTGGTATTCTGCGTCAGCAATGTGGCCTTGACGATCGAATTGTATCAGATTGAAAACATACTGCGCCGACAGAGACCGTATGGGTGGCGCCCGGTGCGCTTGATGTGCTGGTAATAGTCTGCGCAACTCCGAGACTTGAGCCAAGAAGGACAGTGGTGAAAATACGGAATAGCATCGCGAATGATGTGAATTTGAATCTTTACTTCTGTGTTACCATGTACTGAAGAAGAAAGTCGTGGCTGCATTAAAGCACACACATCACCTTAACTATCTGCCTGACTGCATCATGGGAACAATGAAAGAGACTCGAGGGACCCAAATAGCAAAAGTGGATGGCGCAATAGACAAAGGAGTAGTCTGGGCGACTTTGGCCGTGCGGTGATAAAGCCCAGCGGGAACAAAGACTCGGACAGAAGAGGGCCAAACAGGGTTCCCGTGATCTAAATTAGTCGCAACAAGGATTTTCTGCTGGATGGCTTCTCACGGAAGAGACATGATTTGGGTATTTAACGACCTATAAACAGTTATTGGGACTTGGCCTTCTTGACCTCATTCTTCGAGAATATCAACAGTCCACTCTCTCCGACCAAAGTCACGAAACACCACAGATAGCATATCCCAAATCCAAAAGCTCCCACACCAACGTTGAGTACAACCCATAAGTCTGGTTTGCCTGTGGGTGGTAACAAAATGGCCTCCGCAACGTGCCACAAGGCCATGACAAGGTAGAAAATCATATGGATCGAGGTTGTCGCGAACCCGGCGAATGTGGCATGCTCGTCTTGCTTGTAGACGGCAAATGAGGTCGGTGGAAGACCAAGTAGATACGCCCAAAGCAGCGAAAGGACGTAGTATGGTATTCTAAGCTCTACTCGTTGGAGTAAGGGGAACATTGTCCAAACTCCAAGCAAGTTTGCGAATCCAACCCAAGCACGTGTGCTCTTGCTTAGCCCATGCTTACCGGCAAGTAGGAAAGTCATAGGCATTAACGGTAACAGAACACTCTTTTCGTGTACTTGAAAGCTGAACAAGAAGAAAGCCCACGCGGTGGTAGAAAGGGCCAGTGGCAAAAGCTCCTTCTTTGGCTTGGCAAATATGACGAAGCATGGTGGTGTGATCGCTGCAAGCGTGAGAAGCAACGATGCTTGTTGAAGCTGCTCGGATGGGTATTTCTTGAGCTTGATGATGACGTTCAAAGCACACCAGAAATTTGCAACCTTATCCTCGAACAGACCACGTGCGAAAGGAAAGATCCGATGTACCATCTGGGCCAGTTGTTGGATGATCGGATAGTACCAAGCCTTGAAGTTGACAAGGTATGAGTATTCGCTGAAGATCGGCAATGGAGCAAATCGACCAAAGAGATCTGGTCGAGCATCGATGCCTCTGTGAGCATCGTACAAAGCTCCCAACACCAGGGGAAGTAGGAGTAGGGCAAATGATACCAGCGTAACCACAGCAATGCCCAGGAACCGAGAAATATTGATCCTGGGAAAGATACAGACTCCCAGGAGATATGCAAACATAGCTGGCGCGTAATATAATGCCATCTGCTTGAACCCCAGAGCCAGAACAAAAAATACACAGCTCCACATGTATCGTCCGGCAAAAACGCTCGACATGCTAGCCAAAACCAATCCAAGCATGACAGTATTGTACTGGAAATGTACGTGATCGATTAAGATTGTCCCGGGCTGCATCAAAATTGCAGTCAGTGCAATTGAAGCATTCCATGAATTGATGCCCTTGAGCTTGGTAAGCCTCCTGACGAATATGACAGCCGCGGGTATGTAGATCAGGTATTCCGACACAATAACCGAAGCGCGCATGAAAATCTTCAACGCAGGGTCCTCGATTCCGCGAGATGCGTGGAGGCTGAACCACGAGGGGTCTATCACTCCTCCAACCTTACCCAACAGCCAGCTATGGTATGCGGTCAGGGGCGGGTAGTCTAATCCCCACCATTCGAGGTCGTGGAAGTACCATTGCGATACTGGCAATTGGGTCGTTATCTCCATCCAATGCCTCTGAGCTTCATAGTCGCCGTACATAGGCGGGTTCTGGAATCCTGAAGAAATATTAGATGGGCTTCATTCAGAGCTCTCGGAACAAATACCGGAAAATCCCCAGAGACCCGCAGCCCACCGGAAGAGGCCCACAGCCATCAATATCAACGGCAGAGTCTCCCATTGTGATAATGAGCTTCGCGCCGGCCAGAGAAAAGCTGCGAGAGGGTAGGATGGACGAGTGCCGCCGGGCCGTCCGCCGGGTGCCAGGGGCGCCATCGACATCTCGCTACCATTGCTCGTCTTCTTGACCTTCCGCCGAGGTTTGTGCGGTGAAGGTCCGACCATTGTCACCTATGAATACCAGTTGAGTCGAAGCCACGGCGCATTGCTTGGGAAGGGAGAAGTTGGCGATGTGAAGAGAGTGAAGTAGCTGAGGTGGCGGAGGGAGATGTTGCCAAACACGTCTACCCAAAGCTCGGGCTTCGAAGATGACGCGCCGGGTTGAAAAGTTTAGCGAGGGCCACGCCAGCAGATCCCAACGTCGCGTGTCTAGAGAAACTTGGCATCAAAAAACTATTGACTTCGGATATTTATATATATCTGATCACACAATCGATATAAGTTAGGTGGCATAGAGATAAATCTCATGCGATAATATCTTGTATGCCCTTTGAATGGTGCTGGTTTGATATCAGAGAAGAGCCGTTTATCACCAGGCCTCGGTTTTGTATTCAGCGGTACATCTGGTTCATCCATTACAACTTTCGCATTGCTTTATTACCTATTCGAGTTCCACCTATTCTTTCCATGGTTGGTACTAATTCAGAAGGCCACCGAGATCATGTCAAGTTACAGCGTAAACACGAACTCTGGATTCTCCCGGTCAGTCAAGTCCAAGAACTCCTGCTTGTCCCCTCGTGTGTACTCAGGCTGTGTCCGTACAGCCACGCTCTCCCTGTTGTGTTGAACATAGTACCAATGGATATAGGCCATTTCGAGCACACAGACGGCATAGCAAACGATGATCGTGATCTCGGCAGGAACGTAGCGCGGCGCGCCGCTTGGTCGGAAGGTCCGGGGCCCGATGATGTTACCGATGCAGTACGGGATCAGGTAAAGGGCTCCGACGGTCGCCTTCTTGGTGTAACCGGCGACATTGGACGAGATCAGTGAGAGGAGAGCGACCAAGCCCGTGGCCGAGGATTGGGTTAGGTAATAGCCGGCGAGACGGCCTCCCGATCGAGAAAGGGGCAGGCAGACGATCAGGAGCATGCCCACGACGGAGACGACCATTCCGGACATTCCCACTGGGACTATCCGACCGAGCTTGTCTCCCAGATATCCACAGACAATGAGGAACACTACTTCAACGGCTCCACCGGGCGTTCCATAGAGTAGGGATTGGTCAGACGTGTATCCAAACGAAACGATCAGCTGCGAGAAGAAGATTGATATGCCACCTATGAATTATTTAGCGAGTTCGGAGTAAGAGCATGAGGATTCTAGATCAGCGAGCTCACCATTCGGGATGTCCGCAACCAATGCGAAAGATACGAATGCCCATGTCATAGGGTCCGTCAGCGCTTCTTTTAACTGGTACATCTTGAAATGTTTGTTTCCCACCCCCTGCTGATTCTTCCTGATTCGCTCAAGAGCCATTAATCGCTCCTGCGTAGTCAAGAACCTCGCATTCAGCTGATTGTCCGGCATGAAGTACAGGAAGACGCAGCCCACCAAGACGGTAATCAGGCCGATGACCAGAAACACAATCTCCCAGCTGTCAATTGTAGCGCCGTGTTTCTTGACCCCGGTGGATATCCCGTAGGCCAACAGCCCTCCAGAGATCTGGGCAAAGCCATTGAAGCTGAACCAGATGCCTGTGCGCGTCCCTTGCTCTTTGCGGGTGTACTACTGGGAGATGAAAAGCGCAAATCCAGGCGTCACAACTGCTTCGAAGACACCAAGGAAGAGTGTATACCTCCGTACCTCCGTACCTCCGTAAGAAGTCGAGGGATGCGAAACCCTCGGCACGAAGGTAATATAACCCAGACGAAATATCGTATACTGCTTGATATTGAAACGTCAGGTGGAAGCCTATAATATATATATATTGGAAAAGGTACTCGCGCGGCCAGCACATTAGTCAATATAAAAGCCATCCCGAAGATGATGACGATGTAAACAAATGGCAATATTGTTTCATATAGAGAGAAGAAGAAAAAATTGCTAGAAAATAATCAATGCCCCTACGAATTCACCCAGCTAGTAGCTACATCTACCCCACCAAGTCTAAATAAACTAAACATAAACAAAACCTATAAGTACCCAGCAGAGATACGACAGAGCTACAACAAACCAACTTTGTTAAACACGGGGGCTTAAGGGAGATGAAAATGGAGGAATGCTAGTAGTAATTCCCCTACAGATTGTATGTACCCAGCTACCTACACCATATCAAGTCTAAAATAAACTAAACAAAAAAACTTATAAGTACCCAGTAGAGCTACGACAAAACTTAACTTGCTAAACACGGGCTGGAGGGGAGGAAAATGGGGAACGCTGACTGACTGTGTGTGGAGAAAGCAACAACAACAACAACAACAACGAAAAACAACAAAAATTGGGAATCAGACAGCAATAGAAAAAAGACAAACCTTTCCTCCTCTCTCTCACTCACGAGCCGCCTCCTCCTCCTCCGCCTCCTTCTCCTTCTCACTGACCCTTCGGTCATCAACCCATAACTCTACACCCTCACACCCAGCAGGCATCCTGAATATATCTCTCTCCTTCTTCCCCAAAGACTTCCACACCGTATCCCTCAGTCCGGTGCCCACCTTCTCAATGACATCCACGGCCCACACTACATCCAAATGACCCATATCCTCCAGCACCGTCGCACCCAGCACGCGCGCATCCGGCTCCCGGCCTCTCTCGAACCGGTTGATCAAAGCCTGTCCATCACACAACGTGTCCTCTCCCGGTGCCCAGAACGCCATGGGGGGACTCCGCTCATCGAACCAGCTCTCTACCTGCGTCGGTTGATTCACGTGTTTCTCCAGCAGGCTCGTGGCTAGATCCTCGCTGATCTTGCTGGGCAGGTTGCGGAAATAGTCCTGCAGCAGATCCTCCTCGAGCTCGCGCTGCACCTGGCTCTTGGGCGCGAGGATGGAGCCATGGGCCGCGAAGCCGGAGGACGACAGCCACCACAGCATGGCGGTCGCGGAGATGACCGTCGGCGAGAACATGAAGTTGCGGTCACGCACTCCGCGGTCCCAGCGCTCGTCCGTCCAGCCGAAGAGCTGCTTCTGGATCTGGTACGTGGGCCCGCCGAGGTACTTCTGAGGCACGCGGCCTTGTGCCAGCTGGGCGAGGCGTAGGCCCGGCAGGAAGGCTTTCACGCCGACTGTCTTGCGCGCGAGGGAGGGGGACATGGCGCGCATGATCTTGAAGTGCGGCTTGTTCAGGTCAGGCCCTGCGTAGGCGGCTGGGGCAAGGCAGCAGAGGACGGAGATATGGACGCCGAGGGATGGGCGCTGGAGCTTGGAGACCGCGATCAAGGAGGCGGCGGTGCCTTGGGAGTGGGCGATCAAGCCGAGCTTCTCGCAAGAGGTTTCGGAGAGGACGCGTGCAGTTAGGGCTGGCAGGTCGAGGGTCGCCATGTGGCGGACTGTAGGGGATGTCAGTGTCAATATTGACTTCGCTTGGTGTTAAGCGAGCGGGGGTTGGTGAAAAAGTGGGGAGAGATCGGAAAACTTACTGTCCCAGTTCCACATCTTCGGGTCGCCGCGCTTGAGGTCGATATGCTCTGGCTTGAATCCACTTCTCATGTTACCCAGCCAGACGTCGTAGCCTTGCTTGCACAGCCAGAACGCAAGCGAGTGCTCATCGTTCGTGCAGTAGATACCGGCGCTCTGCAAAAGACCGGGGATCAACAACAGCGGATACTTCTGCTTCAGCTTTTCGCCTCCTCCCTTGGCACCTTGAATAGGTCGGCTGGGAGCCCTGATCTCGTCAATGCTCTCCGGACCGCGGATCATGCGCTGGGCTCGCGTCATGGGAGTATATTCGCGGGGGTCGTAAACGTGCCAGAGTGTGAGGACGTGACCGTCTTCCGTTTGAACCCTGACCTCTTCGCTGTTCAGACCGACACGTCTGGCGTAGTATGCGACGTCGACGATGAACTTGTCCGGTCCGCCCTCGGTGGGTATGTACCCATTGTGTGCGGCAATGGTGGATTGGGAATCGAGGTCCACTGAGTTGGCAATCTCGGGGAACGCGGACTTGGCCTGGAGTTCGCGTTTGGTCCAAGATAGATCGTCGAGTCTGCGCAGCTCGGCTCTCCGCTTCTCTTCCCGTTCGAAGATCCGAGGCTGTTTCTTCTGTCGTCTGATGCGACGTGTGATAGCACGGACCAAGGCTCTGAGGATGAAGGCGGCAGCAATGGCACTGATGCCTAATGTGGACATGATTGTGGATAAGGCCTGGAGTAGCTGCCATTTGATACGATTTTTGAGTGTTGTTGGTCCGTACGTTGGGAGAGGTTGGAAGAGGGGGTTTGTGGACGGGGGTGGGTAGACAAGAGTGACCGGCGCGAGCATGGCGGCGGGCAGAGCTGCAGCATTTGGTACGGGGGTCGAGGGTTGACGAGCTCTCTTGGCGGGAAGGAAAGGAAGACGATAGGGCGTTGATGTTGCGGGCGTTGCGGCCTGGCGAGGCGGTCGAGTTGGGATGATGAGAGCTGAAGGGGCAGCAGCATGGGGGACGGTAGTCACAGCTGCTGGTTCAGGGCCCGACTCTGCAATTGCCGGCTCGGAATTGGCTGGCTCAGTGGATTTTGACTTGAAAGCAGCCTTTCTCCTGGCTGTCAGGCCACCTATGAAGGACCCAGGGGCTTTGACGGGCTCGGATGTATTCTGCTGTCGGCGTGGCCGAGTTGGGATAACAAGGGCCGGAGGTTCTGTGCTTGATGGTGCAGGATCCGGCTGCGCGGCAGTTGGCTCTGTTGCTGGAGCGGCCTTCGTTTGGAATGCAGCTTGTCCCTTAGCTTTCAGCGACCCCATGAGCGAGCCTTTGGTAGCTTTGGGTGCTGCGCCGGACGCATTCGTCTTTCGGGGTGGTCTAGTCGGGATAACGAGAGTCGGAGGAGCCGGTGAAGCAGCCGCAGGCTGTGTAGCATTTGTCTCTGTTGTTGCTGGCTCTGACTCAGTTGTGTCAATCGGGTTGGACGCTGGTGGCGGAGAAGCCTTTGACTGGAATGCAGCCTGTCTTTTCGCCCTCAGAGATTCGATGACCGAGTCTTTGGTTGACTTGGACGCCGCCCCGGTAGCTTCAGGTGTCGCAGCTTTTCTTGGTGGCCGGGTCGGTATGATAAGAGGTGGAGGAGTAGCAGCACTTGGAGGAATGGTAGCAGCTTGAGCAACAATTGGATCCACTGGGGCCACGTTGGCTGGCTTAGCGAATCTTTGCTGAAACGAGTTTCTCTTGGTCTTGATATTGGCTAGAAACGGATGCTTGACTGGTGTTGACTCGGCCGCTTCCGATGCTGGTGGAGTTGCGGTTGAGAATGAAGGCTCATTGGGCATTGGCTGGGCCGTAGAAGCCATCTCTGTCTGTTGGTTGAGTGGCGAGTGAGCAGAGAGCTGTGGCAAGGTGGGAGCTTGATCGGAGATAGGCTCGCGGATGGTCGTTTCGTTGCGATCGGATTGAGTGGAGTTCCGCTTCAACGGCGACCCCCTGTTTCGCAAAGCCGCGAGAAGCGGGATCCTTGAAGTGGCTGGCTCTGAACCCTCCATGGCTTCATTGGATGCGCCATTCTGTTCACTGGAGACTGCATCAATAGCCTGAGGGTTTTGAGATATCTCGGAGGTTGAGCTAGGAGCTGCTGGGGCGGCCCCCGATTTGAGTGAAGTGGTTGGGGACTTCAAAATATTCGCGAGAAATGGTAGCTTTGTTGCACGAGATGTTTTTGTGGGTGACGCTTTGTCAGATTGGCTGACGACTGGCTCCGGGAGATGAGTTGGATCGTTTCTCGTGGGCTCGAGTATGTTTGGCTCTGGTTGAGTGGATATCGGCTGATTGATTTCTGGCTCTGTGATAGCCGGTTGAGCTCCACTCACTTCTGCGCCGTCTGCTTGAGAGCTTTCGGGAATGTTGACATGGGCAACATCTGTTTGTTCGACAGTGGACTGCGTAGCAGCTGTCTCGCTGCCAGTTGACGCCATTGGTCGACTTGATGAAGGTGTCTTCGTTGAGTTTCTAGGTTGCTTGATTACCGCAAAGAAATGAGTTGTAATATCAAAAAGAGATAATAGTTGAGAAACTGAGGTGACCAGGTTTTTAGGAGATCCTCGATGCGACAGTACGAAGACGGTCCCTAGTTCTCGACTTCTTTGAGTCTACTCGAAGGTAATAGAAAAGACAGAGGAAATGAACGTGGTGAGAGAACGTGATGGGAGAGCGTCAGCAGAAGTAGCCAGAAGTTCTTGCACCACGACTCGTACAGGAGGGTACTCGTCGCAAGTACAACTTCACATCCGGAAGCCTGACCTCTCCAGGCTCGAAATAAGCATTTGACTCTACAGCTCTACCTTACTCGACGTCAGAGAATGAGAAAGGAAAAGCATGTACTCCTCTGCATGTATGCGATTGGCGAGGAGATTGTCGTCCGAGGTATTTCAGGATCCATATTTCCATCGCGTGTTGTTGACGTTTCAAAAGCGGATGCGCTTTGGTAGGAGGTTGTTTGGGCAGATTCGCTAAGCGGGATACCCCCTGATTTGAGAAGGGCGGAAGCGAGGATTGGAGAAGTCCGTGAACAGAACTTGTCGAGTTCATGCCATGCCACTCGGGTCTTCGAGGTTGCAAGTCATCAGACAGACAACGATTCCTTGTTGGTTTTGCGCTACAGAGCTCAAACCAAATGTGAGAATGTCGGATGCCTTGGCGGGAGTTTTGGCATTGATGCCAGCAGCAGGCCTTGAGGACACATCTGTAGCCGCAGCTTCATGCCTGTGGGTAGCACGGAGTTCATCCTAAGGGTCAGCTGGTTCCCACGTGACACTGTACAGTATGCCACCTGACTTGCCACACAACTTTGGATGCCCGCAATCATCGGACCTGGTGAAGTGCAGCATCCCGTGGATTCGAGCTTTCTGGAGCACCCGTGGAGACGATTCGTGACATGAGATGCAGAGCCACGAGGCTAAGGGCCGGGAGAGAACTGCGTCAGGCGCGCGCGGCTACCGCGTCGAAGGACAAGTCAATAACGACCTGGCTTGTTCCCGCGGAATCATGAGAAACATCGGTTATAGATAGCTAGGATGAACAAACAGCATGCTCACTAATCGTCTTTATCTTGTCGAAGCCGGAGACTTATATCTGTAAAAGTTGTGATACTTGCGGACTTCAACATAAGCTTATTGAAGATCTGCAACCAAGCCTGGGTTCTCAGGCCCGAGCACCAAGTCACGGGTGCTGGGCTGAGGTTGAGTTTGAGGTTGAGGTTGAGGTTGAGGCTGAGCAATATTACGGAGTATAATGATATGTGGTTACATTGTATTGTATAATATGGTATTATATTTTATTATTACATTATCATGTTATCATATTATGTTATATTATATTATATTATTACATTACCATATCATCTTTCGAACTCGGATCTCGGTACATATTGAGTTGGCGGCAATCGATGCTGAGTTTGCTTCCGGATCTCTCGGGTCTACCTTGTCCCCGACTGATAACAAACCCTGGAGAATGTGGAGATTGATCGACATCTGACTGATACATGAGGACCTAGGTACGACAGCCAACGACAACAACAAAGAGAGAAGCGGTCTAGTCTGCACTGCCGGTAGTCGCTTGGCAGATATAGATACATCCACATATATATATCCATCCACATGCATATACGAATACTTTGACTTGGCAGGAGAGTAAAGGGAGGGAAAGAAAAGGGAAAGAAAATAAAATAAAATAAAACCACAGGAAGGCAGAATTCACTTCTTTTGGTATCTAGCCATCGCCCTCCCTTTCGGATCTCACCGCCTGCCCCCTCCCCCTCCCCACATTCATTTCTCCCCTCCCCTCAACCTCCCCTTTCAACTTCTCTCCACACGATATGCCCTCCCCTCAAAACAACATGCCTCTCTCTCGACCCACCCGCCACCACGACGTTCCCCAGAGCAGCAGATCTCCAAGATCTACAGAAGCCATGCTACAACCATTAGGAGTCCCCGCACGCTTGCGGAACGATGGTACGAACATACGAACATCCTCTCCCCAACGAGTCCAAATACGAAGTAGCTCACCCATTCGTAGAATCATGGATCGATATTATTTCCCAGCCTTCCTCCTCCTCTCTCTCCTCCGTCAACGACGAAATTGTAACCACAGGACTGCGCGTACAACAAGATCCCAATGTCCGTCGCCGACGTCGTGCCCACCCAGGCGCCCTATCCTACACTCGCCTCGAAGCCAGACAAACAAGCACCAGCAGCCAAGAAGAGTACGAAGAGAGCGAGAGCGAGGAGGACCGCGTCATGACCTCCTCCAACGAGCACATTCTCCCCACAAATTCGCACCGCGAGTTCGAGGCAAGACTCGAGTTGCACGCGGACTCGGACTCGGACTCGAACTCGGACTCGAACGATGAGAATGCCACGGCGTTGGGACACAGAACAGTTGCTGGACCTTTTACACCCCAACCAAACGCATTCTCGCACCCGCCATCTGCTGCAGGCCAACGACCCCGGGTCCCAGGGTCTTACTTCCCCCCTCACTCAAACGCGAGACCAGCGTACCCGTCGCGCCCATCACGCCAGCACTCTTTCTTTAACACGCCCGTTGACCACGATGCCGCTCTCCGCGCTTCCCTCAACACCCTGCTTTCTATCGGTGCCGCAGCCGCCCGTGGCCTTCCGAAACGCAGCCAGAGCGGGAGCCCCATGATGAGCCATGAGCCTATGGGCTTACGCTTCGTTCCCGAATCCGAGCTTCTCGGTCCGCCGCTCCCAGGAGCGGCGGCGAATACGTCCCGCCCTCTTACGCCCTCTACCCGCGCCCGCAGCAGCCCATCGATATCAAGCCAGGAAGCTATTGAGAAAGGGAAGCGGAAAGCGGCGGCTGCGAAGCCGAGCGGGGAGAAGAGTAGAGCGCTGAAGAAGAAGAAGACACAAGCCCTGGAGGAGGAGAAATTGATTTCTCCGACGATGCTGACGTGGGTGGTATCCGCGGGTGTGCTGGTACTGATTAGTGTGGTTGGCTTTGGCGCTGGCTATGTCATCGGACGAGAGGTGGGAAGGGGAGAAGTTATGAGTGGGTTGAATGGGGGTGATTTGACCGGTGGAGGTGGGAACTGCGGGAGAGAAGCGGTGAGAAGCACTGGGGGCTTAAGGAGGTTCAAATGGAGTATTGGTGGCGCTGCTAAAGGTGTCGTTACATGAGTTTTGGGTATGCTCGACGCACGCGCCCTATTGCATTGCAACCCTGCCCGGTGGGAGACACGATATATGCTTTATGCTCGTCCGAGCAAGGCAGATCGCGCTATACTGAATCACATCTACACATGATCGTCAATTTGGACGACGAACGGGGGGACGCATTATTAACGGAGAAACGCATTATGGATATACGAAGCGGAGTAAAGGACTATTTACTTGTTTATTTATCTTGTTATATTTACGAATAATGGACAAGCGTTAGGCTTTACCGGCATAGTTTCAATAATAGCATACCTGTTTGGGAGTGTTCCCTGCTACCTGGATGGGCTTGGATGGATAGACTCATTGAATTATCTATCTGTTCGCCGCTGCATGCTCACTTTTGCATTCGTCGGTAGGTAGGTAAGTGTAGGTAGGTAGGTAGCTTGATAAACAGGGATACATGTTACTTGGCTTAAACGCAATGGAAGTATTCGAAATGAAAACGCTCTTTCGAACGTTCAAGGAAAAGGAGTATATCCAGGTAGGTTGATGTGAGGTTTATATATATACATACATACGAGTAGGTCCAAACGCTAACATCGATGCTGTAGTATTCCGTCTGGAGTACGGCGCAAATATATACACAGAACATGGGTGACACACAGGTAGGCTTGAGAGGGCGAGTAGTAGTTATGATGGGAAACATCATTATCGGTTGTCGAGCATTGAGGATCAGAGACGGCCGAGGATAGGTAGAGGATGGGGTAAGTGAGTATGGAAATTCTACCGTTGCAGACAGAAGATATCGGTTAAGTTGGAGTTTCGGTTTGTTATTCTGGCTCTTGGATGGGGTTTTTTGATAGTATTCGTTGAATGGCGGGGTTAGGTACGATGGGTGGGTGAGGGTGAGTGAAGTTGGGTTTGATGATGAAATGATGATATGCTATAATTCATGCGAGTATGGGAGGAGTTGGATGGATATATTCAGCTTGCTAGCTGGAAGAGCTGGATCGTAATCTGTAGGTGGATAGGTACTTCATGTTATTCGTTGCAAATACACGACCCGCCGCGAGAGATGTCCTGCTGCTAGCGTAAAATCAAGGCGATGAGACTGATGATAATGTTCTCGATGTACGGCAAGAATTAAGTATCACATGAGCGGATATCAGCCTTCGCGAGATTGCAAGAGAAAGTTCGGATAGCCGCATCGAATTTGAAATGGGAGTAAATACATCCCTAGAAAGGTGGGAAATCACAGCAGCAAGAGATATAAAATTGTTGACTGATCTTGTATTATTGCAGGGAGGGGGGGAACCAAGCTAGTGCAAGCAGGGTGTTACTCACCAGTATGTTACAATTTCGCGCAAAGTGCTCAGGGAACATTCGCACCGAAAACCGAAGTGAACTTTTTTCCCATCCTTCCTTCCATCCAGACGAGCGCGAGGATCCTCAAGTAGCCAAACCCACAGTGAAGACGATGCTCCCTATAGATAGGAAGAATCGAACTCAGCAAGTAAAAGAGCCCAAAGATCGACGGACAAATAGGTGCAACCCCCAAACGCCCCACAAGTGTATGTATCAAAAAGCAACGGATAGGGACAGCCACAAGCCAACAGTTAAAGCCAAAGCCCACTGGAACGGTAAATGTCAACGGTCAAGGTCAAGCCCACAAGTATGATCTCAAAGCCCACAGCTCCTATAAAGGAGTATAGTCGAAAGAGCCCACAACCCACAAAGCCAACGGAAACCCCACTAGTCGGCGCGATTCTTCAGAGAAGAATTGTGCGGCAGTGCTGATGTGCATGCTGTCCTCTCTCAGATGGAGCGGATTTAGAATGTCTGCTTCTTACCCTTGAAGTCGCCGAAGCCACCTCTGTTGGTAGAAGCACCACGTCCACCTACCATTTGTTAGTATGAGTAGATAGAATATGAGTGTTAGTGCTGCTTACCTCCACGTCCGCCACGGTCACCGAAGCCACCGCGTCCACGGCCACCTCCGCGTCCTCCACGCTCGAAACCACCACGTCCACCACGTCCACCGCGTCCGCCTCCACGGCCACCACCCTCAGAGCGGTCTGGCTTCGGCGTAGCGTAGTCGAGTCTGACTGGGCGTCCAGCGATCTCGGCACCGGTCATGGCCTCGAAAGCCGTCTTGGCATCGTCGATGGAGCTAAAGGTAACGTATCCGAAACCCTTGGGGTTGCCAGTCTCCCTGTGTGGTTGTTAAATATTGAAGAGCAGAGATGGGGAGAGAGGTGCTTACTGGTCAGTTGGGAGTCTAACATTGACGACAGTTCCGTGCTCGCCGAAGGCCTCACCAACAGTGTTCTCATCAGCATCAAAGGACAAGTTACCCAAGAAGAGAGTGTCAGAAGGAGGGTTGGTGCTGTCACCGAAGGCAGCAGCGCGACCTTGGGCACGGTCCTTGGGAGGGGCATCCGAGCGGGGAGTAGAGAAGTCGACGTTGGCCTCACGACCATCAATCAAGGAACCTTTCTTGGCCTTAAGGGCAGCGGCGGCAGAAGCAGAGCTGGTGAACTCGACGTATCCGAAACCCTTGGATCGGCCGCTCTCACGGTCGCTGATGACACGGGCGCCAGAGATCTCTCCGAACTCCTCGAATTCACGCATGAGCCACTCATCGTCAACGTTCCAGCTCAAGTTACCGACGAACAAGTTCTTGGATCCGGTGTCCTCAGCAGTCTCGGTCTTTGTCTTCTTGGCAGGGGCAGCAACCTCGTCGTCAGCCTTGCGCTTCTTAGATGGGGCGGCCTCCTCCTCGCTCTCGGAGTCGCTCGAGTCTGAACCAGAGTCAGAGTCAGACCCCGAATCAGAGCCAGAGTCGGAGCCAGAGTCGGAGCCGGAGTCAGAGCCGGAGTCAGAGCCAGAGTCGGAGCCAGAGTCGGAGCCCTTGGCCTTCGCAGCATCCTTGGTCTTAATGCCCTTGATCTTGGTATCCTTGGTCTTGGCATCGGAATCGGAAGAATCGTCGGAGTCGTCAGAGTCGTCCTCAGAATCAGAAGACTCCTGAAAAGAGTTAGCAATTGAAATGTGTGATGTGCGATCGACTTACAGTAGCCTTGGCCACAGCTTTGGCAGCACCATTAACAACAGCCTTTCCGTTGGTGACCACCTTCTGGGCGACCTCCTTCACAGCAGCGACTGGCTTAGACTCCTCTTCGCTGTCGGAATCAGAGCTAGAGTCGTCACTGCTTTCACTGTCGGAATCGGCGGCAGACTTGGGGGAGTTAATGTCGGCCTCGGAGTCAGAAGAATCAGAGGAATCTACCTCTTTCTTTGAAGCTCCATTGGCCTTGCCGTTCGCCTTTCCGTTGGTCTTTGCGACGACTGGTTTGGCCTCAGCCTCAGCCTCGGACTCGGACTCGGATGATTCAGAAGACTCGCTGTCGGAAGAGGGTGTTGCGGCCTTGACAACCGGCTTCTTGGTCTTCTTGCTGCTGCTAACCTTGGTAGCGGTCTCCTTTGCGACCTGCTTGGCCTTGACATTGGGGGTCTGGGAAGACTTAGTGACTGACGCATTTTTAACAGCTGAGGATGGTTTGACCTCCGACTTAGGCTTGCTAGCAGTCTTGCTTTGCTTTGTCTTCGCCATTATGATTGAGTGTGTATGTATGTAGTTGAGAGGGAGTGAGAGGAGGTATGTGTGATGGATACTCGAAGTAGATATCGAGAGTTGTGTGGGTGAGGAGGTGGTTGGAGGATGGTGAGCGGATGAGGGATGAGAAAAAGGTGCGCGGCAGTCGAAGTTCTTATCAAAAAAAAAAAAAAAAAGGAATCGCCGAGCTAGGGCGGAAAAAGTCGTTCGCCGTAGGCAGTAGTCTACTTAAAGCTTAGCTTGATGATCTAGGCCCCTGCATGCGCACGTGATCTAACAAGCAGCGACAACTTCCAGAGGCTCTGAGAACAGTCGATTGTGCCCGGAGGCTCCCAACCGAACCACCACTCCTCCTAACCACCTTATCAATCCCTACACGATCCAGTCTTTCCGAGCACAACACAATGGCCCCGACCCCTGAGTCTGCCGCTTTCCTGGCCAAGAAGCCGACTGTTCCCCCAACCTTTGACGGTGTCGACTACGATGATACGCCTCGGTTGAAACAAGCACAAGATGCTATCATTCGGGAGCAATGGGTGAGGAGCATGATGGCGAGACTTGTCAGGGAGGAGTTGGGGAAGTGCTATTACAAAGAGGGGGTCAACCATTTGGAAAAGTGCGGTGCGCTGAGAGGTAAGCTTGGGCTGCATAAATCATTCCATTAGAGCATGTACAGAGCTCAATTGGGGGGATTTTAGATGTGCTTGGAGGATCAGGAGCTGATTGATTGATGCACAGAACGATACTTTGAGCTGTTGAAGGAGTCGAAGATTAAGGGATACCTGTTTCAACAACAAAACTACGTGCCAAAGAACGAATAGGCTGGGGTATGACATGAAAGAGGCATGCTTTATTGCGCTGCGAAAATGCTGGGAGCAGACAGTTCCGCTGTGGCTGCAGTGAGGCGTGGGAAATCTGGCGCATCAAGAGCTGCCAGAAAGCAGGTATTGGAGAGCAAAGGATCTTCATTCACTGCAATTGTATATGCTACAACTCTGTACAACCAATCGTACTGCTCATCTTGCTCGGGATATCTATCGCAGAGTCTCCATTGACTATGTACATGGCTTGCCTCCGTAGTATTGGCCAGGCGGAATGAAGCGGAGGAGCTTCCACATCCCACCTGCAGCATTTGCAGATCCAAATAAAGAACTATGCTCTTTTTTTTTGCTCGGAAGAAACAGCCATAATCCTGCTCTATCAGACAAATAAGATAAGAAAGCGTAAGCAACATGGAATGGAGCTTCTGTCCAGTCCTATGGCCGGTTCGCGACTTTCAGATAGTCCGGAAAATCAATCCGCCGTTCTCCCCAAAATAATCTCGAGCTCCAGCACTCTCCAAGATTCTTCCAGACTGGAAGACAAGACAGCCTCCCAACATCCCGTCTCAAACTACAAAAGCAGTATAATGATCTGCACCCGCTGCCTCCACCGAGGAGCCTCCTCTTTCCGCTCCCTCTCATCGCCCATCCTCCTCCTCAGGCAATTCTCCCTCTCCTCCACCCTCCTCTCCAGCGCCTCGCCCTCACCACCACCAGCAACCTCAACCAGCGCCGCGCAACCCTTCAGCACGCCCCTCACACCAGCACCCAACCCCGTCTCCCTCGGCACAGCATCAAAACCACCTGCAAAATCAAAAGTCGTGATCCCGATATCTTCGTGTCCAGCCGGTACTACCCTCAAAGGCCTGAATTTCATTAAGGACCGGCAAGACCCAGTCGCGCTGCCGGAGGAGGACTACCCGGAATGGTTGTGGAGCGTGCTTGAGAAGCGGGTGGGCGAAGGGGAGGGAGAGGAGGGGGACGGTGATGAATTTTGTGAGTTTTTGATTTTCCATGGCTGTATGCTTAAGGGCGTGGAGGTAAAGAATTTGCACTGGATGGGTGCCCTATTCTATGGCCTTATCTAGACCTCTACAGTCATTTTCGTTCCATAGCCTAACGCCTTCATCACATACATTAAACTATGCTAACGATCCCCTTTCCGACGTATAGCCAAATCCGCGAAGCTCCGCCGCAAAGCTGCAAAGCGCGCCCGCAAGCTCGAGGCGCTGCGTCGCGCCTCGGGGCAAGCGGAGCCAGAGGTTCGTGTCCCGCTCACGCAGCAGAGTATCGACCTGCCTGCGAACGAGGAGGGTACCGTAGAGGGAGCGCTGGTTGCGGAAGGGAAGAGACAGGAGCTGCGGGGCGCGATGAGGAGGGAGAGGAGGAAGAAAATCAAGGAGGCAAATTTCCTGAGGGGCATGTAATCTATGTGAGTTGGGAAGTTCAGTGTGGAGAAGGAATGAGGTGTCGGGGATGGGGTGAGGAATTGGGGGCTTGTTGGTGGTGAAAGTATTGGGGGAGGAATGACTGGTTGAAGTGGATATGGATGTGGATGGGAGCTTGTAAGAAGCAGAGAGAGCGGACTGTCTTGTGACGGGAACTGCTCTGTACAGGAAGTCTATGGGACATTGAAGACACGAATGAGTGTATGACTGTACATTATATCACGCGAGAGCAAAGGGCGCCTCGGAAAAGCACAGAAGCAAGATATCACACGAATCAAGCAGTCTTTATCTCATTAATCATCCTTTGGGCTCGTTTACCGACCAGAAGTTTCTCAACCTAAAATAATGGCAGCGATACCACGCAAGAATCTGTAAAGCCATTCCAGCCGAACTCCCCGATGTAAAGCCTCCATCCAGATATTCGCCACCAATAATGTAGACGCCTCGATCAATGATACACCACGCCCACCTCATTTCATTCATTATCTTCCCCCTCGCCCTCCCCAATACTGGACTTCTTCAACTGCAACTCGGTCTTCAGCTTCCGGATCTGATCCTCGATTCTCTTCTTTAGGATCAGATTAGACGTCGCGACAAGCTTCGCCTCCTGGGCCACCAGCTCTCTCTCCATCTCCGCGATATCCTCCTTCATTCCCTGGATCTGGTTCAGCCTGTTACGCTCCTCGGCGTCAATCTCGCTACTCTCATCGTCGTCGTCCTCCACGGAATCATCACCGCTGTCGGCTTCCTCTTGTTCCTCCTCGGGTGGCATATTAACAGACATAGACGGGGTCATTACAGAAGGAGTCTCGGCCACAGGCGTCCCGGCAGCATCAGCAGCATCACCAGTATCCACAGCATCCCCGAAATCCCCAAAATCAGCTTCCATAGCAGCCTCCAGGTCAGCCTCGAGAAGCGCATCGTCGATAGGGTCGTAGTCCTCCAGCTTGACATTAGCTTCGTTTTGATCGTTGTTGATGAAGTATCCATCATCTTCCTCGCCCTCAGCGTCTTCTTCTCCGTCCTCCTCGTTCTCGGAGTACTGCTGCTGCGTTCCATGTCTGAACGGTGTGTTGCTGCCATCACGACTGAAGGCCTCGCTTTGGCGTCTGCTTTCTCGTCCTGGGTCAATGATCGTGTATTTGGTGCGCACGGCCTTGCTGTCTGCCTCCATCAATCTCTCTACTTCCGCCTCGACTTTCTCAATCTCGACTTTGTGCATGCGTTTTCGGAAGCGTCGCTTGCGTACATTGTGCATGGGGGCAGTAAGGCCGTGAGGATATTGGAAGGTGTTTTCGTCGATGATCTCAGGTAGTGGGATGGTTTTGGCTTCTGCTTCAGAGTTTACCTGAGCGAATACCCATAGCATCTGGCAGATATCCGCGCTTTTCCACCAGCCGCGCTTGTCCCAACTCTTCATGCCTTCGATAATGCAGGGGAGATCGACCATTGTGGCAGCGTAAACCCGGCCTCGAATCGTGACTGAAGCTCGACGGCCATGTTCCTGGTAGAACTTCATCGAGACGTCAGCACCATTGCTTAATCTGTTACCACCGATCAATTTCTTTGCAATACAATCTCGTAGATAATCGCAGTCATCTCCAGGTACCATTCGCAAGATGAACTCCTCTTCGATGACAGGGTCGATTTCACGATCGCTGGCTTCCGAGTCGTATCCCTCTCCCGGGATTCTCTTTGGTGGTTTGCCCTTCACCTTCGCCTTGATCATCACAGGAGTGATAGCGGTAGGTGTAGCCGGGACTGGAGTCTTGGGGCCGCCCGGCGCTTTGAAGATGATGGTTTGTTTTTTCTTTGGAGGCTGAACTTTGATAGTCGCCTCTGCTTCGCTGTGGGACTCGTCGTCTCGGCCACGCTTCTTGTTATCGATGAGCTTCGCGCTGGGTTTGGCCGGCCGGCCTGCTTTACTCTTCTTGGGCTTGACATCTTGATGAGCGGTTCCTGGTGTGATTACCTTTGTCTTTAATTTCAAGGAAGGTTTCTTAGATGGCGCAACCGAGGGAGGTGTGCTCAGCGATGGGATGCTTAGAGTGCCACTTTGGTTGAGGTAGTCTTGTAAGGGGGGGCTGCTCTGGGAGCTTTGCGATGGTGTCGTGGCGGCTGGAGGCTTGGGGCCTATCCTGATCTTCAGCTTCGTGGGCGGATTTTTCTTTGGCGGCTCGGCCATCTTGCCGGTGTTCAGGTTGTACGCAGACGGTGACGGTGCGTTCTGTGCTATGCGGTAGCTTTTTAGTCTGTCGCTCGGGGAAGCGCAGGGGTGCCGCGGAACAGGATTATCGATGGCACTCGTGAGTTTCCAGCAGGTTATGCCGTTGAAATGAAGCAGGCAGCGCGTATTCTCCAGATATCTTGGGGCCGTGGTTGTGGTTGTGGTAATAAAGTTGAGAAAGGATTGTGGGGAGACGCGGCTGAAGTAACTTTCGGGAGGACACGAGTAACCAAAAGTATTTAAGCACTGAAGTCGATTGACCTCCGTAGACAGGTCATCACCAAGGTGAGCCCCGGCAGCTCCTCAAATTCAATCACCAGGCTTTTCTACCCACCAGTATCTACAGCTCCAAACCCGCTCTCATGTGGCCATGAAGACTTCAATATCCACAATCCATCGAACCTGAGCCGCGACATCTCAACCCAGCAAAATGTCAACCCCCCAATCCCTCCACCACTCCCTCCTGCGCCCAGTCGTCCTCCACATCCTGCGCGCAGCAGGCTACCACTCGACCCGCCCCTCAGTCCTCGATACTCTCACAGACCTTGCGGCGCGATACTTTATTCTGCTGGCGCAAACCACTGTCGGACACGCCGCGGTGAATCAAGACGAGCCTGAACTCGCTTTGGAGATCTCAATCCAGGATGTGCGAATGGCAATGCAGGACTGCGGTGCTCTCGGTCCGGAGAAATGCTTGGAAGACCAGCTGTGGGAGGGCATTGAGGATACGAGAGGTGTGGATGCTTTTATTCAGTGGGCAAAGGGACCGCGCAATCATGATATTAAGAGGGTTGCACTTGAGGGAGCCGAAGGGGCGAGAGAGGATTACCTGATGGGTTTGTTGCGCCGTACGAAATATCTCACTTTACTGATTGAGTGCAGCGTTGAAGAAAAAGCATTCTGCGGCAGACGAGGACTCTAGATACAACGGCACCCTTCTGGGCAAGCCTACAGAACCCCGAGCCGTCAAGGTCGAAGGCGGCGATGTTACGAGCATAAAAGACTGGGCAGAGCGATTGAAGAACTCGGCACAAGCAACTTCCCTGGTGTCCTCACGGCGACAATCATCGGCATTGAGTTCTTTGGGTGACGAGGAGATGGAGGACATGGAGTTTTAAGCTGTCAATTGTGCATTGGATGGCGTTGAACGGCTCTGGCTCAATGGTATGTGAACAATATCTGGAAATACCCTGTAACCAAGTGTTTTTTTTTCTTAGCAACATTGTCTTTCTAGTTCAATTTGACGTTTTCCATACCACTATAACTGTTACATTTCTTATACGCTATTCAGCCCCTCATTCGCGACTCTATTCCCAGCACCACCATCAATACTCTCCCCATTTCTCCTCGCCTCCTTGATTTCCTCCCTCTTGCCCGCTTGCTCAGCTTTTTGTCTGTCCAAATTACTGGTATAGCTGCCCTCCTCTCCCCACCCAGCATTCTTCTTGTTGAACTGTGCATGCATCACCTCTCCTTCTCCCTGGATCATTAGGTTAGCAAATTTTTGTACCTGGTTTTCTCGGGAGTAGTCTCAACAGCTGAATACTCATGAGACACGGCGAGGGGGGATATGCTGCTGCCCGATTGTTCTTACAGGCGCCCGCATTTGCTCTCCGTCCAGATCTTCTTGCTGAGGGCCCACCTTGGAGCCGGGGAGACGGGCGTTGCTGTCGTCTGCATTGTCCTTGGGGTGGTCACCATGGCCGGCTGCAGTGGCCATACCGACGGACATTGAGGGGGTTGCAGTTGAGAAATCTTTGCTGTCGGAGGGTCCGTAGGTTGTGCCTGCCCCTGGGGCTCTGTCTGTGCATTAGTATACGGCCTTTATATATATACCTATATATATCTTGAAAGGGGAGGGCATGATGTGAGCGATGTAGGTTTCCATATTTGTGAAAGACAATGGGCGCGAGTTGACTTACTGGTTGAGGCTGGACTGATCTTGGGAGGCTGGCATGATGATGGTGATGTAGTTGTTGAGTATTTCAAAGTTTCTTTGGATTCACGTCCTGAGCAGATACACTTTGATCATAGAGTGAAAGAGTTGAATGTTCGAACCATTAAATTAAATTCTGATGGTAGGTATTCCGACGGCGAAGTGAGGTGACGTATTAGCTGCTCGAGGCTGACATTATTGATAGTCCAACCCCAAGTGCCGCTAGATTCGCCCATTTAACTAGCACTAGCAAGTAAGTACTTATCAGCCTTGCATGAACTCGACTTCAGTCCCAGCGACTTGTTTCGACAACAGTTCTTGGGATGTATAGGTATATATATATATACTCAAAACCTAGACGATCATACGAACAAGCCATTTGGATCACTGCTTGTTCGTTCCGTACTGCAATAATCTGTATCTCAAGCCTCTCACACAATCGACGACTTCAAGTATAACAAACGATATTAGTGTGCAGCCCGCAGTCCAGCCTCACCCCGCGAAGCGGGTCTACGTGTTGATAAAAGCAGAATGCCTTTCCCGTTTATCCTCCCGACAACATCATCCTTCTCGTTTTCAGCTTACTTCGATAGCATCTCTCATCCCTCACTTCCACTCGCAGCAAGCACCCACCGAGGAGTGTTGAGAGACACGCTCAAGAAACACAAGCGACTTTCCCCATCGGACCAAACGCCACATCTATCATCCGTTCTTTTGGCTCTGAGTAACTACATTCCATACTTACTAGCCATCGACAACGGCCTCGGAAGCCAATTAGTAGACGGTGAAGAGCTAGACGTTGTCCTTAAGTCAACACCAGCTCTAGAATGGCGACCCACCCTGTCGGAGAATGCAGTCCCGGGAAAACAAAGCGCAAGAGTGAAAATCACATCGCTAGAATACGAGATATACTTCGTTCTCCAAACACTAGGATATACCTACACGCTCTTATCTCGAGCAGCGCTCCACCCCCTCTACTCCTCAGCAACCGCCTCCCCAACACTCGAACAGCGCACCCTCGCCATCACATCCGCCACTAAGAATCTGCTCGAGGCAGCTTCAATACACGAATATATCCCCAAACGCTCCGACCAAATCTCCTCGGCTCCTCCCTGCGTGGATATCGCAGAATCAACAATGACTGCGCTCGGCTCTCTCGCCTTAGCCGAAGCCACCCTCATGGCAGTGTTGAAAGACGATACGTACCCCGCGATCGTAGCGCAGAACAGGAATCAGAATGACAAAGAATGGATGATTCGCGCGCCTGATATTCCAAAATTAAGAGTCCATCTCTTTGCGCGCATGTGTCTAGCAGCTTCCGAACACGCTGCCAGGGCATTATCTTTGCTGAATACAAGTGCTAATACAGGCCGTGGAAAGATCGATGCGGATCTACTAAAGTACGTGGAAGATCTCAAGCGGACAGCTCGGGCGAAAGCGTGTAGGTTTTTCGGCATCGATGCTGATATTGGCGGGAAAACCGGAGAGGCGATTGCCTGGCTCAAAGCGGGTATGAATGAGCTGGGAATTGCGCCAAAGGATGAAGGCAAAGGGCGACTGGGGTTTGGGCGAATGAAGAAGGGGTGGGAGGAGAAGAGGGAGGATCGGAGGGTTGAGAAAGAAGGGCTGTGGGGTGCCGACGCTGGACGGGCAGAGGAGGGACGGGTGTTGGAGATGTTGGAAGGGAAGTGGATCAAGATGAACGACACCGTAACTCTCTCTTCCATTTGCACACCTTTTCCCTTGACGTCTCTCTTCTTTTAGGTTGAACTGATAATGGTGCTGATGAATCACGTGACAGATCAACACCCAGCCCATCCCGCCCACAGGCCCGCTCCTAGCCTCCATGCCCTCTGGTCGCGAGATCCACAGCCTGAAACCCTGGATACCACCCGTCCTCGATACATCCATCCTGGAGAACATGAGAGCGCCGCCTGACCGCGTAGACGACTATGACAGCGACAGGAGTTCTGAGGATGAAAGCGCCAGGCAGGAACCTGTTGGAGCATTTCCGGGCACGAGAGGAGATTATGCAAGGAGTGGTAGCTATTACTGATGCATTGCAAGCAAGTCCTGCTCTTAAAAAAAGAGCTATATGTCATTCAGTGCCGTGTTTTCTCCCGCACATGAATGATCGCGTCTTGTATCCACCTCGCCTTCTTTATTGATAAGAGAAGGGGGTAAATGAGAGAAGATGATACGAAATAAGATCCTAAGTGACCTAAAGGCCGAATCAAATCTCACATGCATTTCACAAATATCTCGTTCACCGTTATTGGCTCCTTGAGATTCTTTAGTCGGCATTGCTGTTATGAATTGTTTCACCGCTTGATACCGCCATCTCTTGCTGTACTAGTAACGCGAGGTATATATGTATTTATATAAATCCCATCTGGATTTTCCAAGTTTTTTAGTTTGCATTTTGCATTTTGCATTTTGCATTTTGCATTTTGCATTTTGCATTTTGCATTTTGCATTTTGCATTTTGCATTTTGCATTTTGCATTTTGCATTTGGCATTTGGCATTTGGCATTTGGCATTTGGCATTTGGCATTTGGCATTTGCATTTTGCATCTTGCTTCTTTTCCCTTCTTCTTTTCCAAACGGGAAAACGTGAAGCCGTCCGGAACCCGGTCCTCGCATACGAACCCTGCGCTATACTCCTATATCATGTCATATCATATTGTATTATACTACATCTTATAATACGACAGGGGCCAGTGATATACATACACGTCAAAACAAGCTTCTATACTCCGACTGAACATCTATACGTAAAAAAGACGGAACGAAAAAAGAGAAGCGAAACCCAGCTGGAAGCTTATATCGACGCGATGTTACAAGGTTCCTGCTTGCAAGACTTGGGTCATTAGGTTATATATAGCGAATATGATGGTGGTTAATATGTAGGTAGCCACCAGTTAACTCCATGTGTTATCTGGCATACGGCGTTCAGATAGACGCGATGCCAGGAGTAGCAGTGGGAAATTTGGCAGCCTTGGCCCTTTGTTCACTGGGGAAGGAAAGGAAAGGAAAGGAAAGGAAAGGAAAGCAGGAGGGTGAGGACTGCACTGATGCACCAAAACAAGAATAAAAAAATATTCGCAGCAGAGGGATTCCGGACCTGGTAATGTAGTAAGTATACTTCGCTCAATATGAGGATTGGGACCTGTCACTCCCTTTTACAATTTCCAGAGCGCAAGAAGCGGGGGTGGGTAAATAAAGATAGGATAGACAGACGAGCAGCGAGCGGGACGTTCAGTGTTTTTTGATACTCTTTTACTTCTCGTTACCTTTTTTTTTTTTTTTTTTTTTTTTTTTCGCTGGAGCACGAAACTGTTGCGTGTCGCATTGTGTGGCGAAGTAGAAGTTATGTGGATTTCGATGAGGGAATAATATTCTCGAATCTTGAATTTCTCCCTCTCATCTCTTTGAGGGCGTCAGAACTCCGTATTGCAACTCGCTTGGATTCCAATCGCTATGTCTGACTGGCAGCCACTTGGAAAGATTGGCTTATCTTCGATCTAGATGGGCTTAAGACCGGTTCTATGTTGAAGAAAGGAAGGAATATCTCCTACTTGACCTGACGGGATTTGTTTTGGATGTTAGGTTGTGGGTTGTAGTGAGGTATGATGAAGTGAAGGCGGGTTGAGTGATTTCTCGCTTCGGAAGGGATGCTTGATACCCATGGTGTGATATGTTTTGGTACGTTTATTACCCAACCCAATGCATAGCTTCACTTTTTCCCTTGAGCATCTCTGGAATCGGCGGCAAGAGGCAATACGCGGGGTGAGAAATTGACCTAGGGCAAGCAAGACGCAGTTCCGAAATCGAGAGACCTTTTTCACAGCAGCCGAAAGAAACATATTATGATAAAAGAGGGAAGACTTTGATGACTCTCCTTATGCAAACAGCCCCTTTTCTAGTTTTACCCGATAATGTTTTTGAATTAGTTGCTCTGCTAATTTCGTTGCTCATGATAGAGAAACAAGGTTCCACGCGTCTTGTTTATCGTAGCACATTTTTATCCTCCAAATCAACCTCATCCCGTTATATACTAAAGCTTATCTATAGTTCGCGTAAATTTTTAAATCTAAACTTTGACTTTTTATTATTATCGATATTAGAAGATAATTCTTCTCTGTTAAAGGAAGCAGAAGGCGGTTCAAACTAGGTTGATTAAGTTTTCTAAAAGAAGGAATCTTCTTAAAGAAAGAACTGTATACAGTTCTCTTTTTACATTAGCTAGCTATTATTTCTTTCAACTAGCAATCGTTACTCATCTATCAAAGAGTTGCTCGGCAGCAATAGCATAGACCTCGTAGTATAAGAATATCTTACTTAAAAACTCCCATTTTGATGCTGTTAATAGCTCGTCCGATTAGCTTTTAAGACTTAATTAATAACTCGAAATATAAATAAGAGGTTTGCAATTTCCTCGATCATGACGGCGGTCTTCGAAAGTATAAGCTAACGTAGCTCCTCGGTCAAAAGTCGGGGATCAATATTGTTTGCTCGGAGCAGCGTTTGTAAGCGCTGAGTGCGCTTAAAGCTGTTTTTTTAAAAAAGCTCTTTAATGCGACGTATTAGCGCGTCAGCTAAAAAGTTGTTTTTACTTAATCTATACGTGATAATAAAATTGTAATCGAAAAGGAGCTCGGCTTAGCGTGCTTATCGAGCATTAAAGGTCTTAAAGGTCATAAAGTACTTTAAGGCTTTATAGTTAGTAATCACTTGAACTTAATAAAGAGAGCTAGCGAGCTCGGCGCCGAAGTTACTAAAGGAGCGTATAATAGCCAGCATCTCTTTATCGTAAACGACGTAATTGAATTTAGCGGGAGCTATGGTTTTAAAGTAGTAAGCGATCAAGAGCCAATCGGAACCATACTTTTAAAAAAGATTTCAGTATGTCCATATCGACTTTAGCTAGTTAGTAGTTGTTGGGGGTGATATGGCCAACTTCACTCGTGAACCATGGTTCACGAGTCGCTTGGCGTGCCTCACTTAGCACGTCACGCGATTCAAAGGACCCCCAACTTGACTGTAAAACCTATTAGTTAGCTAGTGCACGTGATTCCTTCTAATCGTAGAGAAGGAATCAGCTCCCCTGAACTTTGGGGAGCAGACGGAATTCAGATACCTTTATAACCGAGTATTTTGCAATTGTAAGAACTTTGACGACTTTACGACCTTACGAATAAATATTCCCTGATCGCTAGAAGCAATCCAACAATTATAGTGCTATAAGATAGGCGCAACGATCAAGGCGAGCTTCAAAAGGTCGAAGCTTTTTTGACATTAAGAATTAAAAGAAAATTAAACGTTAGCCTTAATCAAGTGCATTAAAGAATTCGCGATCACGCCGTAATCTCGAATAAATCGGCGATAGAAGTTACAAAATCCAAGGAAGCTTTAGACGCCTTTAACGGTTATAAAGGACGCCCAATGCTCCATTATCGAGGTCTTGTCCGGATCTACTTTCAAGCCTTCGATTGAGGTGATGAAGCTTAGGTATTTTTGCTTTAGTTATGCTGGACTCTCATTTCTTGATGTCAGCCTGGAGGCTAGCGTCGTCGAGTCGTTGGAGCACTAGACGGAGGTGGTAGGCGTGCTCCAGGGGGTCAGAGGAGTAGATCAGGATGTCGTCACACTTTCTAAAGCTATCTTATATATAACTCTTTAGCTTAGCACGTCGCAGTACGTTATAAAAGGTCTCAGGGCAGCAGGCTTCGCCTGTTATCCGCCCGACGTTAATAAATATAATAAAAATAAAAATATCGACCAATTGCCTGCGGCTATCAAGGATGCGTAAGAAAAGGTCGGCGAATTTGAATTTCAAGCGCTCTAAAAGTATGCCAGAGCGTTGTCGGGCTGTAATTGATGCTGATAGGAAATCTATAAAATATGAGAATAATAATCCTTTTCTATAAGCTATATATATTATATTATCGCGTCCAGCGGTACGAAGTAAAGGACCGTAAGAGTATTGCTCGATTTAGCTAGTTTCCACAGTAGATCGGTATACATAACCGTTGTACCGTATGAACTCGACAGAGTCGTGCACTCTATTGCCAAGTAGTTTTTAATCCTTGAATACTTATTGAATAGTGCGTAAGCGCGGAATCGCCTCTTAGACCTGCCAACAACAGCTTGCATTTGGCCGAGCTTACGCCCTGTTCAGTAAATACTCAAAGATCAGCTATTACTTGGCAGTGGAATGCGCGATTCTGTCGAGCTCAGACTGTACCTCCGTAAACAATAGAAACTGGGGTTTTATTAAGGACATGATGTATTTAAACGTAAAGAAGAGAGGGTCTTGAAAATGGTCCTTTGAAAATTAGAAATGCGCCAAGATTGTTTACAGCGTGCAACAAAAGTCAAATGGAAGCGCTCTGACGAGTCATTGAGGTTCCCCGCTCAAACCCTTCAAAGTATAATTGTTAGGCCTGTACTGAGTGAGGTATTACAACTGCCAACGAAGCTCTCGATGCTATATTGATCTCGAAAGATAACGTACTCAAAGACCTTGGATTCAGTCTGCTTGACTTGGATACTAATACCGGTCTTATTTTTTACGTTTTATTAATATTTTCTTTTTCTTTTTTTTTTGATTGATTAAGATCTTATCCGCTGTTTTCTGATATCTACTACGTAGGTAGTACGTTGACTCGCGCTCTCAAAGCAAGCTAACCTACCGAATAGCCTTGTTTACGATAGCGATTTCTATGACCCGGCTCTTTTATCTTACTTTATAAGAAAAGTCTTGGCTTCTATAAAACTGCACTTAATTTAGTTATTATTATTATTATGATTGTATTTATTAACGTCGGGCGGGTGGCAAGCTTTACCTGCCGCCCTGAGACCTTTTATAAGATACGGCGACGTGCTAAGTGAATGAATTACATGTAAAGTACTATTTAATCGAGAATAGAAACCACGTTAAAGAAAAGCTTTCTTTCATATCCCCGGGTTTTTGATTCCGCGGTATCGCATAACCCTTATAACCCTTAAAAGCATTTCAAGTTGGTATAGCGCAATTGCTATCGACAGTGCCTTTTTTTTACGAATAAGATAGATCGCAAAAAAGATGTATCATTATCGGAAGAAAAACCTCAAGAGCAAATTACAGCGTAAGTAACGTACGTATATCGGTATCTATTGTCGAGATAATTCGAGGCCGGACCGGAGTCAGCCAGGTGGCCTTTTTGAAGGCGCAATATCGAAGATCATATTTCAATTTGATTGCAAGCGCTTAAAGCATAGGAAAATAGACTTCACTATGACCCCGCATAGGAAACTGCTTATCGGCTTATCGGCCTACTTATTTGGCCTGTGCAGTACCCGTGCGGCCAGAAAGTCCGTACCTATGCATTGATCTTTATAAACTGGAGAAAGGGGTCGCAACGCTCCGTATGATTGGCTCCACCTAAATCTGGTAAATTTGACTTCATATAACTTTCCGGCATGAGTAAAGACTTTCTGGCCGCACGAGTAATTTATGATAATACAGATGATTGATAGCCTTGACTAGTCAATAAAGCTGTTGTATTATTGATGTCTGGTATTGCTAAGGAAGGTTGTAGCGGTCCCTTTAAGGAACCGCGGGTGCACGTGCCACCATCACACGACACTGCTAAGCCTAGAGCTTATCGTACCTTCCACTTCCATTATGGCCACAATGGCCCTCAGTGATCCGATATCAGTAGTAGAAAGGATTTTCAAATCTGGTCTTTGGATGGCTTGTATACAAGGTATCATAAAGTCTCTGTAGTGGATTCTAGCGGCCGAGGCTTGGGAAACAGAATCCACTATGATCGAGGCATGGGAAACTACCGGCCGACTTAATTTGCTTGTATAATAGTAATAGCATCTTTTTTCAGACCTGGATGGCTTCTATACTCTGTACGGAGTATACCGAAAACTCTCTGGGGTGGGTTTTCATCCGTTTAATGTTAGATTGATTTTGAATAACGCGGAATGTGGCGATAGGAGATTCATGAAGCAATTCTGGATGAACTCCAACAAACGAACAAACGATCAATTGACTTTCACGATGCAAACCTTATCGCCACTCTAGAGTAACGTCCTTACATCGCAGTCTGGACTCGGCCGGTGCGCGGTCGCCGGGAGACTACGCTGGCCATATTGCCTGCACGTTAAAGAATACCGCATATAAGGTTTCGGATGAAAAGAGCAATTCAGGAGTCTAAAGTTTAAGAAAGGTCAACTCGCGAGGTTGACAGGAAAAGGAGCTTACAGTTCAGCTCGTGAGGTTGGGGTCTGATCATTCTGAGTAATAGATTAGTATTCGTAGCAGATAAAGGGAAGAATGATTGAGGGTTAGCGCGCGTTGTTATTGTGGTTGTGATTTTGGTTATGATTATGGTTTTGATAGAAAGTATAAAATTCGATGGGGCTACAGTTCTGGCAATATACTCCGTACAAGAGGGGCTGTGGTTGTGCCGACTTTCCGCGGCGGGAGTACGCGTTAGCGTAGGACAAAGCAACCATTTCGGTTCTCTTAACAGTGACCAAAGTTCGTCTTTAAACATGGCCTTGATGTTTTAAACGAGCACTCTGGGAATGTTGAATTATGGTATGGCTCCGTGAATGTAAACCAGTTCTATAGACCCTGCCAAGACAGGGCCACGTAAACGCCCAATTTACCCAAGCATGATTCCAGACTCCCAGTTACGGTTAATTTTGAGTCGTAGTGGATAGATGGTTGTTGCACCTGTTATACAAGCAAACCTCCGACGATGGGACGGGAATCGGACCCACTTCAATGTTTACTCCTGATAGCCAAGCGAGGCCAAGGGAAGTCAATGTAAGCTTCTCGTGGCTCCCGCAACCTTAGAGAATAGTAAGATTTATGAAGTTTCATATTACGGAACAGACGACTTAATACTGAACAAGTTGTGGTTGGGAATGATTAACTCGGCTGATGGTATATTGCTACGTGATAGATGGGCCAGGCAGGACACCACCAAGGTACACAGGTACAGCGGCTAAGTATATCAATAAAGTGCTGCGGAACGCTTCATTTAATTGAGCAGCATCATTAAAAAGCCTTAACGCTTACATTCAGCGCTGATCTCCAGATAACAACGGCATTTCAGCCTCTGCCGTATTTTCAGTCTTCGACGCCCATTGACCCTTCGGCAATTTCCTAGAATTTATGAAATAGAAACTTTTATACCTCTTTTCTTGTGACGTACTCCATAGAATATACGTAGTAACTTTATCAAGTCAGGCTTGGTCTCCACACACCCCTAGTATTGGAGATGGTATTATACTTCACCGCCAACTCGTTAGAGAAATTTAACATTTTTCCTTCGCTTATTTTGTTTTTAAACCCAATCGCTTGTACGAAAACATAAACATAGTTTAGCTACGTAGTTACATTTATGCTTCGCAAGAGAAATGCACAAATTCAGTGCAAAATGATTAGGGATTTGGCGAATAAATTATGTTTGTGCATTGATCTAATTACTTCCAGCAGCGATAATTACTCTTTTGGAGGTACGCTCACGCTGATCTCATCATGCTTTTATTTAAAGTATCGGATCATTAATAAAATCTACATTAACTAGGCGAAGGAGTGAAGAATAGCGGCGTTAAAATATCCACTAAATGAAGATTCGGTAGTCTCGAGATTTCTAATCAATTAGAATCAAATTTCTAACGCTGCGATTCATTGATATTGAGTTTTATGCACTTCACGACCAGAACGAGCGCACCTGGTTGTAGCAATACGTGGTGAAATTTCTTGTTTCTGGCCACCCGAAGGCCGAAGGTTTAATTATTAGGCTTAGGAGGCCGTACAACTAAAGCATAAGTGCGATCTTAGGTTGTAAAAACAAGGCTTGGTCCATAATCCAGCTTGCTCTAAGCTTAGTCTTGCTTGATCAGTAACATGGGATGGGAGGCAATGAATCTTTGTACCTGCGAGTCACGTATACTGCCCGAAAAGGTTGATTAATCGTTGGTACATTCTATGCAGAGTTTGAGCTCTGGTCCTTGGAAGAAAAACCCCAGCGAGGCCTCAAAAATTGGCCACCAGCTGTGTATAAGTACCAGGCGGCTCCTTTGCAAGACTTATCTTCTTCCCTCATCAGCATCACTCACCTCAGCTTCACCCATTCCATCTTCACACTTTGGCTCATATTCTTCTACGCCTCATACCATCAATAGAACCTCCGTTTTCTCAAGCCATACCAACAAATACCAATCAACATCACCAACCTTCAGAATGCAACTCTCAGCTGCTATCCTCACTACCATCCTGACCACCATGGTCTCGGCTCAATCCCTTAAACTTCCCACCCGTGTTGGATCCATCGTCTCTCTATCTACTCCTATGACCGTCACAGGTACTCTAGACCTGGGCAACCGGGAGTACGATCGTGGACGTCCTTGCGACTCCGACGACGACACCGGATCTTCCTCCGCTGTTTTCATCCTCGCCGACGGCGCTACCCTCTCCAACGTCATCATCGGTGCTAACCAACTCGAGGGCGTGCACTGCAAAGGTGCCTGCACCCTTAAGAACGTCTGGTTCCGTTCAGTCTGCGAAGGTATGTTTCTTTCTCCCTCTTGGCGTCTTCCCACGTACGGTACATGAAATACTAAGATGCCGCTCGCTTACAGACGCCATCTCTCTTTTGGGGACTGGAGATGTCCTAATTCAAGGTGGTGGAGCCCAGAACGCCCAGGACAAGGTCATCCAGCACAACGGAAAGGGAACGGTCACCGTCAAAGACGTAAGTCCCGTACTCCAACTCCAAGTTCCCTTCCCAGCTTCCCAACTAACACTCGCGCTCCAGTACACCGTCGTATCTGTCGGCACGGTCTTCCGCTCATGCGGCAACTGCTCCAAGCAACAGGGACCTCGCTCCGTCATCATCACGGGCCTGAAGGCTAACGGCGTCGCTGCCGAGATTGCGGGCATCAACTCCAACTACCAGGACACCATGACCCTATCCGGCTCGTGTGGTACCGGAGTTAAGCACATCTGCCAGGAGTTCAGGGGCGTGCTCAAGTCCGAGGGCATCGAGTCCCCGAAGTTGACCACAAAGGCCAACTGCCTGGGTGCCCAGGGCCGCCTCAACACTCTCCCTGTGTGCTAGATGCAATTTCAATTTCTCTCTCACATACGCACTCGCCGGATTTCTTCTCATTCTCCTTTCGATTCCGCCATCGATCGATCGATGTTTCGCCGTTCGGGCTGAGCCCCTAGGAGCGCGGCGACTTTCACAGCATAGCACGGTCCCCGCTGTGATCCGTATCCTCTCTTGCGGAGACCATCGGGCGGTCCTTTATTCTCTTTCTACGTCGACGGTTTTTTCATACGTGTTTTTTTGGGGTCTGGAGTCGGGGATGTTTTTCGCATAGCGTATTGGAGGGCGTCGCAGGACGATAATATAGGCTGCTCCACGAGGGAACCCAGGGAGGAATAAAAAATTTCTCTTTTTAGGCATAAGGTTTCTTTCTGGGACTTATACGTATAAGGAAATATGCATATATATAATTACTAATTATTACTATTAATTGTAATTAATAATCAGTGCGCTGACTTTTACCTGCGGGCTCTCGGGAATAGTCAGGACAAGCAAGTGTCCCAGGTCAAGCAAGCGTCCTATCTTAAATAGTACGCAAAATCGAGTTGAATATTATTAAAAATCATTAGAAATCTCGGTTTATATCGTAAACGATATTATAACGCAATAAGCTATAATAATAAAAGTTATATTTAAGTATCGGCGTTACCATTTTTTAATAGGTTATCAAATATTAAATATATATATTAATTTTTATAATATATCTTGCGTAAAAGACTGGTTTTTTGAAAATGAAAAGCCCCCAGCAAGCTTGCAGCTTATCGATTATTAAGCTTAAAAGGCTTCGGAACATTAAAATATCAGCTAGAATTAATGCGATTTGCAACTCGACAGTCAAGTTGGGGGTTCCTTGAACCGTATGATATGCTAAGCGAGGCACGCGTGAACTATGGTTTACGGGTGGAGTTGGCCACATTGTTGGGGTCTAAAGTTATAATTAAACTTTTAATTATAATAATTAGCATTCAATAAACGCAGAATTAAAGAAAACGCAACGATGCTGCAAAAGCTTATCATCTTTAGAAATGCGTCGTATATAGCGAAACCAAATCGAAGATATCGAAGACGAATGAAAGTCGAAATAGAAAAATGTTTAATTTTTTTTTTAATTATAAAAAGTTACTATTAGTGAAAGTATTGAAATAAGATTGATAAATAAAAGGCAGCGGCCGTATATCGAAAGGCCGCTAATGCTTTCTTCTTTATTATCTTATTACGTTACTCGGACCCGATTTAAGTCCGCGCTATATTTGATGCAATTAAAACCTACGAGCATACCGGTAGGTATTAAGCTGATAATGCTAACAAGATAAGACGCTACTTACGTAGTACTACGTCGCAGGCGTAAGTATTACCCCTCGAGGGTAGGGAAACCAGGGGGTTTAAAGTGGAAACTAAACTTTTGAGGCACATTCGAGGGGTAATACTTAGGCCTGTACCGTGGTATATTAGTCCTCGAGGACGAAGACCCATGAAGAAAGGTAATATTAAGAGCAAAGTATATCCGATGGCTTTGCGAGCTTAGCTCGATCACGTATATAATACTGGCTATATTTTTTAAAAGTTCCTTAGAGTTCAAGAGTTTAGAAGGCTAAAGATCAGTTTGAATACTAACTGAACATCGTTGGAGCCTCGAATAGTGATTCCTTATTATTGTAAACCTTACACAACCCTTCGAGAGAAACAAAATCAGCATAAGCCGATATCTGTTAAATCTATCTTCAACAAAATACTTAATTAAAGACCGGCAAGTGTTATATCTGCTTGTTTATTGGACCTATATAAAGAATTCAATGCTAAAGTTGCTCTTTCTTTTTTTTTTTTTNTTTTTTTTTTTTTTTTTTTTAAAAAAAAAAATCTTTTGAAGTTAATCGTCGGTTACCTTGAATTTAAATTGTAAAAAATCCCGACCTGGCGTAACCCTAAAGAATTGACCGACTTGCTACAGCAAGTCGGTCAATTCTTTCGAATTAAAGTTAAGGAAACCGACGATTAGCTTAAAACTATGGGACTACTTTATTTTAAATTTATTTATATTTCATTATCTAATGGAATCAATTAAAGCAGAAATATAGAAGAGTTGGCTGTCGCTTAATCGTCGGTTTTCAATTCGAAAGAATTGGGCAAGTCGGTCAATTCTTTAGGGTTATGCCAGGTCGGGATTTTTTACAATTTAAATTCAAGGTAACCGACGATTATTTCTTGTAATCACAAGGTTTTATTATTTTTTGTTTACCTTTGAAGGCTGATGGCTGTAGAAAGTTTAAGCTGTCAAATGAAAAGAGTTTCATGGTGCGAAATAAAAAAGTTTATGTATTAGCATTTAGAGGAGGTGACTTTAATAACAAAAATAGATGTATGTATAAAAACCTCGCAAAAATAACCCAAAACAAAACAGAACGGGATTACGCCTCGTAGATATCATCTTCAGACGCCTTCTTCTCCTCCTTCTCCTTCTTCTCCTTCTTAATCTGAGACTGAGACTGAGACTGAGGTAGAGATACCACCGCCGTGCTCTTCTCATCTGGCTGCTCTACAGACGACTCCCGTGCTGCTGGTGCTGGTGCTGGTACGGAAACGATTCCCTTGTCCTCCTCCTCCTCCTTTTCCTGCTGCTTGTGTTGCTCCTCGGACTCCGCATTTCCCTTCAACAAGGCTTCGATTTTCTTCTCGCCGCCTTTGAGATTCAGACTCGTGATGGGTGGCAATGGTGAGTGACCCGCACCCATCTCAGAGCCGGTGGCTTCCTCCTCCTTCTCTTCTTCTTCCACCACCTCCTCCACCTCCTCCTTTTCACCACTCTCTCCCTCCCCATCTTTCTCCTTCTCCCCCTCCCGCACATCCCGCGGCGGAGCCGCCTCCGCCGGCAAGATCTCCCGCGGCACCGGCCCCAGCTCGGGCCAAATCCCGTACGCATCCACGGCAGCCTGCAGGCGCGCCTGCGCGCCCGTCGGGTCGCGCAGGTACTCGATAGCGCAGACGGCGATGAAGCCCTGGCGGTCGAGCATCGGCATATTGGCGCTGAAGCGCATCGAGCTCCGGATCTTCGCTGCCGACCGGGGGGGCGCATCCAGGTCGACGTCAGGGAGCTCGCTCGGGTCGCGCGTGCGCACGTGCAGCCGGTGCGAGACGGCCAAGTCGGTGAAGTACAGGCTCAGCTCGAGATCCGCCACCTCCTTGCTGTCGTGCTCGCCGCCGGACTTGCCGAGCGCGGTCCTCCCTGGAGTGGTAGCCCGTGTCAGCAATTTTCTCTCCTTCCATTTTCGTTCTTTCTTCAAAAGTGATATTTTCGTCTCAGAGTTCACACTTACAGGTGTTTAGTGATGGGTCGGTGCCCTGCGCGTCCAGGAAGCCCGAGTAGACCTCGGGATTCAAAAAGCCGGTATGCATGGGGTCCAGATGGCTGAAGATGGTGCTCATCAAGGCCACGAAGATGGGCGTCGGCGTAGTAGCGTCGTCCTCAAACAGCGGCTCCCAGCTCGCGGGTCGGGGATGCGAGGGCGCCGCGTCGGTATCCTCGCTGTCGATGCCCGCGCCGACACTCTTCGGGGACGAAGGTGGTATGTCTTCAATGTCCTCGTGGGTGATCGGAGACGTCTCGCCACCCTCCGCAGTCTCTTGCAGCATCTCGGCCTGCTGCTTATTCGCGCTGGCTTTCTGGCCTCGCTTATCCTTTTTCTCGAGCGGCGCCTTCAGCACGCTCCACAGCGCTCCCCAGTTCGCTGTTGGCATCTCGGTCATTTTTGCTTCTGGCCGGGGGCTCTCACGTGGGTTGCTGTTGCGCGGCGGCAGTGCGGGAGCGGATCTCGGCGCGAATCCGGGGGGGAGGGGGACGACGAGCCCAGACTGCCGGAACACCATAGTAGAGTGCGACCCGGCGTGCGGTGGGATGAAGTTCTTGATAACATGGCAGTTGGCGCAGAGATGGTGGGCCGGGCAGCTGTGGCACGACACGCGGGCTCGATGCGCGGGGATGCTTTCGATGCATGAATTGCATACGTAGGGCTCTTGGAGGGTCTCGATGACTGTGGTTCTGCTCTCGCCGGTGTCCGTCATCCTGATAATGGAAATTTCTTGTCTCTGTGCTTGTTCTTGTGTCCTTCTCCCGGTCTGGGTTGCTGGGTGGTACAGATACACAAGCAGACTTTTGAGAGAGGAGATGGCCCTATTGTTTTGTGCCTTCTTTGGGTGTTTCCAGACATGTGTGCTGTTTGGTGTTCGGAAGCTCCAATCCGTGCGCGACGGGTCAAAGCGAGTATCAGGTCTGTGTCTGAAGACCTCGCGCTTTGGGTGAGAAGAGCAATGCGACGCTGTGAAACAAAGAGCCACGAATTGTGAAAGAGAGGCCAGAGCTGGCCGGAAAGACTGTCAACCGGATTAGCTTGCTTTTCACGAAGCTTAGGGTGTTAGCAAGTTTTGACTTGACCTGTACTGGATGTCAGGGCCCAAGTTCAAACGTTTGAATGTCGGTTCAGCAATCAGCCAGCGAAACTATAACTTGTCGTCTTATATTGCACGAGATTATTGTAATGTTTCAATGCATTGACTATCACCCCCATTACATAATTCGGAAACCATCCAGTAAGGGCTGGTCGTCTTATGTACACAGGCTAGTCGTCTTTTATAAACAAACGGATATTCATCCACACATTTCAACCAACCTCAAGAGAACAACAGATCTATGTGGTGCCGATCATTAGCATCGTTATCGCTTTTGCTCCAAGCTCATCTTAACCTTCATAAACATCAATTAGCATGTGTATGGCATTATTTGTTTACCTCATCAGCTCAATCTTTCTCCACCCTCATACCGATCCCTTATTAACCCTAGCATCATAGACGGCGTACGTGAATCACACGAAACTAGATACGACGGAAAGATTCGACCTCGAGTAATGCTGCTGGGCCCAGGGTCTCTGAGTCCTCTCCCGACTCATACTCCTCCTACCACCGGCCGGGTGACTCGGCCACAGCGGCAAGTGCTCCTGCGAGCCCGCCGGGCTCATTCTACCGGGGGTAAGAACTACCGGCGGGGTTGCTGGCACCCCTGCCGCATTCCACGCCGGCGAATTCCCCCATACGGATTCCCGGATCGAGTTTGCATCGTCGTCGACGCTTGTGAACGACGTGCGGCCAGACGAGGGCCGCGTGCGTGACCACATCGCTGCCGGGGCGACCAGAGACGTGGCTGGTGCGTAGATGTCGTTCTGGCCCGAGCTAAAGTCCTCCATATCCTCGCCCTTCTTCTGCAAAGAGGTGCACTTTCCAATCCAGAGCATCTGCTCGTGCTCTCGGAGGTAGCGCTCACCGCTGAAGGCTTTTTGGACGATGTTTCTGGCCATGAGACCGAGTTTCCGTCGCTGCGCCTGTTTCGCGTACATACGTGCCGTGATGATGGCAACGTCTTCTGGCCCAGGCTTGAAAGGTAATATAGGGGCCTTCTCGCCTGGTGCGTCTTCTGCGTATTTGGCCCACTCGCCTATCATCGCTAGAATGTTAATTTGTGCTCGGGCGAGCGATGCGGCATCGTTGGGGGCGACGACTTCGCTGTATCTTGAGCCGTCGTCTTTATCTGTAAGAACCCGTAACGAGGCTCCTACGTCAGTACAGACGACTGGGACGCCGGTAAGAGCAGCTTCTCCCAAAGCCAGAGGAAGACCTTCAGAGACGGAGGAATTCAAGAACAGCCACTGTGTATCGAGTCAGCGTTCGTCAAGTGCGGAGATGATATCACTTCACTTACCGAGGTTGCCAGAACGGTCTTGGGATCCGCAGTGCCCATCATGGTGAGATTCTCGCCAAGAGACTTCGAAGCCAGAATCTCTTGACATTCCGCGGAGTAGACTGGTGATTTGTCCAGTGCACCATAGATATGCAATCGGTAATCTTTGAAACCCCACTCGTTGACAATGACATTGGCAGCCAGAATGGCCGTCTTGATATCCTTTGCAAACCAGACGTGAGATAACATAGTGACTGTTGGCTTCTCTGTCGTAATTTCCGTGACGGGGGAGAATTTCTAAAAATAAAATATCAGCACAGCCAAGCCACGTGTATCGAGCGAGCTAACCTTCATATCCGGGATGCCGTTGACTACCGGATCAATCTTGCGAGCAAACCTTTTTCGGTGCTGGACATGCCCATAGTGGGATCCGACTTCGATTTCCCAGCCGATATTAAAGAAGTCGGCACAGGGAAGAATTTGATCAGCGTGGTTGAGGACCAGTACAGCCGTAACTCTCATGAGACCGAGCAGAGAGTTCCGGACGAAAGGCTGGAGGATACACAGTGCTGAGGACAGGTAGAGGTTCGTCTCGCGCCAACTGATGGCGTGGTCCCAAATCTGTAGTGTACAGCCTCGCTTCATCTTACATACGACGCCGTAAGCCGCCGAGACACTGTGATGCGAGGCTTGGAAGACGTTGGGGATTTCTTCTGGCACAGGAATCGAGAGGACAAAGAGGTCTGAATAGGTTAGCCTTCTTCCTCTCTCTATCAGCCAGAACTTACATCTGAACCACAAGTCCATGGCCGCATCCAAGTGCCCCAGGGTAGGGTGTTCGGTCTCAAACCACTCAGAAGGGGGAGTCGTATTGGGCATGGTCTCGGATAGCCAGAGATTTCTCCAGGCATTCTTGACGGCGTCGCTTGTCCAGACGGAAGCCCAGTGGCGAGGACCCTCGAAGTAACTATTGAGGTCTACCAATGCCCTCGAGGCTTGGTGAACGTCGCTCGGAGAAAGGGTGACGGCACGGGCGGCTTTGACGAGTGCGGTCAGAGCTGGAATGAAAGCCTTCTCAATATCTTCGAATTTGGCATTCTTTGCCACTGGGTTGACTTCACTGTCTAGCTTGTTGTGAAAGACCCTTCACGGAAGTTAGCGCTGAAGTTATGGTTTGATAGTTTCGCTTACCCGTGCACTGGATGCAAGAAGTCCAATCCCCAAAGAGGGAGGACTTTCAAAGATTGTACATTCTCCTCGATTTGATGTTTTGGCTGAAAAAAATTAGCAGGGGAAGACTATTGCGGAAATGGGGTCACAGCTTACCAGACCAAAATCATTCGCAGACTCGACGAGCATGTGCCACTTGATCGATCTCAAATTGTTGATCACGTCGCGACGACATGCAGACACGCCGCCTCCCTCATTGGGCCATGTTCCCGTGTCCACGGCCATGACATGAAGGCTGTCATTGGTGTCGAGCTGAAGGTGCTGACTTCTCGTGAACATCAAGGCATCTCCTCCTTGCCCAAATCCATGTAAATCACCAAGCTTGATAGCCAGTGGAGTCCACGAACTAATATCATTAGAAAGCTCCGAACTGGCCATGATAGCATCTGTATGCATGATCAAGTACTTCTCTGCCTTCGCCAGGGCGCCACGGTCCCTGCGCTGCCAGTATGTCTTCAGCAAGGGCTCCTCTCGCATAATCCTCTCGTCTAGCCATCGGGTGAGAACACCATCGAAATACTTGTCATTCTTCCAGGCTCTCCAGAGTTGCGATCGCGCGCGAGAAGTGGATATAGGAGATCGCTTCTTGTTTGATCGCAGTAAGCGACTGAAGAAAGTAGTTTTCAGTGACGGAAACTCCAATAGCGGGTTGTCCATAGCAAAGTTGCAGTTGATTGGTTTCTTCAAGACTCCCAACCAGTCCTCCAGAATCATGTCCGGGGTATCTACTCGGACACCGTTGAGCTGCGTCGTAATTGTCGGGTGATGCTGATGGTCATAAAACCAAGTGCTCTCGTACACATCCTCTCCGCGGACGAATGTGGCTTCGGTCACACGGGAATGGGGAATCCATCTCTCCATCTTACCCGCGTGGCGAGCTGGCGGAGCACACCAGTTGATATTGCAAGTGACATGCGGGAACACGAATTCGGCCCTGAGGAGCTCGTCGTCGAACTTGGCATTCTTGCGATAGTGGTACTTGAAGCGCACCAGGCTCTGGGTGTCCTTGAACACGTAACTCCCTGATTCAATGAATCCTTTCTTATTGTAATGGACTGTTTGAAACTCGTCCGGCCCTGCAGTGCAAGTTCTGGACAGTGGGATTCGAGGATTTCGGTTCTTTCTCAGCATGCCTCCGGTTATCTTATTGGCGTATTCGTACACGTATGTGCTCACCTGACCATTCTTGCCATACTCCTCTCTGGATTTCAAAATCATCTCTTTGGAGAAGTGGCTGACACCTTGGAGATTGACGGCTCCTTCCGGTTCTTTCTCCAGGAGTTTAGAATACTTGCAGAGCTTGAAATCAGCCAGTATCGGGCGGACGTGGAAGAAGCATGTCGATGTCTCGTCAAGACTCCTGATGATCAAACGGTTTTTCTTGAGGGCGTACACCGTTCCCTTGGTTCCGTCCCACACTTTTTGTGCCTTTTCGCGGTTGTGAAACTGTGCATGATATCAGCTACGAATTGGAGAGAAGCGAATTTTGATAGCTTACAAGAAACCAGGGCAGGAGCCAATGCTGTGCGATTCTTGCAGTCATCCAAATTACTGATAGAAAAGAAGTCACGACGGTCGCAAATAATTGAGACTTCCTTCCGAGCGTGAACTTGAGCTCTCTGTGGAACTCCGGATCTGCTATCAGTGAAACGATGAAAAATTTAAGCCAGATCCCGACGCCATGATATATGCTGGCTATTGAGCGCGTTATGTAATTTTTGGATGGCGTCGGCTCGTTCTCGAAGTGATAGTCATCACTGCTCGGAGATTGCATGTCGATTCGCGCGAGGCCAGTCAACTTCTCGAGTGTTTCGTCATGCCTCAGAGTCTTGAAGAATTTAAGCTTGTTGACAGCCATCAACACCCCGAAGTCACACTGTGCGATGTGTGTCGGCAGGTCGATTTTGGCATCTTTCAGCAAGTTTCTCTGGAGCCATGCTGAATTCGTTGGTGTAAGCTCGTATCGCTCACCCAGGCATCTCCGGAATAGGACGCTCCTTATTTCTCCTGGGAGCTTGTCCCAGCCGAGCTCGCAATCAACACCAAAGCAAGAGTAATAGAGCAACTCTCTCTTTGCAGTCATGATTGCCTGAACACGCTTTCCGGAAGTTTCATCCTTGGCAACTTCTCGCCTCACGCCCTCAGAAACTTTGTACTTCTCATGCGCATTGGCGGTTCGGCAAGCGGGAAGAGACTCTGCAAGCACCCCACTCTCGTGGGGCAGACGCAACAGAAACTCGGCGCCTGCGTGCAGCATTACTTCGGCGATGAATTGATAATTATTGTTGGCAAACGGTCGTCCCTTGGAATTTCCCTCGTCTGGCAGATTGACCACTATGTGTAAGCCTCCATCACTATTGAAACAGGTAAGAGCTCTGAAGTTGGCCTCTCGAGGCAGGTACTTCTGCATCTGAATAAGATGCAGCTTGATAGTTCCGTCGTTCCATTTCTTGCTAATCTCACCCACAAGGCGGTACGATTCGGGAAACGCATGCGCGGCTGGTGGCGACAGATATTGCTCGCTGCAGGACATCAAGATGGCCCTGACCTCGATGCCGAGCAAACTATTCGCTTCGGTGCTGGCGGATGATACCAAGTTGGTCCCTGCAATGTTCGCGTATATGTTCCCCAGTTCATTCTGGCTCCAGTGTTTGTCCTCTCCCAATCCAAGATAGGCGTGATACATCCCGCCAGCGCCGGGATCGACCGGAACCCGGAGTTTCGGCATGCCGATTTTCGCGGTTCTCAAAGAGAGAAGTGCAGCAATCCAAGTGGCCACTCCTAAAGGTATCACTGTATTGTACTGAAACCTTGGGTAGAGTCCTCTCAAGACCAGACCAAGAGGTAGGGCAACCATGATTGCAATCAACAGAGCAACCTTTGTTCTTGGACCCGAGAAGACTTTATTGTACTTTGAGAGGTTAGCATGCTAGTACCTGCAGGGAGCTGAGGGACAGGTCTTACCTGATAGAGCAAGAGGCCAGAATAGGCTGCGACGTATGCGAGATACGTGATTAAACCATCTTTCGAGCCGTCCAAAATGTACAAAATGGTGGTGCAGAATGCCAGTGACCAAGCATGGACAGACAGGAACTTTACAAGCGTTGTGATATACAGCTTCTGGCGGCTTCTTGCGTTCTTGAGGACAGCCTCTCGAACGTACCCAGCGGAGCTTATTGGCTCAGGGTTCTGCTCATCGATTAGTCCATTCAGTGAGTAGGCCTTATAGTCCAGGATAACAGATCCCATGAGATAGTATGCCAATCCCAAGCCGACGCTCTTTCGCATGGAGTCTCCCACGGCTGCTGAAAGACCCAAAAGGTTACCACCTGACAGAAGCTCTATCCACTTGTCCAAGAGAGCGATAAGAAAGTAGAGGACACCACAAACGACCTATGGCGATTAGTCACGAGGCACATGGGAGTAGCAAGATCTACCAACCTCGTCTCCAGCTTGACGCCATAGCACAAAGCCATTGTGCAACCGTATTCCTCGCTGGGCTTCGATCAAACTGGCCAGACCCACCTTGACTTGCACATTCCAAGTCGAACTAAATGGGATTGGTTGCTTCGATCCTTGGAGGCGACAGTACCATTGCTGCATATAGCATCAGTCTTGAGAAAAGAAAAAGGGTAGTTGCGTAACGGAGAAGCCACTGACCAGTAGAAATATTGTAGCATCCCATCCTTCAGCCAACTTCAGGACTAATTTGTCTGTTGTAGCGGGCATCCAAGGCTTTCGCTTCCGCTCTTTCTCGACATCTTTCAGAAGCGAGTCGCGTGCCAGGACCAACGCAGCCGGATCAGTCATGCCGCTAAACGTTTTCGGGTTTCCATTTCCCTTCTCTTTGATGAACCACTCCTTCAGCTTCTTGTCATCTATAGCAGTGACCTTGTGGTACCATGTCACCCACTTAGAACCAACACTACGGACCCCAAATACCAGTGCCCCAATGAATATATACAAAGCTAGGAGGTAAATGATAGCATCGTGATTGAGAACGAAGATCGTCAATATAGGAGCGACTCCAAGAATAGGAAGGGCCTTGAATATTGTCGTACGGCCATTTTGAAATGGAGATCCATGATATTGGTAACATGATAGCACGGCCAGTAAGGATAAATATGTGGTCAAGGCGACGAAGTACAAGAGGAACACAATGCCATCTTGAAGTCGCGCATTAACGGCCGATATGATAATGAACCCCAGGATACCGATGACAAATGTGATGACAAGACCTCCAATAAAGCGTGTAGTCACATACAAATTGGCCGCTGGGAACGCCACGGAGTTGAGGTAGTAGCTTCCGCCGATAGCGATCCAAGTTCCGATGGCGCTGGATAAGGGGAGTGATATCATCAATGCCGTAGTTGCGGATTGGGACTGATAGTGAGACATGAAAGAGCTCAGATATAGGCCATGGCCCGTTGTTGTCAACAGCATGATATCAATGAAGGCTGGAGAATTGTCAGTACAAGTTTCACGGACACGGATTCAGGGATGACATACCAGGGACCGCAAACACACTCAAGAAGGTGAGGCGTTGGTATGCTGGCATCTGGTAGGCCTTGGCTGTATCGTCAATATCAATCTGCGCAACAGCATACGAAGAAGAAAATCCGTCTGCATAGCCGATTTGAAGAGGAGGCTGATTGTGCGGCTTGCCGTAGTGGGCTCGATGTCGGTCTGAAAGGAGTTTTCCAAAAGCACTTGGAGTGAGATCAAAATAGTCTTCACAACGCGATCCCAGCGCGAATAGCTCGGAGAAGGCTCCAGCTTGGTCAGAATATTCGTTGAACAGCGGGTTTCGGTCCGAAACCTCGAGGTAGATCTCGTTGTAAGCTGCCTTTCTAGCAGCACAGAAAATTGCAAGCGCAACAACATCTGTGTAGGCATCAAAGCCGTCTGGAGTAATGGCAGATTCGAGGACGTCGGTGATTCTTTCCAGGTCATCGTTCCTTCCTGAGCAGAGGATATCAACAAAATTCGCTTCCACATCTCTAAACACTCGGAGGGCGACTTCAAAGTCGAAATGCTGATAGCCGTGCTTCTCGTACCAAAATCCTCGAGACTCGATGATCATCTGTTCCGGAATCCTGCCGCTTAGATATCCAGCAGTGTCCAATTCCCGGAGTTGTCCAAAAGATGGTCCATCCAGGATCTGCTCTTCAAGCAAAGAGCGGATTCGAGTCACCAAAGTATCCCCGATTTGTGGATCACTGGACTTCATGTGTTGAAAGAAGAATATTATATCGGAAGGGGTCAAAAGTTGGGTGTCTTTCACAATCCGGGTTGGTAGATTATCTCGCGTTTGACCGGCCGCGACATTGTCTGCTGAGATCTCGGCAGCGAAACAAGCATGCCGCGAACACCCCCGGCTGGACAAGTATGCATGGAGAATCGTGTTTTGATAATCAGCACAATATCGTGAGATGTAAAGGTTGAGCGAGCCTGTGTCCAAATCAACTTCATACACCGCCCAGAACTGAACACCATTGGGTCTCCGAAAGCCAGAGTCCAGGCCTATATAGATCTCGATAGGATCCATAATCTCCTCCGAGTCCGAAGCCGCCCAGAGGTGCCCAGCGAGGTCGTTAATGGAGTGCAGGACATTGTTATCGATGTGTTGCGAATTATGTTGAAACCCCTCATGGTATAGTTTTCGGAAGAATCCGCCCATCGTCCGCAGGTTGGAGGGTGGCATCTGGTCCAGCTTCCCCATGCGCTTGAGATGCCGCTGCGTCTGGACAATCTGGTTGAAATCCTCCTGCGTTGCATCGAGCCCGATCGGAAAACATCCCAGCAGATTGTAGGACTCTCCGGATGGCGAGAATGAAAGCGGGCTGCCTCTGACCTTGGGCATTTTGCGAAACCATTGACTTCCTCCCACGTCGTCCGCCGGATTGATATTTTGCGTCGAAGGCGTCGCAAGTTCCCATGCTGAATCCTCGTCATTTGTTTGATCATTTCCGCGTTGGCCCAACAAATGTCGATCCGGGGTCAAGTATGTCAAGCTAGGAACAATCCTTTCAAGCTTGGCAAGCGAAGCTTCTACCGACGGATAGGGAACGAGCTACAAAGCATTTAGTTCCTCGGCCTGGGGAATGACAGACATCATAACATACCTTGTGGGTGGATCTCCAGTGATTATGAATCTTCATCACACGCTGATCTTTGAGCCACTGGAATGCAGCAAGCGGCTCCGGGATTCCCTCACTGCTCGCATCAAGCAGGCCGGCCTTCGAGTTGATGAACACCATTGCGCTATAGTACCTGCACCAAATATAGCATCGCTTGATTACGGAGTGCGACAGAGAAGACGGATCATCCACTGTCTCCCAGACCATGACTCTGAAGTCCCGGAGACAGGTTTGGGTGACGAACGCCTTCACGGTTGACTTCATCACGGCCATCTGAAAAAAGTCACGCACATGGCCCGAGCTGAGAATTGTCCCGTTTCTGACGACCACACCGGAAAAATTGCTCATGTCCGGAGTGTCTCTATTGTTCAAGAAATCCGGAGGGGCGATCTCGAGGTATACATCCAGGCCATGGCTGCGTATATACCAAACCAAAGTGTCAAAAACCGGCATCGGGAGCCACTCCTCCCACCCAGCAAGTAGCACCCCGGTGAAAGCTGATGGCTGGGGACTCGAGTGCTTGAACTTCTTGTCTATCAAATCCCGCAGTTTCTCCACGGCCACGATGATATCCTGATCATCTTGCTGCTCTTTGGGCACATGCAGCTCTCGCAGATGAATCCGCCCAAGGCGGCTGTGTTGGGCGGAAGGGCGTACGGCGGTGACTGCCTCCAACACCCCACTTTGTGTAGGATCCACGACCAAAATGTCCCATCTTGACAGGACTTCAATTTGCGCCCTGGTCGGCGGACTTGCGAACGCGCCCAGATATACGCCAAAACTTGAGGCCGGAAGCCGCGGCTTTTCACTAATAATCTCCTTGGACGAATCGTTGTCGTGAAATTGCAAGAGGGATTTCACGCGCGAGGGTACGGATTTCGGTCTTCGGTCTCTCTGTAACCGTCGCGTTAGATGGAATTGAAATGGCCGAAGAGGAAGAGAGGGAGGGGGACAGGAAGTGAATAGAAGTACAATACCTTTGACCAAGTCCGAGAAAAGCCAACCAGAATCAGTGAAAAAGATATCGAGCCCGCGAGAGCCGAAGCGGCTGCAATCCCAATGAAGGCCCATTGCCACCAGTGTTCGATAGGCTGATCGATGCCGAGTTTTCCCAAAGGCAACAGGGCTGGCTCCATTGTAAGGGCTGGCATTATTGTAACGATCAATGCATGAAAAGAACAAGATCCGGAAGCACACTCAATAATGTTTATCTATCCTCTTGGTGTACAGTGAACCATCAATCAGGGAGGAGATGCGTGACGGAAAGACTGCTGCAGCGGCTCGTGGTGATCCATCATCAATTTGCCGCCGAGAATTGTAGGTATTGCAAGGAGAAAGGAGAAAGAGAAGGAGAGCTATCCGCTGGTACAGTACTAAACAGCTGCAAAGAGTCAAAGACGTGCTGGAAAGTCTATTACTCGTTAGAAATTAGGGGCACAGGGACCGCACCGACCGACTGACCGTCCGTCCGTCCTCAAGCTTCCGTAGCCAATTTTTTCACTTTCCACTTTTTTCACAGCCATGTTGTATGTAGTAGTATGTCATGGGTCAAGGCGGTCCGGTCTGCCAGCTGGACCTTAACCTGACCCTGATCCTGGGCCCGCCGACCTAGTACGTAGCCCGACCCTGGCCAGCCCTGACCCTGGCCAGCCCTGACCCTAACCTTGACTATTCCTGGAGGTCCATGTGCGTGCGTCAAACGGTTCCAACCAGGTCCGTACTCTATCCAGGGATTCCAGGTAGGTATTCGCGGTATTCCCTCCCGAAAAGGGGACGTGAAGTCTTGGAGGCCCACTGGATAAATCCACTCTCGGACGCCATGATGGGCCATGGGCCATGATAGGCAGTGTGTGGGTGGGGGCGGCGGCTCTCGATATGCAGCATCATCCAATAGGAAGTGATCGAGGATCGCTTCTCCTGTCCTTCTCATCGTATCCCAAAACACCTATCTCCATCCGTTAACGACTCCGTGAGGCTGGGCTGAGCAGGCAAGTGAAGCGAGAAGGAAGCCTAAGCCCACGCACGACATTGGCTCTACACACAGACTCTCCCGAGCGAGAGCTCCCGACAATGAAACAAGGAAAAAGAGAAAGGAATGGAAAAGGAAAATAAATGAAAGAGGAATAGAAGTGGACTTGGAAAAGAGAGAAAGAATAAAAAGCAAGAAGGCTGAGGGTAATGGTTGGGCGAGGGAGGATAATGCGTGCAGAGTCTCTCTGGTCAGGAGTTGTGAAGAATGGAAAGGCGAAAAGTCGTGCAGCCAACAAGCTGAGTGGGCTCGGCTCGGTTCGGACGAGACACTAAATCAGGTGCTCGCTTACGGAGTAGGTACAACTATAGTATTTGTTGGTAGCGTCACGCGTGTGCCCAGAGCAAAAGCGACTCAAGCGAGCGAGTGAGCGAGCCCGTGCCCCCTATTGACACACTTTTTCTCCGTAGATACAGAGTAACGAAAAAAAGTAAGAGCGGATATATGCATGTCATGTCAATACCCAGCCAAGCAATATTCGAGCGCTGCATTATTTATTCACGACCCAGCTATCATCAATCTATTGATCTTTAGCGGCGTCCGTACTTGAATCAGGCGGATTTTCACATTAACGAATATTTTCCTATTCGGTAAGTATCGGCAGCTCTATCCTCTTTGATTGATCGACTCGGAATCCATCTAGTGTTGACTTACGGAAAGGCTTAGAGGTCATTGCCGTAGACAGCACAGATGCATTCAGCTGTGAAGTGGCGAGTCGCTCCCCCGAAGGTCAAGACTTAAAAGGGGGTGGAGCAGAGCCGAGCCGAGGCGAGGTGAGGCGAGCACAAGCTGTGGCTATGAAATACCGGTATACTAAGCACTACTTGACCACTTGACCCTTTGACCAGACTGCCTAGGAGAGATCCGTGTCATGTAACGGGAAGAATTCAATATTCCTCGTGTCGTGTCGTGTCATATCGTGTCGTTCATGTCATTCATGTGGTGCCGCCGAGCCTGCTGCCGCCACAGGGGTACTTCCGCTTTGCTTACTCTAGCTTGGCTTCTCAAACACTATGTCTCCACCCGACCATCGTAAATCGAAACCGTAATTCGTGGGCACCAATCAACGTGAGAGACAGAGAGAGAGAGAGAGAGAGAGAGAGAGACTTGCCTGCCTGCCTGCCGTGTTCCAACCCGCTCGGCTGTTAGTTGACTAAGCCGACCGTGTGTATCTATCCATCCTATTCTCTCGTCTCGTGGTTGTCGCCTGATTACAAGTATGTTCGGACAGCCCCAACTTCTCTTGCTCTTTAAGCCTTTCGCTCTGGACACATTCTCTTCGAGACTCTTCGAGACTCTTCGGAAGCTCATCAACAGTCATTCGTTATGCTGTTCCTCATTCTTTCCGTTGCTGCGCTGCTTTTCTCTAATACTGTTTTTGCACTCACAGTTCAGAGCACAGTTCTCGTTCTTGCAACAAATATCACAGCTTCCTACTCAGCCACCTCTGGCTTAGACGCCTATGGAATCCCATTTACACTCGTTACGGTGCCTTCCAACGGCACCACCCTCCCAGAACTTGCCACAGCCGGTAAGGGAAATTTTGGAGGAATTATTGTCTTAAGCGAAGTTTCATACGAATACGCCGCTGGTTATGCCAGCGCTCTCACCCAGGCTCAATGGACGTCGCTCTTCGACTACCAGACTTCGTTCGGTGTCCGCATGGTCCGCGTGGACGTATACCCAGGGGAGCAGTTTGGTAAGAAATCCTGATTGCCCTCATATGGAATTTGCTGACTAGCGAAAGGTGTCTTGCCTTACAACACGAATCAACCCGGATGCTGTGCTACTGGAATGGAGCAATTGGTTTACATCACCAACTCAAGTTCATTCTCCCAGGCTGGTATGATTGCGTACGTACTCGTCTTGCCCCACCGGTATCTGTCACGGCATGCTCACACCCAGCTCTAGGGGAGCCACAGTGACCACTCAGGGGCTTTACCACTACCCAGCGAGCATCACCAACTCCTCGCTTGCGACCGAGATTGCCGGGTTCGGCAAGAACTCGCTCTTTGAGTCGGAGACGACCGCTGCAGTTATTAACAACATCGGCGGGAGGGAGCAGATGGTTTGGTTCATCAGCTGGGCTGCTGACTGGTCTGCAACTTCCGTCTACCTCCAGCATGCATACATTACATGGATGACCAGGGGACTTTGTAGGTGTCACCCTCTGCAACGATATCTTTCAAGCCGGGCTAACAGCTTCTGTAGACGTCGGCTTCCGCAGGGTTTACTTCAGCACCCAAGGTAAGGGCAGACTTCCACTCATGCGCCGCACCATGCTACGTGAGATCGATCACTGCCATGCGTGAAGAAAAAAGCGTAGAGTTCACGAGCATGACTCGAACGAGAAGGAGTCTTTTTATCTCTTCGGCACACATGCTTCGCCACTTTGAATATAACCAACTGCGCTTCTTTTGTGGAATCCGTTGCAACAGATCTCCGAATCTGTGAGAAGTGGCACGACTGACATTTCAAATAGTTGACGATATGTTGCTTGAAACTACCCTATACTCTGTAATATCTCCCCTCCTACCTCTCAAGTGATCGGAAATTTGAATCTGACATCTTCTCTCATTAGCCTGAAGACACCGACTTTCGCATTACCCCCGCCGATCTTCAGGACCACATCGCCTGGACGGCAGATATTAACAGCCGACTCCCTGCTGGCAGCGTTTACTTCTTGGAAGTGGGCCACAACGGTAATGGCAACATCGAGGTACGTTCAGCCAAGTTCACGATTCAAATTTTCGCCTAACAGGTCCAGGCTTCCCTCACTAATGACACATCGGGAATATGCAATCCTGCCACTGCGATTGAGTACGATGAGCAAATCGACACTCCGCTGGAATTCCAAAAGGTTTTGGGAACGGGTGAAGATATCTGGCCAGCAACCCCAACTTCTTTCGCCTGGTCTTTAGAGTGTGCCAAGCTCGATGACCTAACCCTTTGGTGGATGGAACCAAGTAATCGTGATGCCTATGCGCATGTCTCCCACACTTTCACCCACGCGGGCCTCAACAATGCCACTTATGCCGACGTTTCGAAAGAAGTAAGTATTTCATTCCCAAAACGAAGAGACTTTTCGACTTTTGTCACTAACCAGTGTAGATCTCGTTCAACCAGGCATGGCTTGAACTAACCGGCATTAGCACCGACGCCCTGCGCTATTCGCCCAGCGGTCTCATTCCACCGTTAGTACCCCCCACCCTTGTCTTACGGAGCTCGTATCTGATCAGGCAAAACAGTGCTATTACTGGCTTGCACAATGGAGATGCCCTTCGCGCTTTCAGCGACAACGGCATTTCCCACGTGGTTGGTGACAATACTCGACCCAGTTTGATGAACACCGGCCATGAGCACTGGCCTCTGATCTCCACCGTGGAGCATAACGGCTTTGCCGGTTTCCAAATCACGCCTCGCTGGGCCACCACCATCTACTACAACTGCGACTTACCGGCCTGCACCGTTCTCGAATGGGTGGAAACTTCTGGGGGGGTTGGCGACATGGACGCCCTCCTCGCCCAGGCAGTGGCCGTCAATTCCCAGCACCTCCTCAGTCTCCATCACGATCCGTACGTAGCTATCCCCAGCCAGCCAGCCTCTTTCCCCCCCTCTCTCATCAATGCCGATCCCCCGTGACTGACCGTGCAAACCAACACAGCTACATGTTCCACCAGGCCAACCTGCGCAGCGCCGACGTCAATGAGACGACCATCAACGGCGTCACGGCCCGCTGGTCCCTGATCCAGATGTGGGTCGAGGTTGTCACGCACGAGATGACCCGCCTGGTCGAATGGCCGCTCGTCACCCTCACGCACGACGAGATCGCCACCTCCTTCGCCAACCGCATGGCGCGCGACCTCTGCGCCCCCCAGCTCGCCTGGATCTACAGCAGCGGCTCCCTCAACGCCACCCGGTCCATCACGGGCGTGACCGTCACAACCACCAACGAATGCGACGTGGAGATCCCCGTCACGTTCCCCGGCCCCGTGCTCTCGACGAACGGAGGCCGCGCCGAGCAGCTGGGCTCAGACCCGCTGACCGTCTGGCTGAACCTCACGGGCGAGCCCGTTTCGTTCACGTTGGCAACGCCCATCCTTATCTAATGAATGAAAAGCAAGATTCAGTCACGGCGTCGTACGTCTATGTTATTTTACGTTACATCTTCTCATCAGCGTTCAGACCTATTTATCTATACCTTAAAGGCAGGTAGGGGGTTATTTAAACCGTCAGCTGACAATCCGATAACGGTCTCTTTAAAAGACGATTCCAAGAGGTTGGCATAGCTAGTGGATCACCCTTAGCCGATACACAAAATTGAATAGAATCTGAAAACAAACGATTTAAATTATTTAAATCGTAGCTAAAATAAAACTATTTCAATCGATCAAATCGTTTTTTTTACTTTAAAGGGGAATGCAGGAGCATTTAGACGGTCAGCTGATCGTTCGATAACCATCTCTTTTAAGGACGATTTTAAAAAGTTGGCATGGCTGGTGGATCACCCTAGGCTTATACTTAAGATTAAATAGAATTTGAAAACAAAACGATTTAAATTACTTAAATGGTAGCTAAAATAAAACTATTTTATTCGATTAAATCGATCGATTTAGCAAAAGCTTACCCGCGTGCAATGGCTGCCTAGGTAGCCTTCGTAAGGAGGGGGTGTAGTACCGGTAGGTGGTTAAGGTAGTAGAGGGTAGACCAGCAAGCAATAAAAAGAGTATTTGCTTACTAATTGACGTTCTCAGGGACGGTTTTAAGCTCAGGGACGGCTATGGGACGGCCATGGGACGGCTATAGGACGGTCTTAAAACGCTCGAAAACGGTCCTAAGACGGTTTTTATACGAAAAGACGAGTATTTAAAAAAACGATTTAATCGAATAAAATAGTTTTATTTTAGCTACGATTTAAATAATTTAAATCGTTTGTTTTCAAATTCTATTCAATCTTAAGTATAGGCCTAGGGTGATCCACCAGCCATACCAACTTATTAAAAGCGTCCTTAAAAGAGATGGTTATCGGACGATCAGCTAACCGTCTAAATGCTCCTGCATTCCTTTCTAAGGTAGATTTGCGTTTCTGCGATTGAAATCGGCTTTTTTTTATCGACTTTTTTTAATCGACTTTTGTTAATCACTTTTTTTAAAACCTCTTATTATAAACTATTTTCTATTGAAAAATAGCTAACTAATAAAAAAAAAATGCTCGAAAACCAACTTGCTGTATCGCTTTAAGAAGGGCTGTTGCTACAAATTAAATGCTTGAAAGATACTTAAGTAGTTGCATCGAGCTAAAAAGGGTTGTAACTGGCTGCACCGAGCTGAAAAGAGCTATTGCTATAAGTTAAATGTTCGAAAATTAGCTGGTTGCATCGCGCGGAAAAAAGCTATTCTATAAGAAAAAGACCATATAAATATTCAAGAGATAGCTAGCTGCATCGCGCTAAAAGAAGCTATTATTATAGATTATATAGCTACGAATATACACCGCGAAGTCCGGAAAACTTAGCTTGCGGCCGGGCTGAAGCGTCATATTTTCTTTACATCCTTTTAAAGAGTATTCCTTATAGAAAATCGATGCGGAAGGCAGCCTCGCACCACGACCGGGCGAAGCAAGGTCTCCTCTGGCTGCCCTCCGCAAGCTCCGGGGCCAGAGGCAAGACCTTGTAGTTCTCGCCCCGAGAACTTCAGACCCTTATTCAGACTTTTGATTCATCTCTCCAGCTTTCTTAGCTATTCCACCTTTCTTTTCGTCTCCGTTCGTATGTCTTACAACTGAACCTTCCGAAACTAACTCGCCGATACTTCTATCAACTAATCTCCAGCTTCGTTCAAGCTGTACACTAGCAAGGTAAACCTCGAGCGTATGCAACGCATATGGAGCCTTTAAACAGCTATCCGTAGTAATGAATAAGGCTTAGCCTAGCCAAATCTCCGAAACCTCCATTCGAATCTTTCGTAATCGATCGATATCGGTGTCCGTAGCAACTAAATTCCAACCCCGTTCAAGCTATACACTAGCAAGGTAAACCTTTAGCGTATGCAACAACGCATGTGGAGCCTCTAAGCAGCTGTCCGTAATCCTAAACAAGACCCGACTACTCGTATCGTTCTTTTTGATTGTATGTGTTATGTTGTATCATGAAAACGTCGAGAATCATCGAATAGACCGTGTAAACCTTCGAATTTAAATGAACCGATAACGTCGATTCGTTTGCAAAGTCTTGAATTGGTGTAAGAAAGAGGTCGAAGTAGAAGTAGAGATCGACCGATGAGAAAGAAGAGATGTCGATAAAAAGGAAGGTAATAGACTAGTCGATTCCGTGGTCCCGAGCAGGCTGCGAACAAGCTAGGTCTGGGTTCGATCAATATTTCATCGCCTTGATTGCGAATCGAAGAGGAATTGCAGTCGAGCTCCTTTGCGTATGGTCACCAGATAATATAAGGAAATAGGATGATGGAGCAAAGTGGTTGTTCTTCTTGGAAGCTCAGAGCAAGCGTGAGGCTGCTATATACCTCTCTTGGTGGTCTGTGCCACCTATAGTAGCTTGGTGGCCTAAGGCCACGACATCTACTTATTTCTTTTCTATCCTTGGTGGAACATCTAGCGCTAGGTATTGATCGAGGCGCTAGAAAAATAAACGGAGATCTGTATAAATGTGGAGGGGTGTTGCATGGTGGGTATTTAGTGAAGGAAGATGAGCGTCTGGACGTCCTGGTTTCCGTATTCGCTTACTGACGTCGCGGTCTTCAATGTCTATCTATCGCACTATGCACGCACGTTTCGTCTTGAGAATATGAGGATGCACTAATAGCAAGTGCTGAGGACCACCGATGACACAACAAGCAATAATAATCTGGTCTCCACCGGACCAATATCTTCCGCAACAGCTTCACGAGGATGAGAAGGCCCGAGGGGGAAACTAGCGATATGATACAGTCTCTTCCTTCTTGCTTGCAAGACCGTTTCCTTTCAACGATCATTAATTGGCTTGAAATTATCTGTACATGTCGAGCCATAGGGCAAACGGGTTCTCTAGGCTATTATACAGACTATGGGGCCCTATTAAGACCCAGAGGGCTGTATGTCTGGCTTTAGTCTTTATTGTCTATTTTGTGGTTTTGTTTATCATGAGCTCTTCAGCTTAGTATAGGACGATTTCAAGGCCGAAGTGGACGCTGATGATAACTTACTCCAAGGCATGAGATTGATGATCTTGAGAGAAGTCGGTTTTAGACGGTGTTAATAGCTAATATTTACCGCCATATTTAAGATTATGTAGTTGTACCATAATCCAGTGTTTACACTCTACTCGCCAAATGATCAGCAGCCGAGCCCCTGAGAACGACGATCCGTGCTTGCTTGTGGGGCGAAAGCTTCCGAAATGCGGATTTCAAATTGCCAGCCAGACCCGGGCAGCCTCGCAACCACAACTCACCACGACATCTCGCCCTTTCACCCTTTGCCGATGTCCGCGATAAGACGACACAACCCTAGATCTGCGAGCCCTACGCAAAACAATGGATCAAGCAGACATCCCCGCCCTGCTCGCGCGCCTCTCCAGTGACGAAGATGCCATGCGCAAGATGGCCGTCTTCAAGCTGCAATCCTCCATCAATGATCCCTCCTTTGCAGACGTATTCATCTCTTCCGGCGGCCTGAACATACTCCGCGGCCTTATCATGTCCACCGGCGGAAACACCCTCGCATACTCTCTACAGTCGCTCAGCCGGCTCCTCGAGGTAGACATGGGCTGGGACATCTTCGAATCCACCGGGGCCGGGGAATTGGTCGAACGGGTGGTTGAGCTGATCGTTACGCATCCCCTGGTCAACATCTTGCGCGGGGCAATGTCAATACTGGTCGCGGTTGTGTCGTATCCGCAATCTGCGAGGGGCGCCATCAAGGTACCAGGGGCGTTTGGATTCCGAGCGTTGAAGCCGGCGGTGGCGGTCTATCCCCAGTTCTTTGAGATGGTGGTCTCGCAGCTCAATTCGGCGGATCATGCACTGTGTGCGAATGCGTTGATGCTGCTCAATGCGCTGATGAGGGACGCGATAACGAGCGATGGGAACGGAGGCAAGAGCAGCGGCACGGGTGAAGACTGGCCGAAGTTTATCAAAAGGATACAGGACTTGGGAGTGATCAGGGCGGTTTATGTTCTCATGCAGAGTTCCGCCCTGCAGGACCTAGCACACCCGCTTTTGGAATTCCAGGCTCTGACGAAGATTCTGTTGAGGAAATGGAGGGACGTCAAGGTCGATTTGGAGAGACCGGAACATCGGAGAGCTTTGAAAGGGGTACATCTAGCCAGTGCACCAGAGCCCAACCACCCGCTCGAAAATGGAGGTACAACGAAGACCGAGGAGTTGACAGCGGAGTCGTCGAAGAAAGGCAGCAGGCGGCATAATCCAGAGAAATGGAGACGCCTAGGATTCCAGACGGAAAGCCCGGGCTGGGAGTTCGACACGACTGGTTTTTTGGGGATGATGGATCTGACAGACTATGTACGGCAGCAGGAAGATGGGTTCCAGAAAATCCTCCTTGAACAGTCCTCACGCCCGATGAACGCAAGGTGTCCCATTGCCCGGTCGAGTCTGGCAATCACGACCATTCTGTACGAGCACTTCGAGGTGGATAAATCTGACGTGGAGGATGCGAAAAGTTACCTGGTTTTGGATGGAATGAAGAATTACGACAAGATCTTCCGACCTCTGCTATTACAATGGTCACGGCTGCATACAGTGTGCCTGCAGGCATTTTTCCGGCTGTGGAAGGCAACAGGTGCCGAGCAAGAAGATTTTGACAAGGTCGCTGAGTTGGTTAGGATATTGATCGAGCAAGTGATTGGACAGGCTCCAAGGACGAGGGATGTTCAGGAAGTAGAGGAAGAGCTTGGAGAATTCGAGTACTCGCGATTGCGGGAATTGCAAATGGAGTTGCTAGAGGTGACATTCGAGGACGAATGGGGCCAGCATCTACACCAAGTTCGGGACGAATTGAAACACGAGGCTCTGCAGTTTGTCAAGGAGCAGCGGATACGCTGTCTGCTCCAAGGGGCGTGGTTTCCCAAGACTCAGTCGAACAAGAATGATACACATCGAAATGGCACCCAAGGAACTCCAGCTACGAATTGGCGATTTGTCAGGCTTTCTCACAATCGTCGATATCTACATTACGCAGACTTCAGGTTACAGTCAACGAAAGAACCTTCCCTGGACGAACTGAACGAAAAGATCGACCTTGGTACTATCAGCTCTGTTGTTTCGAATGTCTCGGCGGCGACTGATAGTAGCTCGTGTTACTCAAGTACATCTACGCTCAAGTCGCTTCATACACCGAAGCAGAGCTCGACCAAGATCACCATCAACAGCTTTGCCAACACGTCCGACAACAAATCTCAATCCTCCCACCAGGATCCAACCGAGCGTGCGATCCTGACATTAATGCCACAGACACACAGCCTGGCATCTGAATGGCTCGATGGCCTCCTCATGCTGCTGAACCAAGCTCCGATCACGGCAGAAACGAATAAACTTGTCAGCCTCGTCAGCGAATACGGTCTGAAGATCCGGCTTCTGAATGTACGACTTAATGATGGGTATGCTGGACCCCCCGAAGGCGCTGGCGTCGTCCCTAGCAGGGCGGGTCTGGATGAGGACTACTACTACGAAATATAGATCTGTATTTCTTATGATGATGGGAGGGCGCAGCATATATTATACCCCTTGTTTTGTTTCTGGGTTGGTTACTGTCTGTGCATTGTACTTGTAGTGAAGCATTGTGTGTAAAATAGCATAGTGAGCGCTTGTTGATTAGTACTTCAACTGGGTGGATGTTTTTTTTTTTCTTCATTGCCGAAAGGCGATATGTTTCTCTCTCGAGGTAGGTGCGCGATTTCTCTCGCTTATTTGTTTTATTCTGTGGTGACAAATTACGACATGAGCTGCACCTAAGCAAGACTACATCTCCCAATCCGCTCCAAGGCCGAGCTCTCAAGCCCGAACTCTCGAGCTCATATCTGTAGGGCGATTATATAAAGCTTTGCGCTACGTTCCGCTCTTCAGGGCATGCGCACGATCCAACATGATACACACCGTCACCAGGCTTGTATGGTAGGTATGTAACTTGCAATATACTCCCCAACGCCCCGCGGCCTCAAAAGCCACTACCCGTTTTGGGTCCAGTCTTATCTCTCAAACTACCCTTTTACACTAATTTGATTTATCTCGGAATGTGCCCTGCTATACTCGGCACGGCCTCACTCCATCTTCCGCCGAGCCCCGGGTTCAATCGATGTTCACACGCTCTGCCTTCCTGTCACGATACTTGGTGCGGCCTCACGCTTGATAGGGGAGGGGAGGGGAGGTTGAAGCGGGAGTGAGAAGATTGATGGTGAGTGAGTGAGTGAGTGGGTGGGTGGGTGAGGGGAAGGTTGGTATGGGCGAGTGGTTTAGAGAGGGGGAGGATGGATGGCACTTTACGTCAAAGTAGTGAACGAACGAACGAAATAATGCTAAAGGCCTCGTTTTCATCTTACGATCTGCGCGGCGGAGCTGGGGATAGATATACTGGATGGACTCTGGAGTTGCGTGTTGGGAGGCGGAGGCGGAGGCGGCTTGAGAAAGCTGCTGGGTTAGGCTGGGCTGGGCTTTACATATTTTTTTATTTTTTTATTTTTTTTATTCCCATCTGGGTATTTCAAATACAGTGCTTTCAAGTTCAACGGGAGGTCACTGTTGACCTTGAGATTTTGGGGATGACGAAGCGAACCGATTGGTTTGTGTGCTTGCTATTCATTCTCCGCTTGGCGGGTCGTTTCAGAGAAATGTCCTGGTTCTACATTACGGCGTATATGTGTAGGGCCCAAAAGTTTCGACTCCCAGAGTACGGATCGGCCAAGTTCTTATGGGGTCCTTGAATCTCCGCGGGGCAGAATCGAGTGCCCAATATTTATTTATACTAGCAGTCCGTACTACTTGTAGTAGGAAGAACGAGATAACGAAGTCAACTCGCGGCTTGTTTGAAAAGGTTTTTGTATAACTACCGTAGTTGTAGTTGTAGGTGTTATCGATTAAGAAGAGGCCAAGATACAAATTTGTACGGAGTAAAGTGAAGGGGTTTCATGGAGATCTCGCCTAATGTGATTCAAAGCGCAGCTCTAACCCCACCACCCAAATACCGGTATACGGGAGTCGTAAAAGCCAGATCGATTCAGCCCCCATAAATCGAACAGGTCTGACCCAGTTTAGCCCCATATATCGTAGACCGGTGGTTTCTGAAATGGCTCAAAGCTTTTGATTGCACAGACTAATCACTTTGCTTAAAGATACTTTTCAAGGCCGAATCGTTATGGGGCTACTGGTTTAAGCCTTTACTTCAAAACTGGAATTGTGAAGAGCGCTGTGCAAAGAATCTGGAGCACAAATCTGTATCAAAAGAGAGAAAGCGGAGCTGCGATTGGCAACAGAAGTTGATCAGAGTTCGATTTTTCTCAAATTTTGTATGCTCAAACTTTGTATACAAGAAAACAGCTGATACCTTTGAAACTGTTTTCCACAGTACTCAGTTTTTCCAGAAGCCTGAACCACGGACAGACTTTTTGGAGTCATCTTGGCGGTAATTTCTCCAGTTTTTTAAGAGATCTCAGCTCTCTTGTTGGTTGCTTTCCCTTGTCAAACTGACCCTCTCTTTCCGTGGTTCAGGCTTCTGGAAAAGCTGAGTATTAAGAAGGCCGGAAACTAATGTCGAGTTCTGCTTTCACATTGCACTTTCTTTTTAAAAAAAGAAAAGTCAAAATCAAGTACGTATTAATCAATCTTCCTAGTACTTTAGTTCTACTTAACTCATGGTATAACGAATTAGAATTGTGAAAAATGCGCAAAATCGATCACAGCTATGGGTGTAATTTATCGTGCAATCAGATCTAATTCGCGCCATCTAGTCAAGCTTCTACGGATACGTACTACGTACTTCGTATGGTAGCTGAATTAATCGCCTGGACCATACTTTAATTACTACTAGGTTTCAAGGTGTAGCTCCGAAGATAGAAACGGTGATGCATGGCGGGCGCACCGCCCAGTTTCAACGTAGGCCAGTTTAGTGGTACTACAACTACTCTATTATTCATCTAGGCTCTGGACCCCGGGGGCATGTTGAGTTTCCTCATAAAAAATCATGCTCCGTACAGTACGACGAGTCAATGTGGTGTTAAGGTTGCGAGCCCCTTTTCCGGGAAGTGCCTTGCTTAGCCTGGGAGTAGATAAATAGAGAGAAAGATCCCCCCACCATACCTCTAACACTAACCACATTCATTTCTCTTCAACTCAATCCCATTTTAACGACCTAACAACCTATATACCCCCACCCAAAGCCGTCCAATATGAAATTCTCTCTCATCGCCATCCTCGCTGCCGTCAGCGTCGTTTCTGCGGTTGCGCTCCCAGGCTCAACTACTGAGGACCCTTGCACACAAGAAATCATTAACCGGTGCAACACTGAAGTCAGTCCATCCCAGATGGCGAATAAGTCTTCTGAAATCACGCTAACAAATGTCGACAGTGCGGTGCCAGAAATATGGGGGCGGGTAAATGCACGAATGGCTACTGCACCTGCGGTTAGATCCCATCGTCGTATCTGTACCCTTTTATCCGGGTGCACGACTCGACCATTCGGCCGGGATGGCATTAGATGGTTAATGTGCACTCTTGGATGTAATGTTCGGCTCCGGACCTTGACGGCAAAGGGGACTGCTGGACTCTTGTAGGGTACAAATTGGTAGATGTGTTTGTTTTATCGTTGTTCGGGTAGCAGCGCTATAATGAAAGCCACCTCTATCATCCCCCTCCAGTCTTGAGAAGACCGAGACGGCATTTTTTTTTGTCAAATGTGTGATTTTGCTAAACTTTCTCATCGGCTGTAACCTCTCTGAAGCTATATCGAAGGTATCTACGATTTCACACGCTAGATCTGACCTTTCGCAGAACCAATATTATCTTCTCGTCCGCCCGGCCCAGATCTTTGAAATCATCACGATGAAATGTAACCCGTGTATGAAAGTATCAGAGAAAAAACCAATCTTATACGGATTAACGATATGAATTTGCTGACTTTGTGTGCTAGCCTAAAAGAGAAGCTTGGGTGTCCGCCCGAGAGGATCCTGAGCAGGAACTGAATGAGCAGGTCGAGGTGATCCGTGGGCCACCGGCGGGAGCTCGACTCAACAGCAGCGGAGAAAAGGGTAGAGGAACAGCAGCTGCAGAGAGAGCTGAGAGGATTACGGAGAAGTCGCGCATATATCAAAGCCGACGCTATCACTCTAGATAAATACGTCAACAAGCAAAAGTCAGAGGACAAGAAGATCGGCCAACTCGTTAGGCAATATTATGCCCTGGTCCAGTATGCGGTCTTTCAAGCCGGCGGCGTTATTCTCTCTCCTTGTGGGCTGGCTTCCAAGCCTTAACTGGTGCTACTCAGCGGGATACCTCTGTTCTCCCAGGCGTCGATATTCTGTACGACAGCAGTCATCTCACCTGGGTATATACCGTAATAGCGACACCTTGCCCTCCTCGTACAAATGCAATCATCATCCAAAGTCGGCAAGCGCAATACTCCAAGTACATTCCCGATGTCCCTTCCCTGCATCTATCTCTCTTCCTAGCTACTAGCTCAACAATCGTGAATATCCCCCGCGAGAAAAAAGAATGCAAACTTCAAGACCATCCTCTTCATTGCCCTCCCTCCTTGTGCGCCGCATCTCCCTCGCACGAGATCCCAATAACCCTCGAGTTGGCGGGCAGCCCTCACGCGACCGAGCTCATTGTAATCCCAACAGCTCGCTCGGCTGAGGAAATGTTCTTTGCTCAAACGCTCGTGATCGACTGAGAATGCGCATGGTCTTCATTGATGGGCTCTACATTCGGGAAAGGGCTCGTTTCGATGCTGGCTGCAGTGATTAGCGGTTTGGCCATAGGCGTTCTTTTGCACATATTCGGCGACGGGTCCAAGAAAGGAGAGAGGATATGCAAAGAAAGGTTGGCGGAACCCACGAGAAGGACAGGGAGTAAGCGATGTGATCGATTCGCAGCACGAGCTGTATGGATAGATCGGGGTGTCGGTGCGGAGGTTGCTGCGTGGCGTAGGAACGGATTCGGGAGAGAAGGTAGTAGTTCAAAGAGGATAGAAGATGCTAGATAGATATCGCCGAACTCTACATAGCTGGTTCCGGCGCTTGTTTGGAATCGATGAATCTCATCTGGGTTATGATTGGGATGGGAAAGATATCCATCGCTGATTTATACCTTTACATAATGATTAATATTCAGCTCTTTCCTAGACGGGAGGATATCGATCACCTGATATTCTACTAACATCCCTTATCCAACGCAGACGGAGCTCGTGTCCGGCTGGATAAGATTAAAATGATTATGAAAGAGTCTTTGATCTCTAATCCTGGATCCATGGTCGTTGGTTCTGATGCTGTGTGAATGTACGGGGATCGACTGCTTTTGAACCAAGGACAAGGCAAATTCAAGCTTGAGTATTGATTTTCTCCCGCTGCATATCGAAAATATTAATAGTTTCCTCGACAGTCTGAGCCTGCTATATAAGTCAGTGTCAGCGTTGCTTTACATGCGTCCCTCTGTGCCAGTGTACTGCTCCTTCTGCTATGAAGGGCGCTCGTCGTGTGAAGATTAGACAAGTAGGTCCAAGAGGCTAAATCCGAATCCCAAAACATAAGAAATTATAGAATTCATAGCAATAAAGGAGAAGAGAGGTTTTATTTGAAGAGTTTTCATTGATGTGCCTCGGCACAAGGATTGCCTGGTCGCATAGACAGCTACTACTCAGCCCAAGTCCCCAAAGAAACCAGTAGCAGTGCTAACGTGCAGAGCCATAATTCAACCAGCCGTAACCCCCATAATGCGAAGATCCCCAGGGAGGAATGCGAGTGAATCAAGACCAGGCCAGCAAGCACATGAACAAGTCAAGTCGAGCAGATAGCAAGGCGAGATGGACAAGCAAAGAAGTGAATTAAAGTGAACAGATGCAAGTAGAGAATATAAGACACTCGATCCGCGCCGGACAAGGGACCAGCGGTAAAGAGCAGACCGTGGCGATGATACAAGATGGAGAAATCAACAGGTATCGTGCCAAGTCTTGTCCATCTAATTCTCCATAGCATCGGCGGAGTCCTCAGGATCAGTGAGATCGCTATCGTTGGACTCGGTCGCATCATCATCGACGTTCATGTTCTCCATCTGCTCAACCTCAGGGCGGATGTAGTTTCCATCATCATCGACCACACCTGTAGATCGTCAGTAACGCAAGATTCTTACCATCGGAGCCTGACGTACCAGTCTTCTTCATGTGGGCAAACTTTCTCTCGACGGCAGTTCCCTTGTAATCACCTCCGCCAGCTTGCTTGACTTGACTAGCAATCTTGACCCAGCCCTCAACCGTGATCTTCTTAATAGAGGCTTCGATTTCCAAGTCAATAACCTTCTTGACCTTGCAGATCAGTGGAAGCTGTAAAGGGTCATCAGTAGTCTAGATCAGAGAGGGTGGAAAGCTGGGAACTTACATCCTCGTTCTTGAAGTCTTGAGCAACGGGCTCCAACTTGGCAAAACGCTTGCGAGTCGTATCAGTTCCTGGCTTTCTGCCTGTGAGAACGGTCCAAGCAGCCTCAATCTCGGTCCATGACTTGCCAGACTTGCGCATGTTCACAATGAGCTTGTCCTCCTCTGAGAACTCAGCCCAAGACTCGGGGAACTTGACGCCACCGGCCTTAAGCTTTGGGGTCGCCTTTGCCTTCTTTGTCGGAGTCTCACCATCGGCGACCTTGGCAGCGGCACGCTTCTTGACGGCGGATTTGGTGATGCCGTTGGTAGCCGGGGCAGCCATCTCAACATCTAGATCACGGGGCTGTCAGAATTCGCGGTATACGGGATGTTTCGGGAAGGGGTTTGACAATTCCCCAGGATCATTTTTTGAGACTGGATGAACTTACCCTTGTCAGCACCAGGTGTGACTGGCTTCTTCTTAGGGGCTTTCTTCTTCGGGGCAGTTGCCTTGGGGGTGGTTGGCTCCTCAGCGGAGGTTGCCTCCTCGCCAGTTGACTCCTCACCCGTCTGCTGTACATTTTCCGTCTTGGCCGGGGCCGCCTTTGTCTTCTTGGCCGGGGTTGCCTTTGTCTTCTTGGCCGGGCCGCCGTTAGCCTTTTCGACTGGGTCGCCTTTGCCTCCTCGCCGGTTGCCTCCTCATCCGTCTGCTGTACATTCTCCTTTTTGACCGGGGCCGCCTTTGACTTCTTGACCGGGGCTGCCTTTTTCTTCTCAGCTGGGGTCGCCTTGGACTTATCGGCTGAGCCTTTGCGTTCGGCCTTCACCTTGGCAGTAGCCTCGGCGACATGAGCGGTCGTGGCCTCGGGGACCTTGTCGGAAGCGGCGGGAGCCATCTGTGGAAGATCGCGTTAGCACTGGTCGACTCAAGGAGGTAGATTCATGATGGAATTGAGTAAGAATCGAGGTGATATCAAAGTGCGCAAAGTGTGACATCGAGACCTTGTAAGAGAGATTGAGATAGGAAGATCGAATGCTCTTTGAAAGTGCGCTGGAAGCGAAAGAGAATGCGGATAGAGATTAGAAATGAGTACTGGGTAGCGCAGAACAAGCTTGTGATTGTGTAGGAAGATGAAGAAGTTGGGTTGTAGATGGAGGAAGGGGACGCGTCGAGCGGGAGTGTTTTTGTGTTGGCCCGAAGTGGGGCAGTATCAACACCGCACTGGAAAGCTCGAGCCACCAGAGCCTCAGCTTTGAGGTGAATCCGGACTCTTGGGATCAGAATTGCCTGATTGAGTCAAGCGGCAAACAGATTGGAACAGGCCCAACTTTGAAGCTGAACTCCAACCAGTTGCTCCAAGGGCTCCGTGATAATGCATCCAATATAGAACGAAAAAAGGGATAAGAAGCTCGCCAGCGATGAGGGAGCCGTGAAACAAAGGACCGATGAGATTAATAAAGAGAAAAGGAGGGTAGGAACTTACTTGCTCAGATGCACTCTCGTCGATAAGATCGCTCATCAGCGTACCGGGAGCAGTTGGGGTTTCGAGATTGATATTCGACATTTGACAGAATGCGAATATGCAATGCGGTGTTGCTGTTTGTATGTGTATGGGAAGAGCTGTTCGATGAACAGATGTAAAGGAAGTGGATAGAGGGCGTTTTTGTAGTTGAGAGGAAAGGGATAAAGGGCGTTGTTGCGGTCGAGAGGAAGTGAGATGGGTTGAAGTTGGGATCGACGATTTATATCAAGGCCCCCAGACAGACTCGAAGAACTAACGACGAGCTTCTTTCCAGGCCTAATCGGGAAAACACGAAAGCTGAACACCAGTATTCGAGACAATTCCAAAAGCCAAAACTATTCACCTTTCACACCAAGGAGAGCGTATCACACAGAGAGAAGCTCCCAGTTATGTGGAGCATACCTCGAAGGCAGCTATGCTAAACAGTCTAGAGCTCCTATTGTTCTTTCCAAATGCGGTGTATCATATCTCAGGCAGGACTGAGGTACACATCTTACGCTGTTTCAGAGTGAGCCACTTGAGTACAGACATTCTGTTGCAGCATGCATATATGTATCCAGTCACTCTCGGCTTGCCTACTTTGGAAAATTACAGAAACTTCTGCCAATTAGTATTTAATACACAGGCACCAAATTTTTGCGAGATTCGGCCAGTTGGCTCTACTGAAGCTGGTGCAGCTCTTTTTACGATGCTTTGCATCATATTTTCCAAGTGTGAAGACAATCAAGAGGAAGTATCATAGGCATATTTAAGGCAGGCCGCAAGTGCAAGCCATTGGGGAGAGGGGGCTCAAGAAGACCTCAAGCTGCAAACGTAGGAATCTGATGGAGGGACGAGTAGAGCAAAAGGTCGAGGCCATCAGACATCGCTACCCTCGGCACAGTAAAAAAAATCTTAAAGCAGAACTGAGGCCCCTACCAAATTATGCGGCTGTGTTATTCGGAAGTTGGGTTTGTAGCAAATGATCACACCCCATACTGCATGTGAACCAGATTTCGCGACAGCGCATGCAGAACTGAGACAAAAAGCAAGAAGCAATAAGCAAAAAGACCACAGGCGAAGCAAGCAATGGTATATTTCATGAAAAACTCTTCATCCTAGAGCTTCAGGTGATTTTTCGACTACGGGAACACCATGGCTACGGTGATCGGCTTGAAGGTCCGATCGGCCTCTTCCCGTGAGACCCGGGCTACTTGGATAAAAGATATGGCACACAAAAGCGGTGATTCGACGCTCTCTATATTTTCTTGGGAAAGCTTGAGTTCGATGTTGCTGAAGATGCGATGAGGAGCGAAATTCGAAGAGAGGTGAAGTCTGAACCTAACCGAGATGGGACCTAACAGGCATTTAGATCGGCCCGAGTTTATCCGGTCAAAGTCATTTTCACCTCAGCAATCTGACAATTGCTTGTCAATCCCATGACAATAGCCACCCCGAATGTTACGATGTAGTCATTACGAACATGAGTTATGTTGAACACCCCGGGTATTTCGTGATGATAGTGTGCATCTCTTGACGCCTCATACAGAGCCTGCTACCATCTCTCCCGTGATCAGCTCTCGTTCATTCAACGCGCAGCTCGAGCAAACTCCTCTCCAACAGCAGATGATCCAAGGCGAAATATAAACATCCAGGCTGACTCATCTCTTCGCACACGCAGATACGGGCTCTTGTACCTCCATCTCGTGGTCAAGTGGTCCCTCGAGCTCAAAGCCGCCCCACAACCAACGACGGAATGAGTTTCCTACAGGCGAGGCTCCATCAAGTAGCCTCTCACCTAGCCCAACAATGCTTGAGTTTTCTGCCATGTATCAATGTGTGGATGGCGAGTCCGAGTGTACTTGCCAGCGATGCGTGCTCAGCTGCCGGTTGGCCGCATCGTTGCGGGTAGCCAAGTCTCACAATAAACTGTTGCTCATTTATTGTTTTGCGTATAAGGAAGATGTGCGAGTGCGAGTCTTGTACTTCCTTTCAAGCCCTTTTGCTTTTATAGACTCTTGCAATCAACAATCTCCACACCACCCACATCGGAAATAACACTTCCACATCGACCATCATTGCTGTCTGAATACCAGTGATCAACTTGGGAGCGAGAGGAACGGACGCAAAACGATACTACGGTAGGAGGAATCAATACCCCTGCCATTGGAGAAGACCCCCCAAGAGCATTGGGGGAGCGATAGAGATTCGCTGTAGATCAATGTTGCTGGGACAAAAACCGTCAGGCCAGTTAGCCAGCAGCGTCTTCGGAGAAACATGCCTGGCCTATTCAACATGATGCGGGAGTCCGGCCAGCGGCTAGCCAAACCACTCAAATACTTTGCCTGCGATACTTACCAGGCCTACTTTCGAATTCGGCAGTCATGGATATGATGATGAACTCGATAGCTGTGCCGTATAGGTGGGCAAACCTCAACTGGCGGAGAATCCTTCAGGGAGTTCCTGTACTAGAGTTACTTAACAGCTGTTCAAGCAATTCAGATTGGGGACAGTGCTCTTGAGCTCTTGAGCTGTCAATTGAGTACTTGGACCATATACTAACTGTCTTGAGAGGACTACCAAGTAAGCACTCACGCAACCCGGCAATGATGCGTTGGAGATCTCCCGGAGAACCGGAGAATCCATGCGAGTATGTGATTTCGGTGGGCTAGCTTGGGCGTCGATATGTACCGTACCATCATGATCTTCGCTGTTCGACCTATGCCCGTGTTCGTCGAACTTGACCCGTTAGACATGCAGGGTTTTGAGGCCTCGAAAGAGCTCATCGGCGCCACGTACAACCTCACGGACAAGATTGAAATCACGTTGCGAATGCCTGTCGGTGCGATTGCACGACAATGTCACTCGGCTTTGATGCAGTCAGGTTCACTGGCGCGCCATGGGACCATCCAAGGTCTTGATGACATCTGTAAGCCCCCCATGCTACCTCAAGTGGGGGACTTATATATCTAAGAGGTATATATAGTACCTCGAGTGACTTTCTGATCCGCGCATTCAGCATCGGTCGTTTTCCAAAATCCATTCGAAACGATTTAATACGACGGAGGAAAGGATGAGATGGAGATACATGGTACTGGTACGATTCGCAGAGCTTGGACCCGCGGGGCGTGAATTAAAAAGTGGCTTTGAGGAATGTCACATCTTCTTTTTTTCTCTCTTGTACGTACTTGCCCAGGTCCTCTCCAGCCCATTCTATCTATCCATCCCATCCTATCCATCCATGCCTACCTCTTCTCACCAGCCTTCTACCAATAACCAAACAACCTTCCTTCTCTCTCTCTCTCTCTCTCTCTCTCTCTTTCCTT